GTAGACATTGCTACTTCATCTGCAGCTTGTCGGGCAGGGACATACGGACCCGCTGTGCAAAGACGTGTAACGAGGGATGTAAACCAGGGTCGTGCGACCACGTGACCGGTGACTGTGACTGTAAAGATGGATGGACAGGTTGGCAATGCGAAAACCGTAAGTAGTGATAATTCAATCTACATCAATCACATGTTACTTTCCTTATGCTCTTCTTAAATGTGTTATTCATGAGTGAAACGATTGCTACTTAAGGATGCAAATCTCAGTACACGGTGTTTGCATTGAATAGATGGATTGGAAATACACGTGTGTTGTAAAATAATTTGAAAACTCTGTCCAGGCAATTCAATAGGAATATGTTTTATCTACATTAATAATCATACTCTCAGCATTACTCTCTAATAGCGGGTTAAGTGTTCATCCTGAATGTCTAGCTTGGAAATTCGCTGATAAACGTCTTTCGTTGCATGATAAGAGTATATTGATTGTGCCTCCATAAAGTGAGGTAGTGAGTATGATTTTACGCCACTGTTAGCAATATTCCAGCAATATCATTACGAAGGACAACAGAAATTGGTTGTACACATTGGACATAAATTCTGTGGGAAATCGAACCTGGGTCTTCAGCGCTTTCACCATTAGGCTACCCAACCGCCCTAATTTCGTGAAGATAGACATGAACGGGGCTGTACAGGATATGTAGGATATGGGATGTAGATGATATGTTGATATTATTAATATTTAAGAATTTGAAACTGCATGGTCTATATTTAAACATTTTGGTGTTGAACACCCCGCTGTTAGCTACCACAAATCATTTGGTATTGGTGGCAAAGGACGTTACGAGTGTATGTTGTTCACAAAAGCATGTTCTGTTTGGAATTATCCACGTTGATATGAAATACTCGATCCACTTTCAATGATACGTACATACTGCTATGGCAGTTATGATCTTCTGCCTTTAGTTTGGTGTGGGGAGATCTATTGTATCAACGTTTGTTCTGGTGGCTGTGCTGGGAATATCTGCTTGCTCAACCACAGATATGAGGGTACTTGGAAAGTGATGTCATCTTTCCGAGATGTTTGAGAATTTTGTACATTCGAATAACCGTCTCGTGTTTGAATTAGTGTAGCAGAAAGCAAACCATGGGTGTACACATTCTTGAATCCAGCAGTTTATACAGTAATGAACACAACTTGATCTGCAGACTGTGATACCGGGACATATGGACAAAACTGTAACGCGAGGTGTAACCCAGGATGTAAATTAGAGTCCTGCAACCACGTCACCGGTTACTGCAACTGTAAAGACGGATGGACAGGTGGTCGTTGTAAACAAAGTAAGCTTCCAGAATCAGTGATTGTGGTGAATGTCGTGTCTTTAAATGTTGGTTTATGACGAGAGTGTCATTCAGTAACGTAAGTCAATCTAATTATGGCATATCACTATTTAATCATTTATGTTTACGGTTAGGGGAGAGTCTGAAGTAATGAAGTCGGAAAATTGTATGAACTAATTATGCGGTAATCCCACTATCATGTGGGATACATACAGCGTGTTTCGCTGGTCATTCTTGATGGTGTAAAGTTTGTTGACATTTTTCTGTCAACTGTCATTGATTGATAGTGAGAGCGATGTACTCTCAGTGACTAAGAGAACGCTCTCCTTTCTAGAATGATAGATGTACGCACATTTGCCTACATTCGTTAAGCAGTCACACGTGACAGTGTCATCAGTAGACATTGCTACTTCATCTGCAGCTTGTCGGGCTGGGACATACGGACCCCGCTGTGCAAAGACGTGTAACGAGGGATGTAAACCAGGGTCGTGCGACCACGTGACCGGTGACTGTGACTGTAAAGATGGATGGACAGGTTGGCAATGCGAAAACCGTAAGTAGTGATAATTCAATCTACATCAATCACATGTTACTTTCCTTTCGCTCTTCTTACATGTGTTATTTATGAGTGACACAATTGCTACTTAAGGATGCAAATCTCAGTACACGATGTTGGTATTGAATAGATGGATCAGACAAAAACGTGTGTTGTATAATGGTTTGAAAACTCTGTCCAGGCAATTCAATAGGAATATGTTTGATTGATATTCAACAAGCATAATATCAGCATTACCCTCGAATTGTGGTTGAATTACTCATCGTGAATATCAAGCCTGGAAACTAGCCTGCAAACGCCTTTTTGTCGGATCTTATGATTAGATTGGTTGTGCCTCCAAACTCATAAGGTGAGTGAGTGAGTATGGTTTTACGCCCCTGTTAGCAATATTCACGGCGAGGGACACCAGAAATTGGCCATAAACATTGTACATATGTGGGAAATCGAACCCTGGTCTTCGGCGCTTTAACCATAAGGACTGTACACGATATGTAGGATATCGGATGTAGATGGTATGTTGATGTTATTAACATTTTAGGATTAGAAAATGCATGATCATTATTTAAACGTTTTGGTGTTGAACATCCCGCTGTTAGCTACCACAAATCATTTGGCATTGTGGCGAAAACCATTACGAGTGTGTGCTAGAGTTGATGGACAGGTGGGAGTTGAGTTGTGACGTTTTCAGAATCAGTCAGTGTGGTGATTGTCTTTTCTTTAAACTGTTGGTTTATGACGAGAGTGTCATTTTGGTAACGAAATGAAATTATTAAGTTTAGGCATATCGCTATCATGTAACCATTCATATTTACGGTTAGGGGAAAGTCTGAAGTGATGAGGTCGGACAATGGTATGGAACGATTGCACGATAATATCACTATCACGTGGAATACGTACAGCCTTTATAGCTACTCATTTATGACCTTGTTAAGTTTGTTGACATTTTTCTGCCAACTGTCATTGATTGATAGTGAGAGCGTTGTGCTCTCAGTGACTAACAGAACACTCTCCCCCTTTACAGAATGATAGATGTAAGCACATCTGCCTACATTCGTTAAACAATCACGCATGCATTGTCATTAGTAGACATTTCTCCTAACCCCCATCGTTCCACAACATCACAACACACTGCAATTTACTGGAATACGCTTGTGACTGGTGAGATATGCAAAGTCATAGGCCAAGAGTCCTATGCTCCATACTATCGTTAATATACCCGTCTTTAGCTTTTTCGTTTCTCCATCGTCCATGAGGTTTAAGCATTCGATCGGGTAATCCATTATTTGCAGCTGCCGTTGCTCCACCACTACTCAAGCTATGCAAACCAAACTGTTAGATGTTATCAACATAAGGCCGTATAGCATCAGTAAATATCTCTCTTAATCTTGTATATGAGGAACATTTCCTTTCTTGAGGACATATCCAAAAACACATTTTGTCACACCTCTGAAATATACTCATCCGAATCAGAATTAATAGCAGCCATAATGAAGATAATGTGGTAAACAAGCTACTGGACAAAGTTCAGGTTGTGTACGGCCTATAATGACCCATGCACAGTCTCTGTAAATGTCAGTCTTTATTTTTCAATGAAACGACGATAAAGGTAAATCACAAGAAATCTCATTACAAAAAGCCCACCCTTTCCAAGCAGCAGACCCGAACAGATACTTTCTGTTTGTCGAATCAGCTCTAGCTTCAGACAACATTGATGGGATATCATCAGCCAATGCTCCAACACCTTCTGGGAGATTACTCAACTCGTCTCTGTACACATGCTGGAAAGACTCTGTAAACACAGAAAACATAAATTAACGAAAATCAATGAACGGAGCAAGCATATTAAAATCTAAATCTTTCTGGCCGAACAAACCCCCTTGTAGCCTAGAAGCTATGTACGCTTCCTTAACTGTGGGAAGATACATCCAATCTTTGATCTGTGGAATGAACACATTTTTGCACATATCAACGGCCAGAAACATTGCAGAAGGCCATTCGGGAACCACTAAAGTACCAGCTGCACGACATTCCTTCAAATGCTTGATAACTCCTGGAATCAAACCATTAGGCGTAACGACCCAGCTCATAGTTCCTCTCCAGTTGACTGTGAAACAATCTACCGCTTAACATCCAGGATTACTGAACTTGCAATTGAAACGCTGCAACTTCGTACTGTAGAAAGAAGCAATCTATCCACATGATGAGGTCCCCAACTAGCATCGACTTTATAGAAAACATCCTGAGAAACACCCCAGTCATCACAATCAAGCAACCAACTCAAAAAAGTCAGCTTCTTGGTTAGTAAAACGGGGAATCCACTGAACCTCTAGTTCACCACTATACTTTATGCACAAATCGAAAATCTGTAGATGTTGCTTCATGCTACCCTTTGTTACAATGTTAACAACATTATGGTTACCAGTGAACCATTTAACTTTGAAATCAAACTTTCAAACACCAATTGCACAGTTTTGTGCTCTCTCCAAGTTGAACTGAGCCCAGCTTCTCCACTTGACCACTGACTACAACTCGGTACACAATCTACATTAACACGGTACTCTGCAAATCTAACGTCACTTGCATTTTAATTAACAACAGTTGTAGCAGTGGCTAATTGTACAAGGTATCTAAAATCATATTTTGCTATGTTCTTGTCATAGGTTGCGATACCGGGCCCACAACTAACTTCATGGCAATGATTTGACCAACTGACCTTACACAGACTGGCTTAGAAATACACTGAAGCAAAGTATTAATCGCAAGTTTAACCTTGTCGATCCTGCCTTTTGGGACAGAAATAGTCATCGGACTAGTGTCAATAACAAAACGTAACCATTCGATATTCCGGGATAGGACCCACAGGGATTTCTCAACTTTAGGTACAAAAACCTGTGATTACACAATGCCATCTAGAAAGTGGTCAAAGTCGCGGTAGCTGAGCGGGTTGGGCGGCTGACTTTGTGTGCTGGCGATTAGGTGCCTGGCTCTGAGGGTGTGAGTTCGAATCCCGGATGGGGCTCAATTCAGAAAGTACTAGAATTTGTACTTTACTATGAAAATGTAATCCCAAATATAACAAATGTTACGCACAAAAAACCTGCTGGAAATGTCATAGATGATGAGAATCCAGACAAAGTACTATCATCTAAAAAATGTCACTATTTTGTGTCCGTCTGACCTCCACTTTTTAACCAGTAGACACATGAGCCGCTGACATGAGTCCCAAGGGTAAAGCCATAAACTTATAGAAGCAAAGTTTTCGAGCTTTATCTGCCACGCGAAACCAAGGTAATCTGCTTGAACAGGTTAAATATCAATATGGTGATAAACCGAGTGGATGTCAATTTGTTTATGCTAATAACTGTTATTAATATAACACAAAGCAGTTTTCCAATCTTCACAGTTCACAGTTCTTTTAAAAACAAATACATTCACCCTGGACAAGTCAAGAATAAGTCGTTCTTTGCCCGATGGTTGAACAGAGAGTTAATGGATACACTGCGGTAGGTGATTCAAGGCAGGTCACGATGTACTGCTTCATCGGCAGCTGTTCAATAGCCTGCGTGACAAAATCATCGTATTTGAGAGCTGGCTCGTTATTGGGTGTCAAAATAGAAGCAGGAGTAGATATAAATGATTATTGATGCCCAAAAGTAATCAATTCAATAACAAATTTTGACGCACCAATTTGGCAACAAGAAAACAAGCTCTCTTTCAGCCGACCCTTGACAATTATTCCTGATATTCCCTGCTCATACTCATAATAGTCATCAGTTAGTTTGAATGAATTGATCTCAACATCAACACTGTGAGAATACTTAACTAACAAATGTTTACTGTTTGCTTATTGGGGTGAAGACTCCGCCTGTGACCCTCGGGGCTTGAGATGCGCTGACGTTTGTAGGAGCAATCTCGTCGGTAGTGAGAACTCGCCGGAGGTGAAGCATGAACCTGACCTTTGACTTTTGGCACGTCAAAGATGAGCAGGCTGGCTAGGCTGAAGAGCAGGAACAGGCTGGATAGCAAACTGTACAGGCCGAGTGACCGCCGACGAGCGGCGAGCTGACCTTGATGTGGAATATGGATTGACGTGCACGCTTCTAGCGAAGTTTCCTGACTGTCTTGTTCTCAGCCGAAGTAATCCTTTTGTCGTCGTAGGAGTTATGAGCGAGATCACTTGCAACATAATTTCTCACAGTTTTCCAGCCCCCTTCACTAGAATCCGCAATTTTAAAGTGTTTATTTCTTTTATGGACACATTGCTGACGTCAGAACCGTCTCAGCCTCTTCGTAACGTTGATTCTGATCCGCCAAAAGAGTATTCAAAGAGTCTATTGTCTCACTGTTGAAATTGAACTTTATTTTATTCCCTTCTCTTGACCACGTATAATCGTTCTTAGCTTTGTGTTTCTTCAAATCAGTAGAAGCTTGAGTAAACTCTTGTCGTAAAGCGCCAAGTTGGGAGTTGAACTATTCTTCCAATTGGTCAAAGTCAAAGTCAAAGATGTTTATTGTACAAAAGGCCTCGAGCCCATATACATTGGAGTTATACATATGCATTATACATATGGTGCAATAAGAAGTAATTAGTGATCCAAACAGCAAATCATGATACAAGCAGTAAATTATGTACAAGTAGTGAAATACGATGGACCTACAACACTTTTTATCAGATTGTTACGTTTAAAAGAGCATAATTGATATAGTACGACAGCTGTATTATTACATGCTGGTCAGTTGATGAAAGAAGTAGTTTAAATGCTAATGCAGGTGGCTTACATAGATAATATTCTGCTATATATTTCGTACGCAAATCTTTATACAAAGGACATACAAGTAAAAAATGGATTTCATTTTCCACATTTATATTACACAGTGGGCACATTCTCTTGCATCGTTCAATATAAAAAACGTCTTCCTTCGTTTACCATTATGTTGATCAAACCTAACCTAAAACGTATAAATGGATATCTTAATTTCTTTGAAGTTAAAAACGACAGATATTTCTCCGGCTGGAGTAGTGATTTGTATATTCTATAAGAGTCGTACCGTGAACTAGTATGTATTACTGAATATCATTCTTGATTAAACATATTAAGACTTCTTTCTCGAAACTGATTTAAAATCAAACTTGCATCACCAACTGACTGACTTAACCATACAAAACCATAACCATGTGAAAACAGAAGATTTCTTACATAAGATGCCCGCGTCACTTTACCAATGTTGTCCAAATGAACAAGCATGTTATAAGCCTTTTTGTGTAATCTATGTTCTTGCATACACAATATCTTAAACCAGAATTCAGCCGTTTCAAGATGGCGTCTGATTTGGCGTCGGTGTTCACTTTCAATATTCTTGCTTGCACAAGCGACAGCACGATAATTTGCCAACCTTATATATACCCTTAATCAACGCCACCTAGCGGAGTGACCAATCTCTTGACTGTAGTTACACACCGCTAGGACAAAGCAATTTCCAACTTCTTTATACATCAAACATTTGAAATTTCATTACTACTTGATCTGCAGGTTGTGTTGCTGGGACATACGGACGCAACTGTACAAAGACGTGTAACGAGGGATGTAAACCTGAACACTGCAACCGCGCCACCGGTGATTGTAACCACAAGTGTAAAGATGGATGGACAGGTTGGGAATGTCTGAACAGTAAGTAGTGATAATTAAATCTGTTATATCAAGCACATGCTACTTCCACTCCGCTCTTCTTACATGTGTTTGTTGTGAGTGAAACAATTTCTACTTAAGGATGCAAATCTCAGTGCACATTGTTAGTATTGAATGGATGGATCAGACATAAACGTGTGTCGTAAATGATTTGAAGACTCTGTCAAATCTATTCCAATAAGAAAAGTTTTGATCAACATTCACAATCATATTATCAGCATTATTCTATATTTGTGGTTTAATTGTCCATCCTGAATGTCGAGCTTGGAAATTCGCTTAGCACTCAACGCAATGGACTACTATAGTACTAACAAAGATCTGTTTGAGTGATGATTGGTAATACGTGTGTGATAATGACAGACAACTTCGGCTTCATGACAGCTTCATGAAGAATTATTATCTCTTACCGTAAGTCGTAAAGATTAAAAAAAATTTGGGCTAAGAAAGTTTTATGAATGTCACCCAGAATGTTTGTCTTTTTTATTTTCCTTTTGAAAAGAATGCAGGAACGGGCGGTATGGACCAAGATGTAACAACTGGTGCCGCAGTCAATGTAGGAGTTGCCACCATGTCACAGGGAAGTGTGCCGGTAACTGCCTTTCTGGGTGGCATGGGGAAAACTGCTCTTCACGTAAGTTTGTCTTTACCTAACGTAACAGCAATCAGTTTTCATAGGTATATTGTAACCTTGTCAGTCTTGTATGGTTCTGACTTTCTTTGCAGAATGTCGACCAGGCACATATGGCAAGGATTGCATGAATCAGTGTCATGAAGGATGTCAACCTGAGAAATGCGACTCAGACAATGGACATTGTGGCACTTCCTGTATAGCCGGATGGACTGGAGAAAACTGTGTTGATGGTACGATGAGTATGATCTATTGGCTTATTGTAGGGGTTTGTTGCATCAATTTTATGACACAGGTGACGATACTCTAAACAACAAACACAACATGCATACCTACATGAGGTTAAGTTTTCCCGAACCCACAGTCTTTTCACAAAATGTCGCCGCTGCTGAAATATTGCTTGACAGAGGGAAATTGACTGTTGGTGTGTTGAAGTCACCCTTCTTGTTATTCTGTCTTGTGTAGTGTTTCTATCGTTATGTATAGATCCAAATATCAAACATAATGAGGCTGTCTCACTGGTCTCCATTATTTCTAGCTCAGGTGGGTATATTAGTGGAAGTGTTCCCGGCTTTTTGTACCGTTAATGAACAATAGCAGATCATCGCTACTTTGACCTTCATTCAAAATTCCTTTGTTTTGTATCAGGCAAAGCAAGCAGAAACACCGACTGAACAGATCAGCAAGACGTGAAGCACAATTGGTGCCCTTGGGGGTGTTTACTTCTTGCATTATGCATTATCCCCAAATATGATGAATGATGAAGTCGAGCGTCTCACATATCGTTTTCTAAATAAACAGATCACGTATGCCTTCATATTTGGTAAACTGACTTGAATCTCTGAAAATATATAATGTAACTTTATCTGTGTTTACCTTGTTTGGTGGCAAATGTTATGTGTATCGTGTTTTTCCTGAAGGTAGTAATATTGGATGGTATTGTCTTTGCTTCCCGAAAAATGACTAACATTGTTAATCTTTGGGACATTGACTTTGCTGGGATATCTGTTGAACCAAGTTGCCATTTCTACGTGAACGAATTTCATAAAGCTTTCGAATCAAGTACATAATACGGAAAAGGTTTTATAATCGATTATAAGAATCGTTTTATAATTTGAGTGACGAGTGTGTGGAACAGGATGGGTGGGTTTTTTTCACACTGTTCGCTTTGTCAGGTTAAGAAGATAGACAGCCAAACATTCACGTCATAATGACAAGGTTAACCTTTTGTATCTTCAATCTACTTGGCAAAATTGTCAGTTCCAAAAGAATCTGATTATGAAATCAGAACTATTTTTAATGCCTCGTTTGTTAGAATTTATTGATGGATTTGTCAACGCATTTCGCTTTGGCCACAGATTTTTTGTGTGAATAATCCATTATCTATGTCTGTGTAACCAACAGTAAACACATCGCATAGTGTGACCTGATTGGAATATTGTATAGGACTGACATTGGTACACAAATTGCCAATTTGATCCCGGAACAGATACGTCTCTTATCCAATGTGAACATTTATTGTCACCAACATCTAGTCTGTTCCCCTTGGACATACGGAGAGAACTGTCTGCTGGACTGCTCCATGGGATGTGTCAACCAGACTTGTGACAGAACCACTGGGCGTTGTGACGTGTGTCTAGATGGATGGGAACACGAAGACCTGAACATAACGAGATGCGACAAAGGTAGTGATTAGGATACCCTCGAGGTACCTTTCCATATTGTTGATACACACTATATTAAGACTACAATATAGGAATTAAAACGTTTTACAACAAATCAGTTTTGCTGACTTTACCTTTAAAAAGGGTAAGGTCAATCACATGCATGTATCTATGACATGTTCATATTTCTTCCACACTGCCTAAATCGTGTATTCCTATTAAAGGGTAAATATCTGCAATTCAGAATGACACATTGATATCACCCACCATGGGAGCAACACATTAAAGAGCCTAAACTCTAGAATCAGTGTCAAGTGCGACTGATATCTGGAGTCCCCAAAGGGTCTTAGAGTGTGTCTGTTTGAAACATTGAATACATCGAAGGATGTGTTACGATGCATATAAGACGGCTTCTTTCAAAAGAATTGTTTGGGTTTCAGAGTGCGACAATGGAAGGTATGGCGAAAAGTGTAAGGAAGATTGCAACATCCACTGTATCAATGCCACGTGTCACCATGTGAATGGCTCCTGTACTCATGGCTGTCTGAACGGAAGAAGTGGCGAGTATTGTGCAGTTTTTGAAGGTAACTGCTAGGGCTTTCATTACTTATTAAGTCAGTATGGCCAACCTTTGAATAGAATAATCTGGAACTCCGCTTCATATACAACTAGATCATCACGTGCGAACATATGTGTTAAGTATTGGAATGCTATGCAGGGAGGAAACATACACAGCTCCCCCATTCTTTTCTATGAGCATAGTGTTTCAAGAAGCGATATATACTGAAGGAAAAAAAATAAGGGATCACATGTAAGCAAAAGTGTTCCTTTATTTTTTTCCAGGTTTCCTCACAAGCCTTGTATCGCACAGCTTGTGAAGAAACCTGGAAAATTTCGCTTTCATTTGATCCCCTCTTTTTTTTCTCTCAATATATATTGAAGCAAAGGGATTCTAGTCAAAGAACTGCGATCGCTATATAACCTGACAGGTACTTTCGTCTCACGGATTCATCATGTGAATCTTTTAGATCTGTTTTTATGGACATAGAATTTTCAGTTAATGAATACTTATTGAGTACCTTCATTTTCCATTTCCATATTTCTCGAGCACATCCCATCGTCGTCCTCATATAAACCATCCTCATTACACTCACTATGAGTATTCCTGTAACTGTACCTGCAACAGTGTTACCTCCTGTTCTACCAGTGTCCCTGTTATTATTGCAGCCGGCCCCCAGAATGTAAATCTCATCGTTGGACTCCTTCTCTTTCTAATCGTCATGATCGCACTTGTCATGTGTGTTGTTTTCTTTAGGTGAGTGTTTTTCTACTTATTTGTATGGACTAATAAACCAATAACCCAACTACAAACAATACAGAGACGAAACACCATGATCAGATATAGATCTTAGGTAGTGCGAATACTATTTAACACTTTCGTGTCAGAGGATAAAAACCAAACATGTGCAATGACATAGTTGAGAACCAGACAAAGTTCAGAAGCAAGAAATTATGTAATGCAAATTCTACATGTAATATATATTTTCATCGCCGAAGTCAATAAGTCGTACGTGTATTTTTGTTTTATTTAGAGAGCCGTTGAGAAGATTTAGGGACAAAAGTAAGTAAAACCAGATGAACATCAAAGTGTATGTGCATGGTCATTAGTCAGTGGTGACGGTCATTTTTGGAAATATTTCATAACGTGTTTTTTTATATATTTCTTGTTACACGTTTTTCTTTGATTTTCTATATTTCTTGTTACAATTATCACCGTGAATGGTGTAAACGATATCCATAAGATCACATGCAGTAGTTGGTAGCCGGCTTAATATTGCTCCCTTGTGTGGTTGTCAGAGATTGAAGAAAGGAGTACTAACGGGATTAACCTACCTATGGCAGCCCGTGGAGGCCAAGATGCATCGGAACATGTGGCCGCCAACGACGAAGACGAGGCTATCTATGTCAATGTCCCGAGTAGTGTTCCAGTGGCAGTCAGTGCCTTCAAGGAATTCGTTGCCAGGAAGAAAGCAACAAAGGAAATCTTGGTGAAAGAGTATGCTGTACGTATTGTGCAGGCCTGAGTCACGAACGAGTGGTCCATGTGCCTGAAACTGCGCCTACACCCTACTCCTGGGAGACAAAGATCAATGTTATGTTATTGGTTGTCTCACTAAAAATACGTATTATGCGTCATTTGCTCTTTAACATATATTTAACATTTACGTACAGTTTTCACATCTCCTTACCTACTTTCATTGAAATTGTGCTTGGTACTACCGGAAGAGATAGTCATCTTTTTCTTTATGCATACCTGGGGTTATCAATGATTTCCATCACTATATTGCATATGTGCATATGAAATATGTTTTAAGATGTATTCCGGAATGTTTACACTCTGGTGTTGAATTTACAGGAACTCCCTAAAGGCCTGACGGCTATTCACGACAAAGCAGTGACGCAAGTGAACAGCACGAAGAATAGATTTAAAGGAATTTACCCGTGTAAGACACGAGCTTATATTTTTCACGATATTGACATAGAACATGAATATCGTAAATTCTAATTATTTAGAGTCTACTGTCCATCGAAGACAGGTCTTTATTCAGTCCACTCGACTCACCTAAAATTCGTTTTATTACAGCTTTAAAGCACGCAATGACATATGTTCGTTATGTACAAATCTTTCTTAAGGATTGCACTTACAGGTGGAGGTGCGTTACAGGTGACATAGTAGTCTACTTAATCAATGGTTAATATATAATGATATTACACCATGATCTTCAAAATAATAACAGTTATTTATCACAGGATTTATAATTCCAATAACATTTCAATATTGAGTACTGAATGTAACTTAATGTTTCGTGACTTTTAGTCACGATATGGCTGAAGTATTGCCTGTTTGATTTTACGTGATAACTGTCACGTACATATTGTAAATGATAAATTTGTGCTTGTAATATATTTTTATGAAAGCATTAATACTACTTCTGTAGAATCTAGCTGCTGCAATATACTCATTATCCACCTGAAGAAGGGGCAAGAACTAGCCCAGAAATGTTGTGAAACTAAATCAAGAAGTTGTTATCCATAAGATTTGTCTTGTATTACAATATACTCCTAATAATACGATTCAAACGTTTTAACGAAAATAGCGGGGAACGATATTCTGTTGAATTTCCAATTGTTCATTTGTTTGCCTTTACGTAACCTTTGGCGTAGGTTCGAGTTTCCAATAATTGGATTCATAAAATTTATCTTCCACAGATTCACAACAATATGTTTTTAAAAAACGACTTGACGAAGCTCGGTATTTATCATTGCAAAATACGTTACGAGCGATAATTAGATAATTCCGTTCTTGTAAGTTGCCGTTACTTAGAACGAAATCCTATATTTTGATGTAACAATGCGAAGTCTTTAAGGGTTCAATCTGAAACTGAAATCACGACTGCACATGTAGATTATACTTTGAAAAGTACTGTACAGGCAGCCCAGGTGAGACAGGTTTTCTTTTGATGCAGATTAAGTACACCTGAATGTAAATAGTTACAGATTATAGGGTCATGATTTGTTTCAGATAACCACTGTCTGGTAGTTCTGAAAGGGAATGGTGGCAGCAGTGGCTACATAAACGCCAGCTACATCGATGTGAGTTGACGGGACTCCCTTCATCAACCCGCTGAAATACTGCTTAGTCAGCTAATTGGAAATGATTGTGAAAGCACCTATGAGTGTTTCAGTGAGTGAGTGAGTGAGTATGTTTCTGCACCGCTTTTAGCAATATTCGAGCAATATCATGGCGGGGGACACCAGGAATGGGCTCCACATTGTACCCATGTGGTGAATCGAACCCGGGTCTACAGGGTGACGCGCGAACGCTTTAACCATTAGACTACCCCACCGTCCCTATGAGTGTTTCAGCACACTCGAATATTAGATATTAATTTAATTAAACCACTTTGTTGCAAACGTTGATTTCCTCTTTAAACAGACACACTGACAAATGGTTGTAAGATGCATATCACTTTATTACCTATCAAGCTATTTAAAGGCTACTGATTCAATCAAGGTGTATTGTATTTTGCAGGGACGAACAAGGGGAAAACAGTACATCGCAACACAGGGTAAACAAACCTTTTGACATCTAAGTCTGAAAATATATATATGGCAACATTCACGCCACTTCCAATAGGGCAGTAATTTCTGAGATTTCCGAGTTCAGTAAAGTACAATGCCATTCAGGTCATGAGATGTTAAATATAATATCCTTCATTCTGTCCTGTTTGTCAACCCCTGAGATGGTCATGTGTTAAATGAGATATCCCACATTCTGTCTACTGTGTCCATCTATTTAACCTCTAAGATGGCCAAATGTTAACTACTATTTCACACATTCTGTCTACTGTATCCTGTTCTTCAATCCCTGAGATGGCCACGTGTTAACTACGATATTTGATTATATATCTTCTCAGTCCGTATACTTTATCAATAAACGTAATATTGTATTCCATCCTAAGAGAGCAGCATGTTGACTAAGATATCCCACATTCTATATACTGTATACTGAATTAATGAACCAGTTATTCTCCAAGTGTCAGTCACATGGTTACTAAACTATGACCTCGGTGCCAGGTCCTCTGCCTAACACTGTTGTGGACTTCTGGAAGATGATTTGGCAAGAACAGGCCCCTGTCATTGTCATGCTGGCCAATATCACGGAAGATGGGAGGGTGATATTTAGTTTCGATATCAGTTCAATGATAATAGTACTTTTGATGTAGCCAATGAAACAATCATCGCTTAATAATGTCAGTATCCTATTTCAATTTGCAACCATTATGCTTGCTGAAACAGCCTAAACGAAATAATTGATAAACAAGAGTTCCTTTGAAAGACATGTACTAACGGACACCTGCTGTTAAATGGCATACTAGTATGTGTCGATGCTACTGTTAGAGGAGGACGTGCATATCCTTTTCGTGGCAACACCTTGTGTCATCACTGTTTTACACCGATCAGTTCAAATATTTTTCATTGCTAACCTTTTGTGCCCTATGTGGAACCTGTTAGGGCAAATATGCGAGACTGCATATTAATTTCCTGGTGCTGACGATTTGAATTTAACATCTATGAATGTCTTCTGTCAGAGACGCTGTGAGCCGTATTGGCCCAATGAACAAGGAGAGGACACCAAGACGTTCGGCCCCTGGAAGATTACAGTGGCTGACTCCTGTCCTCTGGCTGACTTCACCATCAGAACACTCACGATAAAGAAGGTGGGAGTGACAAGTTCAATTTAGTTAGTTCAGTAAAGGTGTGGAATTAGCCAAAGACCCTTCCTTTTAGTTGAGTGACTCCGTGGTGCAGTCGATGGAGCATCTGCTCGGAGAGCCCTGAGGTCAGTGTTTCAATTACCGGCCCCATCTTACTGAGGACATTAAACGATGGTACTTGTTATCCTGCCCAATGCTCGGGATTAAAGAGATAACACAATACCTGTCGGCTTGGAGTCTGTATACATTAGGGTATCGATTTTAAACTGAACTGTGGTATCCCAGTGACATAGCAATATATCGTCGGACAATCGAAAAGACACAAACACCGAAATACCAAAAGCTCTGTGTAGTTCAGTCCGGAGGACTCTGCAAACACGATTCAAGGCATAGTTTGACTTTCCTCAACTTTTTTAAGAAGAAATGACCCTTCCTCACAAACGTATTGCTGACATATAGAATTGTTTGCTAATTGATATTAATTTAGGTTGAAGCTAGAATTATATACATAAGCATATCTTCCATAGGGAGGCATGCAGAGGACGGTGAAACATGTTCACTACATGGTGTGGCCTGACAAGGATGTGCCAGACAACACCATGTCTCTGGTGGAACTCAGGAACAAAGTCAGGACCTTCTGTGACTTCGCCCAAGGACCCATGGTCGTACACTGCAGGTACAGTCACACCTGGAGTGAGTGAGTGAGTTGAAATCTGACTTTACATGAGCAATATTGCAGCCATGCCGTGACGAGATCACAATTGAATTATAAATTTAGACTGAAAAAAAACATTAAAAATATAATTACTCGATTATCTCAGATTATATCTAAAGCTAATTTAGGAATACTCAGAGGTTAACATTATAATTCAATAATCCGAAGTTTGGCCAGAGTTCGACAGATGGAGTGTATAGAAGAGTGTATACGACTTCGGCTGGACATGTTTCACTTCAATGCTCATGACCTTTGTGATGTATATGTTCATATATCGTCATTAAACTTTAACTTCATGTATTCTTTAAAGCAGTCCCCATGGTCCCCAGTATGATGATCTACCTTCAGTTGCTGGTGATCTATAGCCCGTTTTTGTATATTGTACTGCTGTCTCTAATGATTTATTTTTATGATAGCGTACTAGTTTTAAATTAAGAGCTGTCATAATCTAGTATTTTTACTGTCCTTCGATGACAGGTTATTACGTTCTAAATTTATTGATTTTACTATTGCTATAAATTAAATTGTTCTCGTCACGATGTGGCTGCAATATTGCCGATGTGACGCTAAATATTAACTCACTCACCGACTCTTTAAAACAGTTTGTTGACAGATATTACCACATACGATACAAGCTTATAAATAATTTATATAGACAAATCAGATTTACGGCGTCTCATCTTTGTATACTGTCCGTAAGAACTAGAAGTAGACAGGCGTGGTAAATTATTACATCTTCCATCCCCTGCCCAGTGCTGGTGTGGGCAGAACAGGAACCTTGATTGCTCTGGACTCCCTGATAGAAGACGCTGAGACCGGAAACATGGTGGACATCTACGGCTGTGTCTGGCGACTCAGGAACTGCAGAGTCAGTATGGTACAGACACAGGTCAGTAGATGCAGGGAAACCTCACACGGTATTGGGAATAAGGGATGTTAGACGTACAGTTGAAAGCAAAGTGGATCCGGAAACGCCTCTACAAACGTTTTTGTCTGAACGCAGGACGATGTCATCAGTGATATTGCAGTGACATACACAGGAACATATATGAGATAGTAATGATTTTATTGTAAAAGTTTAATTATTTTATCTCTGTGTCAAGGTTTGTTTTTAAGATGTTTCTTAAATGTTCTGGTTATTGTATTGTTTTTTATGTTCACACACGTGACGCCAATGTTATATTGACATTTCCACTCAATATTCAAATGCAAGATTAATGACATTGACTGACTAACATATACGTATATTATTCTATAGTCCCAGTATGTGTTCCTCCATGACTGCCTCCTGGACGCTCTGTGCCATACAGTCCTCTCCACACCCGCCAGTCTCTATGGCATCGCTCATCAACAGCTAAAGAAGAACTCCAACCTTGCTGTTGCCTATCAGGTGGGTTATGTTTGCTCCAGTTAACCATGTAATGATGGACGTAATTGTACATCAGACATGAACATGCTTGATAACGGTACAAGAATCTCCATCGAAACGTCCCACTCAAAAGATGTTGACATCCATAAAATTGGTCATTATTGACTCGATAATTATCTATACGTTCGTTATATACATAGAGCTATTATGGTGCTGGGCACTGTTTCACAAAGCAGTATTAGCGCCACGACTTAACACTTATGTCGATAGTCGTAGCGCTATGATGGCTTTGAGAAACAGGGTCCTGGTTACACAGGAACTACAACACATTAACCTGTACTCTCCAGAAACTCTGCGAGTGCCCTGAGACTGACCATGTGAGTGACGCTGCCAGGGACCTCGAGAACATCGGAAAAAACAGAAACAAGGACATTCTTCCTGGTAGGTTTCACAGTGCCAGTCAAACCGACAAACTGGAATCTCGCTATAGTGAAAGATACCAACCAAACGTACAAATCCTTAACCTTTAGTTCAGTATGTACGTCAGTTCAACTGTAAGCAAGGGTAAGTCATTGCATCTTTCAATGGACAAATGAATACAATATTGATATACTGGAGACGAGATGCAAATAGCTATGCATGAATGCACATGTATACAAAGGTTTAAGATGAAGACTACTCTCAATCTCTGTACCACTTTATTACAGGAGACAAGCATCGCGCTACTCTGTCAACACGCGAAGCAGGGGGCACCGACTACATCAATGCAGTCATCGCTCCGGTGAGTATTTATCACTGTCCCGATGTCATACATCACTCAAACTCATTTTCACTCGCTGACCTGGTTGAAATCATCGTATCCCATTTGAACAGATTGATGCTTCTTATGCTGTTGATCACTGGATTATTTGGTTCAGACTCGATTATTTACAGACCGCCGCCATATAGTTGGAATATTGCTGAGTGCGGCGTTAAACAACAAACCAACCAACCAGCCAATATTTTTGTCACAAATGTGTCAATCTATATATTATCTGTCTGTTGTCATAGAAATCTTGAACAAACAAAAAAATATACTAAAATATATGTTTTTCATAATTTTCTAAGTAAAAAGTGAAGCATTGGTTATTCTTTCACATATCCCTTGGTGATTCACATTTCAGTCCTATGAGAAGCGACGCGCGTTCATCCTCACTCAAATCCCACTGACGTCCACAGTTGTTGACTTCTGGCGTCTCGTCCACGACTATGACGTCCGTGGCATCGTCCTGCTGGAGAACTACACCGACATGGACGCGGTGAGTCTTCGGATAAAGACCCGTGAAGATCCGGGTTAGAATGTACCTCCAGTAACCCATGCTTGCCGTAAGAGGCGACTAACTGGATAGGGTGGTCAGGCTCGCTGACTTGGTTGACACATGTCATTGTATCCCAGTTGCGTAGATTGATGTACATGATGCTTATCACTGGATTGTCTGGTCCAGATCCGATTATTTCCATATAGCTGGAATATTGCTGAGTGCGGCGTAAAACTAAACTCACTCACTCACTCACTCACTCACAGGATAAAAAGAACACGATACCATACGATTACCATAGAATAAAACATGTACCGTTTGCTACTGAACTAACGTAAAGCTCTGACAAGAACAATGAATGAATTCAGGTGGCACAAGAGAATACTTTTAACATCGTAATGTATTATCTTTTCAGTATGCTCGTGTAATATTTTACTGTGTGTCAGTTATGGTTTACCTAGCCTAACAGACCGCTGTGAGTTTAAGTGTTTTACTAACAAACAAGACAATGTTAAATTATCTATTTCTCCCGTTTTGAACTCAGAAGTGTGGCATGTTCTGGGCCAAAGACAAAAAGCCGACCAAGTTTGGTCCCTTCAGCGTTAGTGAAGGGAAGATTGAGGAACATACCGGCTTTACTATGGAGAAAATCTGTTACAGCCAAGGGGTAGGTATAAAGGACCTTGATGCCTGAAAACACACGTGAATAAATGCTTCATGGATGAGACTTTGGAGATCGTGAGTATCAAATGAGACTGATGTACCAATAAAGCTAAAGAATGACACGAAGGTATGTATTATATACGAGAGAGTGATCAAATGAGACTGATGTACCAATAAAGCTAAAGAATGACACGCAGGTATGTATTATATACGAGAGAGTGATCAAATGAGACTGATGTACCAATAAAGCTAAAGAATGACACGCAGGTATGTATTATATACGAGAGAGTGATCAAATGAGACTGATGTACCAATAAAGCTAAAGCATGAAACGCAGGTATGTATTATATACGAGAGAGTGAGTTGCTGGAAGTTATATGTCAAGACAGCGATGATATCAGCTGACGGATCAGAATTTCTTCTGCACTTCTCGGAGAGGTTCAGTCGCCCAGTAAAAGCGTTGACTCTTCAGGCCGATGACAGGGTTCGATTACAAGTATGGTGGACTGGCTTCCTCCACAGTGATATGGCTTGAATCGTATGGCGAACTGGCTTCCTCCACAGTGATATGGCTTGAATCGTATGGTGAACTGGCTTCCTCCACAGTGATATGGCTTGAATCGTATGGTGAACTGGCTTCCTCCACAGTGATATGGCTTGAATCGTATGGCGAACTGGCTTCTTCCACAGTGATATGGCTTGAATCGTATGGTGAACTGGCTTCCTCCACAGTGATATAGCTTGAATCGTATGGTGAACTGGCTTCCTCCGCAGTGATATGGCTTGAATCGTATGGTGAACTGACTTCCTCCACAGTGATATGGCTTGAATCGTATGGTGATAATGCGGCCTAAAACTCCATTCACTCCATTCACATTTTCGGAAAAGAACCAATGCATGTAGATATTGTCTTTAAACACACACGTGTAACCATTTCATTAGAAGACAGCTGTATATTTTAGTTCCTGAACATAAAAAGGTCATAATTCGGGTCATTACAATTCATTTTAGTCTGTTTCAAGTTACCTGCTACCTTTCTGAGACGTATGTTTAGTTGTCATGTGAATCTGACGTTAAGCTGTGCTCAAAGCAAACTTTCACTGCATAATTGTAGACGATGTTGGCAACAGCTTACGGTTTGACTTGGCAATTAATAAATGCAGTTTCTAAACGTGTAATGAAAAATGTTGTTCCGATGTTCCAGATGTTATCCGGCCTGATGACGTGCAGTGATCAGATATTTTTGCTCTGATGGTATACTTCCCATCAAAACTTTAGACTCACTTAAAACAATCATTATATGTTATGTATATATATATGGTTACATCGAAGATTGATTTCTCCACTAACTTGGGGGAACCAACTGCAGACCAAATATCGTGCATGTGAACAGCTTCATTTTGGTGTAAAGTTTTGTTTAGAAATCGCCAATTTACACTGATTTGTATCATTTATTGAACTCATGACAATAATCTTTTCAGCGTTACGAATTTCTTTTACAATACATCAGTTCATGTGTAAACGGTACCTTAAACATTAAGGACAATTTTGCAAAATTTATTTTAGGTAAGTTGCTATATGTACACCAGTGAGTCTAAACTTCTGATGGGTAATATATTTGCTACTTAATCTGATATACCGGATCATGTTCCGGGGCCACATGTTTATAACGTTACAGTATTTAACACTGTTATGGAGTAGTGATCTGACATAGGCACGCAGAATGCAAAACTGGAAAAATCGGTGCACTTGTTCGTGAAGTCTTCAAATTACATGTATATGTCAAAACGCCGTTTGCACCAGTACTAGAATGTGAATGACACATGTACATGGCTACAATATGTGAATCACACTTGTGGTGTCTCAGGCGTGATATTGCTGGAATATTGCTAAAAGCGATATTCACTCACTCACTCCGTTCGTGTGGTTCACCAGTTGTGTGTCGCCACGACCTGGGACGATGTTCATGCTTTCAGTCACTGTTGTTTGTGGCTCGACTTTATATTGAGGGTTGTCACAAAGTACAGCTACATGTACAATAAAAAGCACAGGTCGAATTTGAAAAACATTACTATGTTCAACTGCAATCCTGCGTGCCCTTTCACAAGACAAGTACGTTACCGAGAATGTGTGCAACACCGTGAGCTGTTACCGCTGCTCTGCACATCCTTGCCCGAAACTACGTAAATCTACGGATTCTGTACCGATAAGTTCTCCTCCATTCTTCCTGAAAGCAGAGGTTACTTGAGTACGTATCCTACAAAGATTTTATCGGGTTTGGATCCGGCAGATGAAGGAAGTCAACAGGGACACGATCTGTGTGTCCAACTAACTGTCTGTTGACAATCTGGAGAAGGCGACGTTGAAGAATTTGGTCGATGTACCAATTTGCAGTTCCGGACCACCATGTTATATTTGGTGAGAGAGATATGGCTTCCAGATATGGCTCCCTCCACTTCCGACCCCTAATATGTCAAACGCAATACGGTGAAAACCTTCATTTCGAAGTCATTAGACACGCCGTATTGCGTTCGAGCAGAAACCATGATTAATCGCTGAAAAGATCCTCGGAATCCATGCCTATGCGTTGTTGCTCCAAGGCCTGTGTTGTTGTCGATGCAGTAGTGGGCATTGTGTATTCATAGTAGAGAAATGTATGACAAAATGATCCACTGATTTTTAACTACTTACTTATAACCCTTGACACAGCACGATTGTCAAAACGTGCACGCGCTTCTTGCTTTTAATTCTTTTCCTTGACGTTTTCGTGCAGTCTTTCAAACGTTGTTCACTAAAGCTACATACGTTTACAACTGTTGCGTGTGTTTTTCACCATTCAAAAATTATTATATATTTGTATTGAATGTTTCATGAATATACAAAATCAACATTATATCCTGTGCGTTCCTTTTTTGAAGAGTGTATCACTGACTGCAGCATGCCTCAACTGATTTCCCTTTGATATATATGGATTTGTTCCTCCAAACAGAACGATGAAAGGGAGGTAACCGTGTTCCGTTCTCCCGCCTGGCCTAAGAAGAGTTCACTTCCGGAATCACCATCTAGCCTCCTCAGCTTGATCGACTTCCTCAGACAGTGGAACGCTGGTGCTCCTTCACCCCTTCTAGTTGTCTGCAGGTACCACTAGCCTGTACAGTAGCCATTAACTACATTCAATATCTCATTTTGTATAGTTACAGTCTATGACTGTTAGTGTTACACAATGTATACATGTAGGGATATATGCATAGTTGTTACCAACGTGGTGCCTAATAAGCCATTTTCGAGTTTTGCCATTTAGAGTTGTCCATCCTTTATGACACGTGACCAGGGGCATTAATGGCTTACTCTGTTTCAGGGACGGAGCCACCAGAAGCGGTCTCTTCTGTGTTATTGCCAGCGCAGTGCAGCGCCTGCTGTTGGAAAAGGAAGTCGCCCTCCAGCAGACGATACGCAGCATACGTTTTGTCCGGAAACAAGTTATTCCCAACCTGGTATGGAAATATTGATAACGCAGTCATTGGGAACATGGACATATTCCTTTTATTCGCAGTACGAGAACCAAAGCTGCATCAGATCCAAATCGCGCAGATTCTTGGTTTGCCTTCACCATATTGGTGCTTATTGGTTGTTGATTTTTATATCCGACATTTTGAGTCATTTCTGGCTCCTAGAAGGCTCAAATTCCGATATGCAACCCAAATACTGTTCGTAGCAACAGTTCATTAATTATGTCATTATATAACGAAGTATGACGATTTATGAATTTAGAGCATACTCGGCAGCAGAAGAAGAATGTGCCATGGGCATATCGTTCACAATGGTGACAGTGCATTAAATAATCATGAGTCTGACAACTCATTTGGCTTAAAGTACCAAGCGTGCTAATCGTTACTGGAACTTGCATGAATGTTTTCATTATATACTCTTAAAAAAAGTAGGGGAACTTCGTTTCTGAATTTACAGTTGAAACATTTGGGAGATATATCGCAGTCAATCAATGTTGATATGATCATAATGAATGTTTTGAGAGTGCATCGTCACATGTACTTCCTTATGACCATGCATGGTTGTTTGTACAGTAATCGCTCTTGAAAGATGACTGGTGTATGACGGAAATTGCATGTGAACGATATTCATTTTCAAACAAACAAAAAAAAACCGGCTAGAGACAAACACTAACACTTGTATGATGCAAGATGATTGTCAAAACTAATGGTCTACATCTATTTATCGACTTTCTTGAAAACCTTCAAAATCAAGAATGACACCAAATGTACGTGTATGGGGCTACTGCACTGTGCACGTGCACCCATGCGTTGTGTTTAGGGGTGGTGATAAAGAGAAATTGTGGTACGTTCATAAGATGTCTGTCTTTGAAAGGTTTGCTTACGCTTATACTTCCTACCTAAATTAAAAGTTCCCCTACTTTTCTCAAGAGTATAGAATCATTTACAGAGACTTGGCTTCGAAGTTATTACTGCATTTTTTTATTATCATTTCAGGAACAATTTGAATTCTGCTATGACTCTGTGAAGGCCTACATGGACAGTTTCCAGGAATACTCAAACTTTGCTTGAGATGAAGTTTCATTGAGTTAGTTCGCTAGGTGTTCTTTGTTGAGTTTTCTTTCTTTTTTTCACTTTGTTACAATTCCATTATGTATGTTTTCTATTTTATCGTTTCTTGAAAATGTATTTACAAATCTTCGTTTCTTTTTAATTCAGGTCGCCTGTGAGCATTGTTCACATGACCGACAATAAATGCGATGTCAGTAGCAATACAAATGTGAAATTCACATGCCTCTTTCCAGATGGATCTCATTACTGTAAATATTTTGTGAGAGCATCTTTCAAAGAACTGTTGTCAGTGTTATCACATAGCGAGGTGTATGTTAACATCGGGTGAACAAAGAACTGTTGTCAGTGTTATCACATAGCGAGGTGTATGTTAACATCGGGTGAACAAAGAACAGTTGTCAGTGTTATCACATAGCGAGGTGTATGTTAACATCGAGTGAACAAAGAACTTGTCAGTGTTATCACATAGCGAGGTGTATGATATAGCGAGGTGTATGTTATAACGAGGTGTATGTTAACATCAGGGGAAAATAGAACTGTTGTCAGTGTTATCATATAACGAGGTGTATGTTAACATCGGGGGGAAATAGGAGCTGTATTCCTAAATATCTCGCAAGGCTGATAAACTTGCTATTTTCAGATATTTTGATTATTTCTTTTTGTTTTGTTTTATTCAACATGTAGTTTTTAATACTTTTTCTTTTTATATTATATGTAGATAATATGTTTAAACTTTTTATAACATTGCAGTTAACACTTCCTCAAATATTACGAAACTAAAAAATCTGACTGTTCTGGAAAGTGTCTCCTTTGTTCTTGCTGTTTCCAATACAGATGTCCCGTTTATTTCTCCTGATTTAGGAACAGTTTCTCCATGTTAATTGTTCTGGCCTTAGAGTGTGTGTCAATTTAGATTTCATATATATAACAATAAATACAAGCGACAAACCGTCAGTAAGTTTACCCTCTATGCAAGAAGTGATTATGTCGGCTTTGGGCTCCAGTAAATGTATGTGTAGATCGCTGAGAGAAATATTCTGGGGAAAGTGAATTAAATCATGTTGAAACACAACGTTATTGTTAAATGATCTATCACGAATGTCACATTTAAATAGTAGGTATCAAATTTATGTTTAAGAGCATACCCGTAACTGTCACCTTGTTAATGACTTCTCTCCTGTGGATCTCGGCAAGTTACTAGGATGCTCCCGTAACTGTCACCTTGTTAATGACCTCTCCTGTGGATCTCGGCAAGTTACTAGTATGCTCCCGTAACTGTCACCTTGTTAATGATTTCTCTCCTGTGGATCTCGGCAAGTTACTAGTATGCTCCCGTAACAAATACAATTTATGTACAATGTTTAGAATTGAGAAATGCATTGAGTTTGATCTTTTGAATCGATTCTTTTTTAATGTTTTTTTAATTGCTTTTAATACTTGTTTAATATGTGATATCATTATGCTTCGTTTATCATTATCCTCTAAATAACAAATATAACCATAACATTTGATAAAATACCACATCAGTATCGTTCCGGACAACTGAAGCCCAGTTAAGAATGTTGGATCAAACGTGATTATTTTCAAGCAATGGATAGGGTTTTTGTCGATGACTTGAACCAACTGAAATCGGCAGTCGAAGAAATATGCAATGTCACAAGGGACAACCTTTAAGAGCCTTATATCGATGTCAGGTTTGCTTGCTCAATAATATTGTGTTCCGAGTGTGTCTTGATCAGTTTGGGGAAGTCTCTGCACGTGAAATGGCTGCAAATCATTTAGTGCTTGTAATGTAACTACTAAAAAGGAAGGCCATTCAAAGAATGACATATGTGATAAAAGTATTATTACCCATGTCAGGTGCTCACATGAAAGTATAAAAATAGATTCAATTTGTATTCTTAAGAGGGGTGGGGCAGGACATGCCTACCCGTTTCGCTTCTTTTGTCATCACTGATTTTCAGAGGTTGATTCATATTATTTTCACCACGGTTTTGCCGTTTACACCGACTGGAATCATATAGACATTTATTCAGAAAAGATATATTGAGATTTAAACATTCTGTATGAGGATGTAATCAACATTCAAACATGTTGTGGTAAGAGCCAATTTCAACAGAATTATATATACAAAACGCAATTTTCTCACAAATCAAACATAAACGTTAGAAATTGTTTTCCAGTTGTTTGGTATTTCTTTCAAAAAGTCTTGTATACGAACTAGACCTTAGCGAATGTGAACACACTTAACAGAGAGAAGCACAGTTGGGCAGAACATTCGTGAATGCCCCGAACTTTTCAGGCGATAAGATGGAAATGTTAACCAAGGTCAGGATATTACCACAACACCTTATGGATGTTTTCAGTTATTTTGCATGCATCATCTCAGAATATTACATTTGTTTTTATGTTCTTTTTTATACATTATATTCAAAAGGTATTTTTATATTACGTTTAACAAATAAATGCTTTTTAAGTATTTATGGTGTGTTGATTTATTGTTACAGTTGCTTGTATCAATAGAAACGTCTACTTTTCCAATTAATTACCAATATGACCACCATAGTTATGATAAGGTGCACTTCATTCTTCACAGGATTACACAGACAGACATTTAATTATAACATTGCACAAAGGATAACGTCCCAGTCCCTGTTTGTCGTAAGATATAACTACAGAAGATCGAGCGGTAAGGTACATTTATTTACCCAAGGTGGTAACCCTAGGTGTTAAAGTGACATCGTAACAGAGTAGACGGTTGATCATACTATCAACCACTAGGTTGTTTTCTGAACCAGACTGTATTATGAACAGCCTACCAATACACGCTCGAAATAGCTATGGTTCGTGAAGGTTCGGGTTAGATTGAGCCTTCAGTAACCCATGCTTGTCGTAAGAGGCGACTAATGGGATCGGGTGGTCAGGCTCGCTGGCTTGGTTAACACATGTCATCGGTTCCCAACTGCGCAGATCGATGCTCATGCTGTTGATCACTGTATTGTGTGGTCCAGACTCGATTATTTACAGACCGCCGCCATATAGCTGGAATATTGCTGAGTGCGGCGTAAAACTAAACTCACTCAGTCACTTGAAATAGCTATGAATGTGACGTAAAACAACAGTATTCCACTTTTTAACAATTTGAATTGGGTTGTATTACCCAGTATCACTCACAGAGCGGATATACGTATTGAGAAATGTGACATTAACAACGAAATAGTGCACGGTATTTACTTGGGTTAACATCGGTATCCATAGTAACGTAAAGTATGAAGCAATCACGCAGGGCCTGGGGACAAGTGGCTGATTTGCTCGAACTAAATAAATCAAACACCGTGATATTCAGGCTTGTTTATGTTCCGTTGGGGCAAGGATAATTTACCGTCAGAGCACCTTCATATCAATAATGGAACACGCTGATGGCTTTGATGAAATGGTGTAGTCTAAATAGTGTTGGTATATACAAGGATAAGCCTCTAGCATGTTATCAGCTTTCGCTCGTTGAATACGTTTTGAACCAACTCACTGTAAGATAAATGGTACCTGACAGACACTCGTGTAGTTATCTCTGTGGAGGTAATAGAAGAGTGTAGATAACATACAGTGTTGGTTTCTGGTCGTCATCCGTTAGCTCGTCACCCCGAAGACCCGGGTTCGAATCCCCACATGGGTACAATGTGTGAAGCCCATTTCTGGTGTCCCCCGCCGTGATGTTGCTGGAATATTGCTAAAAATGGCGTAAAACCAAACTCAGTCAGTCAGTCAGTTCTGGTCGTCATCATAACTAGTTTATTCTATTTGCTTCTTTTTGAAACCATTCTACTGTATCTGTATGTGTGGGGGCGGTGGGATAGCCTAGTGGTTGAAGCGTTCGCTCGCCACGTTGAAGACCCGGGTTCAATTTCCCACATGGGTACAATGTGTGAACCCTATTTCTGATATCCCCCGTCGTGATTTCCTGGAAGTCCGAGGTAACACCGTACTCACTCAATGTATGTTTTCTTAAACCACAGAGACAGAATAACGACAGACGACTACACCAACCTTACTCCCACAATAAGTGAAGAGGATGAATGGAATAGGACAGTATACTGTCTAATCAAGGATATGGGGAGGGTATAACTGAGAATAGTACCTTGTATTGTCTTTTCGATCATGTAGCGATGGTATAAATGAGAATAGTAACTTGTATTGTCCATTCAAGTATGCGTGGAGGATGTAAATGAGAATAGAGCCTTGTATTGTCTATTCAAGTGAGTGGGTGAGTTTGGATTTACGCTGCTTTTTGCAATATTCCAGCAATATCACGGCGGGGACACCACAAATGGGTTTCACACATGTGCCCATGTGGGGAATCGAACCGTGGTCTTCGGCGTGACGAGCGAACGCTTGAACCACTAGGCTACCCCACCGCTATGGTCTATTCAAGCATGTAGGGAGGCATCCTCGATAATCTCCAGGGTATACGTTACGATCGCTCTTCACTATACCCTGGATGCATCCTGGGCTTGGCCCGATGATTTTATTACCTCCCTTTGCTGGCTTTTTATCCAATCAGGTGTCTACGCTGGGAAGTTGGGCGAACCAATCACAACTCACTTTCGCTTCTTAAATTATTTAGCCGTTTAAACTTGGCAACACAATTGATGCAGAGGTACTCTGAAAGAGGTGGAAGGAGTTCTTTCATATATTTTTTTAAAGTTTTAGATCTGTCAATATGTCTGTACGATTTCCCCAAAATCTGAGTGTCACTGCGAACAAACCTTCGCGACTGCGACCGCTATCTTTGTTGACACTGGCAAGCTCGGATGTAACGGCGGTTTAGCTGATTGGCTACTGTGAGAATGCGGAGCCAGCAAAGGGAGGTAATATAATTATCGGGCCAAGCCGTGGATGCATCCAGGGTATAGTGAAGAGTGATCGTATCGTGTACCCTGGAGATTATCGAGGATGGTAGGGAGGGTATAAATGAGAGTAGTACCTTGTTTTGTCTACTCAAGCATGTCGGGTGGGTATGAATGGGAATAGTACCATGCATTGTCTACTCTAGCATGTAGGGACGGTATACATGAGAACAGTGCCTTTGATGGTCTACTCTAACATGTAGTGAGGGTATAGATGACAATAGTAAAAACTCAACTCACTCACTCAAAGTAATCGACATTTCGCAATACATCAATGAGCAAAAAATACATTTTGAATGAGACTTAACAGTGTTTATTAGTTTAGTAGAGTGTGTATGTCGACTGAAATTCAAACATGGATTAACATCAGCGTCGACTGTACGACCAACAATGCCAAACTTGGTGTAAAAAGTATTAAATGAACTGACAACATCTTTAGAGTTATTACTAATGACCAGTAAAGCGCAAGACAAAAAGAACGCTGAAGTAAACACATGTAGTACATATAAAACAGTACAAGTAGAACATCCAATATCTTCATACTGCCTTGTGGTTAAAGCATCCGCTTGTCACACTGAAGATCTGGCTTCGATTCCCCAGATGAGTACAACCCATTTCTGCTCTCCCTCATTTTTCCGAAATATTGCTAAAAGAGGCGTAAAACGATACTCACTCACCCACTCCTCCTTGCAGGGGTTATTGGTTTGTGTCCTCTGCCACTACAACTAACGCGTCATTGAAGAAAAGAACTTAAGAGAAGCAACACGACGTTTTGGGGTATATTCTTACTCCTTCATCAGGTGAACATCCATAAGATTCCTACCCGTTGTTGATTTTAACGCTTCTGTTCATGCTCTTGTTATACTTGATGAATCTTATTGTATCATCTCCATGCCTCTCACCTGATGAAGGATAAAGGAGTAAGAATATATTCCGAAACGTCGTGTTCTTTCCATAAAGTTCTTTCCTTCAATGAAGTGTTAGTTGTATTCCTCAAAATATAGAAGTTGACATCGATAACATTCTTGAAAATACTACATCTAAATGCAGTTCTAAGACTTTAACACTTCATTGTATCAAAATGTCATATGTGGGCATCATTCAGATGACTTTAATATGTAAATTTCTAATAAACCGCAAGGGTCAAACCATGAATTAAGACATTAATAGTAGTACGGATGAGGACTGCCTCGTCCTAGTCATAACATCGTGTCCTATTTTGTACCTCCAGATAATTCCACTTGATACCACAAGGCGACATGTTATTCCGTCTGGGTACTATGCATCACTTGAATCTTCCCAAAAGGAATCAATGTCTCCTTTGCCTCGGGCAATCTAACTTAAAAGTAACAGCGGCAAACTCTTTCAGTATTTTTTTTAGTCATGAATTAATTTCAAGACTGAAATTAATTCACGACTCTCTCTGGGTCGTGTTCCAAATCGCCCTTGACCCGCTACTTGGATTGACCTTTGACCCAGGACAGCGAAGTAGTCGCTTACATCCTTCTCTAAAATCCTTTTTCTGCCAGGCGTAAACGATAGGATTGAGAAGAGAGTTGGATATTCCGAGGTATACCGATGTCATTCGGACGTATGTTAGTACGGGATGATAACTGAAGATCTGAATGAGCCCGAGTATGGCAAAGGGAGTCCAGCAAAGAGAGTATACAATCAGTACAACCCCCATGAACTTGGCACCTCGCAAGCTCTGTTCTCGTCTGGCGGATCGAGTTTCTCTGTTGATATTACGACGCCGACTGTGGGCGACGTGAAATATTGCAACGTAGAAACAGATTTCGAGGATTGTTGACAGTATTTGTTGACAAGATCCAAATCCGATATACCAAGCGCGGACAACACGAACAAATTCACATTTGGGGTAAATGTCCCAGTTGTTGACGAAAAATGGTACCGCTGCATAGCAGAAGGAGTAGATCCAGGCAACGGCGACCATGACCTTGACGTTTCTTATTGACATTATTGTGTGATACTGGTTGTTATACACGATTATCAAAAACCGGTCTATTGTCGCAAATATGCCGCTAAGCAGTGACACCGTCGTTAGGAAACTCATCAGTTCCATTTGAAACATGCAAAGAAACTCTGTCGAATTCAGTTTTGGTAGTAGGAAGAACAGCATTTGAAAAAGCATGTTAAATGACATGCAAAAATCCACAACCGATATGTTATAGACAAACACATTCGTGTGAACTTTAAATCCCAGGTAGCGTTTGTACACTATCAACACAACGAGGTTACTTGTAAACATGAAGAACCAGATAAACGGCTGAGCAATGGCGAAACCCATCAAAAGGGGAGGTAACCCTTGCGATGGGGATCCACCGCTGGTGTTGGTGGTGTTAGGTGTTTGGGCCAGTGGATCCATCCTTGCAGCCATGGTTATGTTGGTGACTGATCTAAAACAATATAACCATCTGTTACCAACGAGCATTATGTTACAATCAATCGATACAATGATTCTTTTATGTTACATTTGTTCTGCTGCATTTAACTTCAGTAAATAGATATGTTACCTAACAATTTCAATGAAAGTTCTTTTCTGCAATATGTTCTCACCACACTTCTCTGACAGTGAAATAGAGAATAAAGATGGCTCTTTGAATTTATTATCGGCCTTATCATTTCCAAAACATTCTATCCATTTAAAGTGTTTTCCGAGTCTAACCTCGATGAAGCTGCCAACAGTGACGTTTGTGCTCATTGTAATCGGTTTCCGGGGGAAACTGAGACCGGATATACTCTACCGAGCTAGGGTAATTAAACACAGAGAAAACACTATTAATACTATCAAAATAAGGATATATTTGCTGTGTTTATTTGTTGGTGGACCGAGGTTTCCCAGATTTCATCATATGCCTAGTTGAAGGCGTCTATTGAACTACAACAGGAATGATTCGTTAGACACAGTTTCAACTGAAACTGTTGTGAACATATTTCTTGGGCGTTTTATTTTCTTATCAGCAGCTGAACATTTGCACTTGTATTCAGAAATAAAACAGCGTTTTATTTTCAACAAAATCAATGCTTTTATGTCACTGGGTTTTTTGGTTCATCGATCACTTGATTGTCTGGTTTGTTTACAGGCCGGCAGTCTTACTGCTACGATGTTTCAGGTAACAGACACTTACTTGTTAATGTGTTGCAAATTGTCCTAGGAGCGGCTGCTATCGCGAACACCTGGTGGTGTCAACACTGATTTTCAATGACCCATTCATAAAATGTTTTTACGATATTTTGTCTTTTGTTCCCAACGGATAATCGATACAATTGTTCATTGTTGATTGCGTTTTTCGTTTACTTTAGCAGGTTCTGCGCTTTGATTCCGATTTGTTTCCATGTTAATAAAAGGGCATTGCAGCAAATCAAGGCCATTATTGTGCGTTGACGTTCTCCATGTAGTTTGGTTAACTGACGCAACAAGAGGAAACCGTAACGGAACATCTGACGTAAAAAACCGATAAGGTTTGTTTCATGTGATCTTAATGTGAAGACGTTATGATGCTACGTTTCACCCGGCCATGTCAAGCCTCGGGTAATGGGAATCATAAAACAATTTCAGAGAGATGCCGGTACCAAGTTCAGCGAGTCCAATCTTTGCAAGTTTGGATGACAAATTATTTGCTAGTAAATGGCTCCAGATACGTATATTTGGCATCATATTCAAAATATATGCATATGTTACATACAGTTAGACCAAGGGTAAATGGGCTACAAGACGAGCTCTTAATATGACATTATTATTTGATAGGAAATGGCTCCAGGTACGTATATTTGGCATCATATTTAAAGCGCATACATGTCATATATTCAGTTATGCTAATTGTACATGAACTCTCCTTACAGCGACAAGGCTGATCCAGCGCTGAAGCTCTGTGACTTGATTTGCGTGTCATCAACCCTGACGCAGTGGAAAGTTGTTCTTAATTTTAATCACATGATCATCTGGTTCAAACTCGAGTACTTGTATATCGTGCTATTGCAAAAAAATAAATACAAATTTAAAATGAGAGTTATTTTCGTGGTTTCACTGTGTCCCCATCAGTGTTAAATGCATGGATAAAATCTCGGATGCCATGGATGAGATTCTGCATTGAACTGATCCCAACTGATTCAAACTAATAGAAAATAAGTAAATGATATATAGTTAGTGTTCAATATTGCTAGTGAGTTAAAACTAAGACATTGCATTGACGTTATTTCATTCATATAGCTCCCGTAATTGCTTATCGTGTCGAATCAAGGGCAGGTATAGAAACTAAATTACCCACCACTCACAATGGATTTAATGAATGCACATTCTCACCTTCTCGCAAACACCTGATATCCTCCCTATCTGACAGTGATTCATAAACGCGCTTATCTGCTAGTTGTTTGAATCATACGATGGATTCTTTTAGCTGAGATTTCTAACGACAAGGCGTTTTTTCCGTTTACATTGAAGTATGTATCACAGCCGTTATTACCATACCTAGGATCAAGTTACTATCCGTAAATTGAGCTACACCTTGTTTTGCTTGTTCAATCTGCCCTTGCTAAGGGCAAGACATGCACTATCGACCTTTTACAGGTATATTCTTACAAAATGAAGAAATCTAAGAAATGAGATGTTGCATGACTTTCTTTACGCACGCGTTACTGCGTTTATGAAGTTTACATTGAATCCGAGAGACTTTCAAAACAACGAAACATTTTCATTGCTATTTGAAATTATATGTTCGTACATAAATAAAGATACACATTACTCTGTGACAATATCCGACAACCTGCATGATCAATATATCTGACATGTAATATAGAATTTTAACTGGCATTATCCATTTGTTCTCAACAGAATATTAATATTATGATATAGTTTTGATTAAGATATTTTAGATTTCCACTTACCTGTTAGTCACGCGGACATGAAGAAAGATGATAACAAGCCTGAAAGGTCTCCCCGAATGATGCAGATCAACTATCGACCGTTCCCTAACTGTTTTCTGCCATAGCCACGGGCAAGCATCCCGGGACGATTAATTGACGTGATGAAAACGACACTATTCAGAATAAACAAACTGACAAATTACATGTCATAAAATATTAGGCTGTGGTATCAACAGGAGCACGATGGCGACAAGGCGATATTGACGGGAATAAATTCTACAGGAAGTCATTGTAGTGACATTTATGCCTAGGTGAGCGATGTTAAAGGGCAGCATTGTGATTTCTTGGGTGCCTTTGCCCTTCTGTCAGACCATACATAGCAGTTGATTCGCAGGCCTCCTGTGAGTTTCCCTGACATAAAGAATATCAAATCAATTAATTGTGTAATTAACTGTGTTTCTAAAACAATTTTTTCACTGATATGGGTGTTATAACGGATATATCCTTCTCGAGTCGTATTTGTATTTTCCTCTGTATAACCTTAGCAAACATATTTATTCTTAATGACATCAGCATGATTTCTGAGGCAATTTCCTTCTTCTGATTAAACATTCTAGATTTTCTATGTATTAAGAACTGTATTTTGTTCACCTAAGCATGAAAAGTTATTGCTATAGATATGAAATATTGTATAGATATGATAGTACACCATAGAACCATCATCACCATGACACAGTCGCGTTTTGCAGTATTCTGTTTCTCTTGCATGGCCGACAAGTGGCCAGTTGTCTAAGGCGTCACAATTGTTGTGGAGGGTTGCCTTCCTTAGACGTTCAGAAACGGATGTCGTGGGTTCCGAATCCCGGTTGGCCGTGATTATGTTGCACAAATTCCGTGTTCGTTTCAATTAACGTCGGGGTTTTATGTACTGCATCAAGCTGACACGTAGCACGCCGGGATACATACTAAAATACAACAACGTTAGAGCAAACTCGCGTATTCTTCCAGTTGAGTTGCGAAGTCGTGTAAGCCCGATAGGTTGCAAAGCTTTATATTTAGATAATATTGAGGGCTTGCCCAACAAATTTGGCAACAATCATGTGTAAGCCCGGGCTTTTTATTATAATGGTAGCTACGCCCCTGGAAGTGAAACGATTCCGCTTATTTCCATTCACTGAAGAATCAACACTTGAAGATCAGCTCAAAGATGCAATGGATGGACGTAACAGATACCATTACATTCTACATTAAATGGTTAAAAAATGGACCCAAAAACTCATCTACTCAGTCAATCGTTTCACATTTTATTTTTATTTGAACATTTGCATTTAAACATTTCGGTTGTATGCAATATACCGTATATGTATACACAAAACACATCACGTATTCGGCACCGAAGGGAGGTGTGGTAGCCTTGTGGTTAAAGCGTTCGCACGTCATGTCGGAGACTCGAGATCGATTCCCAACATGGGAACAATGCCGTGATCTGGCTTGAATGTTGCTTTTCGCTTCATAAAACCACAGTCACTCACTGTCAATGAAAGCGTCCCTCGCCCACATCTTGATAATTGTTTATCGAAAATAACACCCTCGTTCAGTGTTTTAATCAAAGTGATAAGTGATACCTCAGAGTCGGCTTCCTCACATATAAAGCTGTCAAGCCATTAGATAAATTCTGCTCGTCGCCACCTACGTCACTCACTCATTTCAGATACAGAGCAGCAGCAGTGATTACGGAATTCCAATGGCGCTGGGGCGGTGGGATAGCCTAGTGGTTAAAGCCTTCCCTCGTCACGCCGAAAACTCGGGCTCGATTTCCTACATGGGTACAACGTGTAAAGCCCATTTCTGGTGTCCCTCGCCGTGATATTGCTGGAAATTTGCTAAAAACGGCGTAAAACCATACTCACTCACTCCAAAGGCACTGATAAAATGACAGATGGTCTTCAATACAGTCTTTGTCTTGGTCAGTCTTTCCACTCAGCCTAAGGTCTCTGAGCCTGATGCTACCCAGCCTCAGGGGTCAGAAGGGCCTCGGTGTTTGTCCCAGGGCGTGGTATCTGCTTCTCGTCCCTCCTCCATTTGAAGACAAGGCAGGTGAAGAGGAGGCAGAGGTTACAGAAGACGATGGATGCCGACACGACCATCACCGGCATGACTGTAGCGCTGGGCAGGTCAAAGAACTCCTTTTCTACAGGACGAGCATAATGTGAAAGAAACGTATTCAAGTGAGATGCAAGGTAGATAAACGATCTCCAAAATATCGGTTTATACATGACGTAGTTTGTTCCACAGTCCCTTTACATAGATATACACAAAGAACCTAGTTAAGCACCCCCTGACATATCTCACGATTGAATGAGTTCCGACCGTAGCCCTTTGGAGCATATCTGGTACATGATTGGGCGTCGTGTGCAACAAAGGGATCCTCCTGTACAGAATATGGCCCACTTGGAAGCTGCTTTACACGAGGAATGGCGTAGACTGTCCCTTCAGAGGATCAGGAGGCTGACGGGGTATGAGAAGGAAAGTGCTGGCTGTCATACATGATGGATTCCAAAATTGAATTATTTTGTCAAAGGACCATGCGGGTCAGAAAAACTCATGTATTTTCCAACCTGGTCACCACGACTTTTGTGTACTTGTTGAAAACCCATCATCGCAAAAATACAGGGGTGCTTAATTAAGTTCTTTGTGTATACATATTTTTGCCCGAGTTTTTGCTTCGGGTCCCTTTTTATATCGCTTTCGCAAATGTTATCTTTTCCCAAGCAAAGTAAAAATGTGAGCATCTTTCATTATTGACCTACCTATATTACAATATGTTCCGGAGTATCCAACAAAACAACCTTCGTCACACAGACCTGTCGCGGGGTTACAAGCCTCGTTCCGATGACACAGCCCACATGTCTCGGAACAGTTGTCTCCCCATGTTCCGTCCAAGCATGCTGGAGAAGACCATTTATAACATAGTGGTACTCTCATACACTTGATCTTGATTACAATATATAACATAGTGGTACTCTCATACACTTGATCTTGATTACAATATATAACATAGTGGTACTCTCATACAGCTGATCTTGATTACAATATATAACATAGTGGTACTCTCATACAGTTGATCTTGATTACAATATATAACATAGTGGTACTCTCATACACTTGATCTTGATTACAATATATAACATAGTGGTACTCTCATACAGCTGATCTTGATTACAATTTATAACATAGTGGTACTCTCATACAGCTGATCTTGATCTTGATTACAATATTATAACATAGTGGTACTCTCATACAGTTGATCTTGATTACAATATATAACATAGTGGTACTCTCATACAGTTGATCTTGATTACAATATATAACATAGTGGTACTCTCATACAGTTGATCTTGATTACAATATATAACATAGTGGTACTCTCATACAGATTGATCTTGATTACAATATATAACATAGTGGTACTCTCATACAGTTGATCTTGATTACAATATATAACATAGTGGTACTCTCATACAGTTGATCTTGATTACAATATAACAGTATAACATAGTGGTACTCTCATACAGTTGATCTTGATTACAATATATAACATAGTGGTACTCTCATACAGTTGATCTTGATTACAATATATAACATAGTGGTACTCTCATACAGTTGATCCTGATTACAATATATAACAGAGTGGTACTCTCATACACTTGATCTTGATTACAATATATAACAGTGGTACTCTGTTACAGTTGATCTTGATTACAATATACCACATAGTGCTACTCTCATACAGCTGATCTTGATTACAATATACCACATAGTGGTACTCTCTTACAGTTGTTCTTGATTACAATATACCACATAGTGGTACTCTCATACAGCTGATCTTGATAACAATATACAACATAGTGGTAATATCCTACAGTTGATCTTGATTACAATTTTATAACAGTGGTACTCTGTTACAGCTGATCTTGATTACAATATATAACATAGTGGTACTCTCTTACAGTTGTTCTTGATTACAATATATAACATAGTGGTACTCTCTTACAGTTGTTCTTGATTACAATATATAACATAGTGGTAATCTCCTACAGTTGTTCTTGATTACAATATATAACATTGTGGTACTCTCATACAGCTGATCTTGAATACAATTTATAACATAGTGGTAATCTCCTACAGTTGATCTTGATTACAATTTAGTTGTAATCAACTTGTTTATATGTGGCGACTGTTTTATTTTATCATGTAATATATCATATAAAATAAAGAATGCTGCATAATGAATTAAGCATAATAACGAACTGTTGTTTCACGCTAAAATTCTATATTTGGTGAATCAGCCTCCTAGGGGTGTTCAAGCAGACAGTATATATAATCAGAGGGAAAAGTTACTGCGACATGGATTTTCTGTTGGGAATCATTTATTGGATTTGAGCCAGAGAAAACATTAAAATGGTCGAAGAAACACAACCAAGCACTTGTTGTTTGAACTGCACGAAATTTGCAATGGCCAGCTATGTTTACTTCAAAATCAAGATAGCACAATCCTTATCATTTTCATTTGTCACCTGAATCCCCCAACAACACTACAAGATGTCCAGCAAATCCACCCTCGAATAAGGAATGATTATCCCTTGGACTTTTATCGACGTCTACTCGAATTCGTTATCATTCTCTTATACACTATACCCACATGTTGGAGTAGACAGTCTATGGATTCGTTATTATTCTCATAAACACTATACCAACATGTTGGATTAGACAGTCTATAAATGTGTTATTATTCTCATAAACACTATACCAACATGCTGGAGTAGACGGTATATAAATGTATTATTATTCTCGTATACACTATACCAACATGCTGGAGTAGATGGTATATAAATGTATTATTATTCTCGTATACACTATACCAGCATGCTGGAGTGAGTATATACCTGTTCTTTTATTCTCATATACACTGTACCAACATATTGGAGTTGGTGGTATATGGATATGATATTGTTCTCATATACACTATACCAACACGTTGTAGTAGACGATATATAGATGTGATATTGTTCTCCTATATTCTATACCAACATGTTGGAGTAGACGATATATAGATGTGATATTGTTCTCATATCAACTATATCAACATGTTTGAGGGACGGTATATAGATGTGATATTGTTCTCGTATCAACTATACCAACATGTTTGAGGGGACGGTATATAGATGTGATATTGTTCTCATATCAACTATACCAACATGTTTGAGGGGACGGTATATAGATGTGATATTGTTCTCATATCAACTATACCAACATGTTGGAGTAGACGATATATAGATGTGATATTGTTCTCATATCAACTATACCAACATATTTGAGGGGACGGTATATAGATGTGATATTGTTCTCATATCAACTATACCAACATGTTTGAGGGGACGGTATATAGATGTGATATTGTTCTCATATCAACTATACCAACATGTTGGAGTAGACGATATATAGATGTGGTATTGTTCTTATATCAACTATACCAACATGTTGGAGTAGACGATATATAGATGTGATATTGTTCTCATATCAACTATACCAACATGTTTGAGGGGACGGTATATAGATGTGATATTGTTCCCATATCAACTATACCAACATGTTTGAGGGGACGATATATAGATGTGATATTGTTCTCATATCAACTATACCAACATGTTTGAGGGGACGGTATATAGATGTGATATTGTTCTCATATCAACTATACCAACATGTTTGAGGGGACGATATATAGATGTGATATTGTTCTCATATCAACTATACCAACATGTTTGAGGGGACGTTATATAATGTGTTATTATGATCGTATGTAGATGCGTTATTATTCTCATATAAACCTAACACATGTTGGATGAGGCGGCATATACACTATTCTCACATATTCCCTGAGCTTCTTAAGAATTATGGTGCTTCGGTTCCAGCATTCACCAGAGTGGTTCACCGGAGATAAATGTCAAAGATTTGTACCACTTTGTTTTGGGTGGCGGGGTAGCCTTGTGGTTAAAGCATTTGCTCCTCACACCGAAGACCCGGGTTCAATCCCAACGTGGGTACAATATGTGACGCCCATTTCTGGTGTCCCGCGCTGTAATATTGCTGTAATATTGCTAAAAGCAGCGTAAAACTAAACTTTCTCACTCACTCATTGCATCACTTGCGCTGTCACACTTGTTAAAGAAGACCATATTACATATTATACTTCCACGGACCAAGCATACTCACTGTGATCGCACTTGCCACCGTGCCATCCAGGTTCGCATCCAGAAGGGCATGTGCCGTTCGTCAGGTCGCACTGAACGGCGTCCGCACAATGTCCGCACTTGGAAACACAGTTGGCGCCATAGTAACTCTTGTCACAAGCTTCAAGAAAACGTTGAGTATTAAAGTACGAACTGAGAATGTATGGATGTCAATTTCTGTAATATGAGGAACACGACGTCTTAAAATGTATTCTTAGTCCTTCATCACATGATGAAGTAGTCTTGCACAAGTCTCTAGGTAATAATTTATAGTTTAAATGTGATTATCCAGTAACGCATTTTCAAAATTCCTCCTAGGCTTCTAGGCTTATTTCTGCCATAGCTTATAAGATATACTGAATACGTAATGGTTTAAAATAAATGGATGTCGACGAACACGTTTCGGAGTATATTCTTACTCATTCATCAGGTGACTGAAAAAGTAGGCAGCAGATAGTATATAAGTACATAAGAAAAAAAGTTGACATCCATAAATTCACACCTCATGTGTATAACTTCTAAATAGCGTTAATAAAGTAGCATTGAAGTGTACGTGAAGCCAACAACAGGTGCTCGCATTACACGCTTAAATATCATGTTTGTTTGTTGTGTTACGGCGATCTCGGCAATATTCCAGCTATATCTCTGTAAGTAATCGAGTCCAGACAATCCAGTGATTGACATCATGAGCATCGATCTAACCAACTTTGATACGATGACATTAATCAACCAACCCTACGAGTCTGACCACCTGACGCCGTGAGTCGTGTCGTATTACAAGTACGGGTTGCTGAAGATCAGTTCTAACTCTCATCTTCAAGAGTCAAAGACATCATCTATATACTAGTATTACATACCTATTTAATCGTACAGCTTAGACGAATGGAGGTTATTTTGTGACAGATGTTATTCTACTTTGTTTATTTCGTGATCAGAAACTGAATGATGACGTCAAACGGAGAATAAAACGTCTCTTGCGCGGAGTGATACCAAGGTCACGGTAACCTGTATGCGCAGTTTCACTAGAGACGTTTAGAGTATCTGCGTCATACTAGTGCATTTCGACTATGCATTGAACTCGATGATAGCATGGTTGGAGAGAAACAACTGTTGTTTCTTTAATACTTTGACATATTTTCGTTCAATACGTAAGGTCCACAGGCACAAGCATGACGTTCTATATATGTATACCGTCAACACGATGTAATTAAAGGTGTATATCAATGAACATGAGTAAACCAAGTGACGTATTGCACACTTAGAGATATCATGCATATCACGACGTGAACATAGGCGCGTATTCGCGTACGAGTACAGTAATATAGTGTGATTTCAGAAGAATATCTTATGTTAGTAATTACAGAACACTTTCTTTGTGTTTGCATTATATTACTGTCCACTATCGCCTTATGGCCGATTTAATTATGTAATTATATATTGTATTATTGACAGCAGTCATGATTACAGTATACATAACCTGGTAACACTGTGGCTGAACCTTTACCGTATTATTTTACGGTAGTTGTTGTTACCGTCTTCCGTAACATTTACGGTATAAATACTGGCAGCACGGCTGCCGAACTTTTACCGTAAAAAACTACGGTAAGGTTTTACATTGTACGGTGTGAACAAACAAGTATATCAGTACACTTGAGGCCATAGTGTTGGTCCTCATTACATGCTAATAAGTGCAAAGACAACGACACTAGGAATTTAGGAAAGCAGTAGATTCCGGTTACAGCGATAATGAGGTGTAACCAAGCCTCTCTGTTACAGTCGTAATTCAGATGATAGCTCTGTTTCGTTCACAGGGGTTCGAATGGTGTGTTTTATGTAATGAGTGTAACGGGAGAATTTTCTAAAAAATCCATTTCTTCACCGATTTCGTTCACATTTGGAATATACGTTACTCATAACATATAAAAACATTATACGGTTGCAAAAATCTAGATTTTTATTTTAAATAATTATTGTCCAAACAGTGATTCGAACCCTGTATTTTCGTGTATAAATTGATTGATTTGTGGAGGGAATAGTGCTGAGATATCGTGAACTCACATTGATGACATGTGGCACCAGACCAGCCCTGCAGACAGCCTGTAGTGCCACAGCTTCCGTTGTGTCGGTCACAAGGAGGGTGAAGACACTTCCCACACGTCTGGTTGCAGTCAGGCCCGTACCGACCAGGCATGCATTCTGTAGTGAAGCAGAGTAGATGCTGCGGAATGTGACGGAGACGCTTTCGTTACCGAGTACCCCATCCCAAGAAACAACCGATCCCACTTCCCCTAAGACTCATCTACTCAACACCCCTGTAGATTTATATGCTGTGCAGTACACTCCAATCATCACTACAGACTCACCTACTGTACAGGACACAGTACCACCACCACCACAGACCCACCTACTGGACAGAACACCCCTCGATCAAAGACTCACCTGCTATACAGAACACCCCTCCACCAAACACTCACCAACTGTACAGAACACAGCACCACCACCACCACAGACTCACCTGCTATACAGAACACCCCTCCACCAAACACTCACCAACTGTACAGAACACAGCACCACCACCACCACAGACTCACCTGCTATACAGAACACCCCTCCACCAAACACTCACCAACTGTACAGAACACAGCACCACCACCACCACAGACTCACCTACTATACAGAACACCCCTCCACCAAAGACTCACCTGCTATACAGAACACCCCTCCACCAAAGACTCACCTGCTATACAGAACACCCCTCCACCAAAGACTCACCTGCTATACAGAACACCCCTCGACCACAGACCCACCTACTGTACAGAACACAGCACCACCACCACCACAGACTCACCTGCTATACAGAACACAGCACCACCACCACCACAGACTCACCTACTATACAGAACTCCCCTCCACCAAAGACTCACCAACTATACAGAACACCCCTCCACCACAGACTCACCAACTGTACAGAACACCCCTCCACCAAAGACTCACCTACTATACAGAACACCCCTCCACCAAAGACTCACCAACTGTACAGAACACCCCTCCACCAAAGACTCACCTACTGGACAGAACACAGCACCACCACCACCACAGACTCACCAACTGTACAGAACACAGCACCACCACCACCACAGACTCACCTGCTATACAGAACACCCCTCCACCAAAGACTCACCTGCTGTACAGAACACAGCACCACCACCACCACAGACTCACCTGCTATACAGAACACCCCTCCACCAAACACTCACCAACTGTACAGAACACCCCTCCACCAAAGACTCACCTACTGGACAGAACACAGCACCACCACCACCACAGACTCACCTGCTATACAGAACACCCCTCCACCACAGACTCACCAACTGTACAGAACACCCCTCCACCAAAGACTCACCTACTATACAGAACACCCCTCCACCAAAGACTCACCAACTGTACAGAACACCCCTCCACCAAAGACTCACCTACTATACAGAACACCCCTCCACCAAACACTCACCAACTGTACAGAACACCCCTCCACCAAAGACTCACCTACTGGACAGAACACCCCTCCACCAAAGACACCAAAGACTCACCTGCTATACAGAACACCCCTCCACCACAGACTCACCAACTGTACAGAACACCCCTCCACCAAAGACTCACCTACTATACAGAAAACCCCTCCACCACAGACTCACCTACTATACAGAACACAGCACCACCACCACCACAGACTCACCAACTATACAGAACACCCCTCCACCAAAGACTCACCTACTATACAGAACACAGCACCACCACCACCACAGACTCACCAACTATACAGAAAACCCCTCCACCACAGACTCACCTACTATACAGAACACAGCACCACCACCACCACAGACTCACCAACTATACTGAACACCCCTCCGGCACAGACTCACCAACTATACAGAACACCCCTCCACCAAAGACTCACCTACTATACAGAACACCCCTCCACCACAGACTAACCAACTATACAGAACACCCCTCCACCAAAGACTCACCTACTGCACAGAACACCCCTCCACCACAGACTCACCAACTATACAGAACACCCCTCCACCAAAGACTTACCTACTGGACAGAACACCCCTCCACCAAAGACTCACCAACTTGACAGAACACCCCTCCACCACAGACTCACCAACTATACAGAACACCCCTCCACCAAACACTCACCAACTGTACAGAACACCCCTCCACCAAAGACTTACCTACTGGACAGAACACCCCTCCACCAAAGACTCACCAACTTGACAGAACACCCCTCCACCACAGACTCACCAACTATACAGAACACCCTCCACCAAACACTCACCAACTATACAGAACACCCCTCCACCAAAGACTTACCTACTGGACAGAACACCCCTCCACCAAAGACTGACCAACTTGACAGAACACCCCTCCACCACAGACTCACCAACTATACAGAACACCCCTCCACCAAAGACTCACCTACTGGACAGAACACCCCTCGACCACAGACTCACCTTCTATACAGAACACCCCTCGACCACAGACTCACCAACTGTACAGAACACGCCCTCCCAGCCAGGTTCGCATCCAGCTACACATCGCCCATGTTGACTGTCACAGCCTGTATTTGAAACACAGTGACTGCAGTTGAGGGCACAGTTTTCCCCGTATTCCCCGAAGTCGCATGCTGAAAGGCAGGCAGGCAAGACAGACACAGTTACGAAGAATAAACACGCTGTAAAAAATACTCACGGCGCCTCATTTCAAAGGAAGATATGATAACATCAAGTTCAAGATGTTAAGGGTATAGCTGGTTATCTAGTTATCCAATATTAGATATTTGTTATCTTTCTGTGACTTTCTTGCATGTGGCTATACTAGGGAAGCGTATTTGTGCCACCGTCTAAAAACATTTTATCACCTTAGCAGAAGATGCTTTCGTATAATTAGAATTGTGCGTATCGTTATCTGTTGTCTTGTCTTGCATAGTGTCTTGCGTTGTATATACTCGGCGTCATTAATGAATGGTCAAGCTATTGGCAAACTATTTCTTAAACTTGTGAAATCGGGCAGCACTGGGTAGTTTATTTTTAGTCGGCCTCATTTCAAATTGTCACTCTATGAGCGATAAATTGCACAACATACATTCATTCAAAATAATCGACACATGTAAATGAAAGAGTAGCTTTACTGATCGTTCTGACAGCTGTTTTGTTAATGAAAAACATTTATTTATTTAGCTTTAAATCAGAGCAAATGTCACAACTCATAAGGTGTATATTGATTAGTTCAGTGGAATGTCTATCTGCTTGGGTATACTAAAAGTGGAGCACCAGTGGGCTGCAGTTTGAGACCATCGGTGTACATGTATTAGGGAGCGTTGCTGTGGGCACAACTGTTCGCCTCTGTACAAGAAGATGAAAAGAAGGCGATGCAGACAGAAGGCATCTTCAGTTGCTGGGAGTTTCTGCCCCCGAATATTCGTCTTGCCTGTCTCTTCACACCAAAGTGCAGTCAGTGAAGCTTCCCATATAGGGATCCCACACACTTAATGGCTGCTTTGGCTATTCTCGTGGGGGAAATCATACTTGACAACCTAACAGAGTAAGGTTGAAACTAAGCAGCCTTCTGCATCATTAGTTGTGAGACAGTGTGATTTCAATGTCAAGAAAACGGAGCTGACAGTGCCACGTTCAGACAGACATAAAACTGGTAGTAGCATCTACTGTTGAGCCATACTGAGCAGCCCATACATCGTTTATGTGCACAGGGATGTAGCCTGTCAGTTGGGTGTGGTTCCTGTCAGGAAGACGACTTCCTATACTTTGATTGCTGGCCCATCGTGTACCCACAGGACATAGACATAAGCACCATCTTCCGTTGCAGATACTGAAGTGTGTATTGTTCTTGTATCTGTTTCTTCCGGGTTAGAAAATATTTTCTGAATACCATGTGCTCTGCACCGCCTGCAGCACACATCCCAGTTTCAAGCCAGCAACTCCTGAACTGGGTGCCGTTGTACAAAACAACCTTAGCGCTAAGGCTACCTTAAGTCTATGTTAAAGGTACGGGAGTTATGGTCACCTTAGCGCTAAGATCGTTTTGTACAACGGCACCCAGGACGACATCTATTGGTGTCTCTCGCCTTCAACTACTTGTAAGTCATCTCGTCTGGACCAAGGTATTTCATAGGCATTGTGAGCGGTCCGATATGAAAGAACATGGGGACGTATTTTGACCAAGGGAAATGATGGCTTCCTTTGTTCTCTTCCGTGTAGTGTACAGAGTAAATGGTTAGTTGTGCCATGAGGATAGAGTTGAATGATACTGTTAAACTGCTGGTCAGCTGTCTGAACCGGCATCCCAACACAACATAGAACCCAACACAGGAAGTGTGTATTCTGTTGCTTGCTTGCTATAAAGGCAACGTCTAGCTATGCTGAAGATCAGGGCCTAGATTTTCGAAGCTCTCTTTGCGCTAAGATAGTCAAAGTTAATGTTAATGTATGGCACTTACGACTATCTTAGCTCCCAGTTCAATATATATTAAAAGGGCAATGATGTTTCTTCAACTTGATATTTCCGACCGGAACATTACATTATTTGGTGTGTTTTTTACATTATGGATACTTTGTCCTCCTTCATTTTCTCAGTAGCAGATGACAGGAAGTTGTCTGATTATAGCTACTTGCATAACAACAATTATCAATATGGTGATTAATTAAAATCACAATAAACAATGATCAATTAATCCTAACTGCACTTCCAAACTCACAGGAAATATTCACATATACCTCCGCTTGATGGGATAATCATGACTATGTTAAATAGATTGTGGATACAAATCCATCCCGATAATTTCGTGTGGGAACACACATAAAAGTGTAACCTGCTAAGTGAGTAGGGTTAGCAAAATAGCTTTTTCTTAAAACGCCATCAAAACGCCATCGTAACAGTAGTAGTAGATCATCAATTCTGACCACATCAGAAAATGTGGTTATGCTGGTTTGGGGATCTCAAAACCTAAACTACTTATAAGGCTTATGTTGCTCCACTGTAAGGGGGAAACCAACAGCGTAGTACTACTTTGGAGAGACTTACAACGATCACATTTAGGACCTTTCCATCTTGATGCGCATCCTTTCACGCATGTTCCGTTTGTTGGAAAACACGAAGTTCCTTCTAGACAATGACCACAAGTTTCACTGCAGTTTTCGCCATAAGTATCGATGGGACACTCTGGAATATGAACATACGAAAAACATTGCATCCAAAAGAATCAATACCATACCATTAGAAAAACAAACATAGTACAGTCATATAACATTATCTTACGACTGCGCTGTATGTCAACATCCGTCTAACACTACTCGATTTGCTGTCCCTCAGCAAAACAGAAGCCTTGAGTTCGCAACAGAAATTCGTCATGATTGTGTTAGTTTTACAGCCCCACAGTCATCCTTGCGTGAACAACGTGGTACATGACAAGTCACATCAAGGATTTTAGCTGATGTGACCCTGTCCAAATTATTGTGATTGTTTCTGTGATAGTTATTGTTCTATGTAAAGTATTTTCATGCTTAAACACATTTTTCTGTGATCACTCTGTTCTAACGTCAGGTGAATATAGTTATCCCCAGAAGAGTATTTTTCGTAAAAGGTGTGGTAAAATATTAGGTGTACAACCTGGGCTTGTTGACACTGATTATCGTTGAAGTTGCTCAAATGTCAATCACTGGATTGTGTGGTCCAGACTCGAACAATCGCAGGCCACTTCGATTATACACAAAGAACTAAGAACTAAGAAGTTAAGCATCCCCTGACATATCTCACGATTGATTGAGCCCCGATCTCCCTTTGGAGCATATCTTGGACATGATTGGTCGTCGTGTGCAACAAAGGGATCCTCCTGTACAGAGTGACATCAAGCAACAACTAAACAAAGAGACTTACTGGCGTGACAAGTCGGTCCGGTCCACCCGGTTCCGCAGCCGTTACGACATTCCCCTGTGCTTGTGTCACATGCCTCTCCACCACGACACCGACCACAACGATGAACACAGTTCCTTCCGTACGTTCCATTGCAGGCTGGAACATGACAAACTACATGTGCAAAGATTTCATATATCTTTTTTCAATCAGCATTGTATTTATTGTCATCGATACCATTTTCTTTGTCTTTAGCCGGGGGTGCAATTTGCGGCAATTCTCTCTGCGGAGTAGCGCTCTTTGGGTATGCAAACGCCATTGACTTCATACTGACTCACCATTACATATAAACTTTCAAAGCGGAGTCACAAACCAAATGATTGTCAGCTAGCAAAATGTATATAGATCATCTAAATAAATCTATAAGCCACATTATCACATATGTGTATGGAGTGTATAGATTGTATTCTGCATGAAATGGAGGAAATAAAGGACGTCTCTCAACATATAGGCATGGGATAATCAATCATTTAACACCCGGGTTTATTCGCCGCCATGATGTTGCTGGATTGTTGCTGGGGCATGGAACCAAACTCAATGACTAAATGTCATAAGGGACCGTTCATTATTTATGGCAAGGGGGGGTGATGATGATTATTATTCAGAAGCATGTACAATGTGAATGACCCTCCCCATTGCATATCATGTACAAAATCAATGACCCCCCTCTCCCTTCCCATATTTTGTAAGCATAATGTTGTAGTATTTTTATGTACAAAATTGCTGAACCCCCCTAGTACATGTGTACAATATTGCTGCCCCCACCCATTCCTTCCTGATGAACAAAATATAAAAACAGAGAACAAAATGGATGAAACACCCTCCTTAAAATCATCATAACCCCACATGAACAATGGTACAACGACCTAATCCATAAATTATGAACGGTCCCTAAAATGGTTTGTGTCCTTAACCGTGACGTTACTGGAATATTGCTGAAAAGCGGCGTAAAACCCTATTCACTGGTTCTTCATACTCTCACTCACTTTTGCCCCACATCAAAATGAAGTCTGACAACTAATAATGACATCCAAGTCATGGCTCTCGATCCAATGACCCTAAAGATTTCCTAAAGTCTGTCATCAAATTGTCACTCATGTATAAATCAATCTTTGCGATGTACCACCATTGTTAAAAGCCTTGTCCCTTTGCTAGACAACTCGACCTGAAGTGATGAAGAACTAGTCAAACTTCCGGCATAACCTAATCGCGATGTGCAAAGACTTTATGATCACATGACCCTCAACAGATGTCCGAGGTGATGTCAGATAAACAAGGCCATAGCACTTGCTTTGAGGGTTCAAAACGACATTCGTAGCAATGCCTGCCATTCTTGTGTTATTAGATCTTTCCTCCGCTTTTGATACCATCGACCACAGAGTGCTTCACATTGAAAAGAGACTTGGTATCACCGACAAAGCTATATCTTGGATTGAGTCCTATATCTCTGGACGGCACCAATCCGTTCACATTGATGGCACAACATCAAAGAAAGAAGAACTGCATTCGAGTTCCACAGGATCAGTCCTTGGTCCGATCCTGTTCACAATGTACACTTCACCACTTGGGGATGTCATTCGAAAACATAATCTGCAATTCCATCTGTATGCAGATGACACCCAATTGTACATATCTTTTAGACCACAAAGTAAACCATCAGTTGAATTCTCCTTTGCTGAGGTGGTTTCTGATATCCGGAATGGATGGCTATCAACTGAATTAATGATGACATTCCACTATTAAGCATCTTCAGTCACCACAGACATGCATTAAGACATCTCTCACTGCCGGCTTTCAAAATTTGATAAGAAGCGACGATACATATCTCCATAACCAGTAAACTATCAAAGACAAGGTCGGCGGTATGGTGTCCCACCATAATCATACCGCATAGGATAAAAGATGGTGTTTGTTGTTTCCTTCCAGAGGTTCGTCATTAAGGATACAAACACGGGCTGGTCGGCTCGGACTGTGTCCTACATGCGCCTCTGTTAAGCTAGACACATCCGTGTCCCGTATTACACAATGAGTAAAAAGTATGTGAGTTTAGTTGTTTCCCGCGTCATTAAGGATACAAACATATGCTGGTTCTGATCAGAATGTGTAGGTTCTATATTTTAGCTACAATATAAGTAATTCCCAGCACACACAACATGTGACAACTAACAAAGTGAGTTAAAGAGTTTGATTTAGAAATTTAAACTAGAAATTACGAATGGTGTTTACTGGAAAATAATACTCTTAATTATTGGGGATGAAAAAGCTGCCGACCATAAGGACCCATAGAAAACAAAAGCTCAGCTATTCCAGCAATGTGGCGGCAGTCTGTAAATAATCGAGTCTGGGCCGGACCATCCAGTGATCAACAGCATGAGCATCGATCTACGCAATTGGGGTACGATGACATGTGTCAACCAAGTCAGCGAGCCTGATCCCGTTAGTCGCCTCTTACGACAAGCATAGGTTACAGAAGACCTTCACGTTTCTACTACATAATGAATTCTTCATGCCTAACTTGATTACTAATTATAGACTCACATACAGAAGAAACCAAGCTGAACTTTCCGGATGTCCCAAAACTAACTTAATGAAGACTTCAAGTCTGATATACAGAATATTCCAAGTATGCTTACCGAATACCACAAGAGTAAATTAATGAATACTTCAAGCACATTTAATGAATACTTGACCTACTGAATGCTTCACGACAAACTTACTGAATACCTCCACCTCACATACTGTAATGGGCTTATGGAGGTTCATGATGCCCACATATCGGCCGGCAACAGGTTTGTCACATGTGAAAGACGTCCCGTTACCGTCGTAGCGCAGCGTCGTGCACGGCACTGACCAGAAGAGACTGTCCTCGAAGTCGCTCACGTACACCCCCCATGTCCGGATGGACACGTTGCCTACAAGATATAACACCTCAGATATTCTAGGATGTAACGGTGAAATGATAAAATGGAGAAGACAAACGTTGATGATGGTGACGATGACGGTGACGATAACGACAACAACGATAAGTGCTATTTGATTTAGATACACAACGACTCGGTCCTGTTTATGGCCATCCTTGATAAACCAGTGCATTGTATATGCATTTTGTTATCAAAAACACATGTTACCAATTCGGCAGTACAGCATCGATTCTAGTCTGGGTCACATGTCACGGTGCTGAAATACTGTGCTCCTCAGACATAAACTGAAGTTTTCAAGAATTTTACCTGGGTCGCATATAAAAATATGTTGCCGATTACACTGGAAACTCTAGGTTCATAATTTATGAAAAGATCACGCCACCACAATTATATATATGTTCTCCTGCATGACATTAAAAACCTTTTAGTCGTTCAAAACCAAAAAAAAACTACCATGTCGTCACTTTAAATCGTTTTCTAAAATGTTATGTAAAAGGTTTGGAGTAAAAATATCAGATATAGTTCATCAGAACCGAAAACAATCATTCGATTGAATATCAGAATCCGTCAAATGAAGTCTTTATATCTTCAAACATATTAAATTCAAATTTGAATATATTTTTCTTATTTCCAGTACATGGATACCCGCTCTTATCCTCATGCTGTGAACTGTCTGTTTTACTTGAAGATCTAACATCCATCTTCCTGTCCTGTTGGGGCGTGACGTGATACACGTAGTGACGTCACCGTCTGTAGTCACGCCCCTTTCTGCCATCTTTCCCGATACAGAAGCAGACATGTTGAACACTATGTTCCCTGTTCAACAAAGCAAAGACTAAATGTCATTGAAATTGGAAATGAAATCGTAAAAAGAATAAGTGAAAATTATTATCATTTCTAATAATAAAAGAAAACAATCAGGTGTGATTTAGAATTTATTTTCCTTTTTAACGAAATGTTCAGTCATTGACGCAGCCAGAATTTATTTTCAAACTGAAGGACTATTTACCAGTAATGAGTATAAATATCAGAAACCTGTCTTTGATTTCATTTGGATAAATCACTGTTGGATGTGACAAGAAGAGCCTTTTAACACAAGTTTACGTCTGGTCTGTTTACACGGCAACCTCACAGACAGTTTCTATAAGCTCTAAGACTTACTTCTTTGACAAGCTTCTCCTGACCACCCTTCCGCGCACCCGGAAGAACATTGTCCTGTGACGTCATCACAGTTTGCGTTCTTCACACAATGGCACTGATAAATACAATTGTGTCCAAAATGGCCATTTGCACACCTTCCTGAAATATTTAAGAATAGACAGCTTGTCAACTCACATACAAATTTAATATCTGTGTTTGCCCTTAACCCTGAAAAATTGCAGGTCCAAAGGACTCAGAACCATAACAAGTTGTCGGTCCCGATCAGAATGGGTAGGCCCTATATTTTAGCTACAATATCAGTAATTCCAAGCAAACAAACGCTGTGACTACTAACAAAGTGAGTTAAAGAGTTTAATTCAGAAATTTAAACTAGAAATTACTGAATGATATTTTCTGGAAAATAATACTATTAATTATTGGGGATGAAAGAGCTATGGACCATAAGGACCTGCAGAAAACAAAAGCTGTGGGTCCGAGTGGTTTTCAGTTGGCATAGTGTGTTATCAAGAACGATTCTACACATAGGGCATACTGTGTTATTTAGAACGATTCTACACATGGGGCATACTGTGTTATTAAGAACGATTCTACACAAGGGGCATACTGTGTTATTTAGTACGATTCTACGGATAGGGCATAGTGTGTTATTAAGAAAGATTCTACATATAGGGCATAGTGTGTTATTAAGTACGATTCTACATACAGAACATGGTTCTCTAGCGTTGTAATTATGTGTGGAACTTAATATGAGTCGGTTTGGCGTACGAACACTATAACCGCTGAGATATTCCGCTATTCTTGTAACGTTACCTGACCTACAATATGATCTCAAAGCTCAACATTGGCGCTAAGTATAGGTTTCCTGCAGTCTTAGTTTACTTAGACTGAGGTTTCCTGCAGGTTCCCTCCAAAATGCGGTTTTAACGAGGAGATTTGTCTTGGATTATACGTGAACTGATTGTTGATAAACACAATGAGTATTGAACACTCCCAAGGCAAGCTCAACATTTGTAAGCAAATATATTCCTCTATGTGTTATGGAGAGTTTATCACGAATCTGTGCGTTATTGAATATACAGGAATGGGTCTGATCGCGCTGTCATTTTTGAAAAATACTTCATTAATATGACCATGTGTGACGTCAACCAGTATGCCCTGAGGCACACAGGGATTGACCTTCCGCAGGGAAACCAGCGATCAACTGTTGACAAACAGTGTGGCTGTCCTCCCTGGGGAAATCTTGGTCTTTCAGGGAAATCAGCAATGACTCGACGTTCTAGTCAGTTAATTAATGTGTTAGTAGCTACACCCGCGGCGCTAGTGAGGTATTCGGGGTAGCCTAATGGTTAAAGCGTCCGCTCATCACGCTGAAGACAAGGGTTCGATTCCCCACATGGGTACAATGTGTGAAGCCCATTTCTGGTGTCCCCCGCTGTGATATTGCTAGAATATTGCTAAAGCGATGTAAAACCATACTCACTCAGTCAGTTATGGGTTGGTAATAGTTTGATATGTGGAGTTTATCAGTGGTATGTTCAAGGGAGGTGCGGGTTTCGTTCTTGCCATTAGTATTTGTTCATCATATTGTTATTGAAGTGAGAACTTCTTTTGCATACGTAATTCTTAACGTACTCCCATTCTATTACTACTTTCTCAATGTTTGACAGAATGATCATTTCATGTTTGACTCATTCGCTGCTCACCGATAAAAAAGCGGGTAGAATTTGGAAGTGAATCTGAAGAAGCTGCTTCACATGTTCTGTGAAAGTCATATCTCTGGTAACTCTCCTTACGGAGGGGCGGTGAGATAGCTCAGTGGTTAAACCGTTCGATTAACACCGAAGTTCGATTCCCCACATGGGTACAATGTGTGAAGCCCATTTCTGGTGTCCCCAGACGTGATTTTGCTGGATTACCTAACCACCTGAGCCCCGTTTCACAAAGCTCTCGTAAGCCTAAGATCTCTTAACTTTTCCCGTAGCATTCGTACCTCCTTTACTGTAACAATGACTTACGATTGTCGTAGCGCTACGAGAGTTTTGTGAGCGTCTTTCTGTTATGGAATAGCAGACTACGGATCTGTGCTGCAATAGTTTCATATAGCCTATACATTGATGCCAGGGCCCCGTTCCTCAAAGCGATCGTAGCGTTAAAATGATCGTAACTCCCATATATTAAGATAGACTTATGACTGTCGTAGAGCTAAGATCGCTTTGGGGAACGGGGCCCTGGCATCAATGTATAGGCTATATGAAACTATTGCAGCACAGATCCGTAGTCTGCTATTCCATAACAGAAAGAGGCTTACATTCTTTACTTAAAAGGTATCAGATAAACTGAATAGATCATTTAGAATACGAATGAAAAAAAAAAAGATAAATGGTCTATGTGAATAAAATATCATTATAACTGGATAAATACAATGTTCAGGGAACTTTACTTTCGTGCGGCAATCTTTTACTAAATTATCAGCAATATCTCCAAGATCAGTACAACCTGACCACAGAGCATTACTCAGAGTGGACACTCTGCCAGGTGGGAGTGTACAATACGTGTACGTGCAATACGTATACGTACAATACGTGTATGAGTATTCTTGTTTGCGGCTGTTGCTATAGTTACCATCATTATCGTTTGCTAACTTTGAAACAATTAATAATTTAGTGATGTCCCATTCGAAATACTAATCACGTGTTCTATTTTGAGAGCAACAAACAATAAGATACAGGGGTATGAATACATATTCAGTGTATACATCTTTAGTTCAATGGAAATTAGGGGAAATGAATACATGTTCAATGTGTGCATCTTTTGTTAAATGGAGATTGTAGGATGTGAATACATATTCAATGTGTGCATGTTTAGTTAAATGGAGAATGAGGAAGTGAATACATATTCAATGTGTGCAGCATTAGTTAAATGGAGATTGTAGGATATGAATACATATTCAATGTGTGCAGCATTAGATAAATGGGGATTGAAGGATATGAATACATATTCAGTGTGAGCATCTTTAGATAAATGGGGATTGAAGGTTGTGAATACATATTCAGTGTGAGCATCTTTAGTTAAATGGAGATTGTAGGATATAAATACATATTCAATCTGTGCATCTTTAGTTACATGGAGATTGTAAGATGTGAATACATATTCAGTGTGTGCATCTTGAGTTAAATGGAGATTGTAGGGTATGAATACATCTTCAATGTGTGCATCTTTAGTTCAATGGAGATTGGAGGATATGAATACATATTCAATGTGTGCATGTTTAGTTAAATGGAGAATGAGGAAGTGAATACTTATTCAATGTGTGCATCTTTAGTTAAATGGAGATTGTAGGATATGAATACATATTCAATGTGTGCATCTTTAGTTAAATGGAGATTGTAGGATATGAATACATATTCAATGTGTGCATGTTTAGTTAAATGGAGATTGTAGGAATGATGAATACATATTCAATGTGTGCATCTTTAGTTAAATGGAGATTGTAGGATATGAATACATATTCAATGTGTGCACCTTTAGTTAAATGGAGATTGTAGGATATGAATACATATTCAATGTGTGCAGCATTAGTTAAATGGAGATTGTAGGATATGAATACATATTCAATGTGTGCATGTTTAGTTAAATGGAGATTGTAGTGTGTGAATACATATTCAATGTGTGCAGCATTAGTTAAATGGAGATTGTAGGATATGAATACATATTCAATGTGTGCAGCATTAGTTAAATGGAGATTGTAGGATGTGAATACATATTCAATGTGTGCATCATTAGTTAAATGGAGATTGTAGGATATGAATACATATTCAATGTGTGCAGCATTAGTTAAATGGAGAATGAGAGATGTGAATACATATTCAATGTGTGCAGCATTAGTTAAATGGAGAATGAGAAAGTGAATACATATTCAATGTGTGCATCATTAGATAAATGGAAATTGCAGGATCTGAATACATATTCAATGGGTGCATGTTTAGTTAAATGGAGAATGAGAAAGTGAATACTTATTCAATGTGTGCATCTTTAGTTAAATGGAGATTGTAGGATATGAATACATATTCAATGTGTGCAGCATTAGTTAATTGGAGACTGTAGGAAGTGAATACATATTCAATGTGTGCAGCATTAGATAAATGGAGATTGTAGGATATGAATACATATTCAATGTGTGCATCTTTAGTAAATTGGAGATTGAGGAAGTGAATACATATTCAATGTGTGCAGCTTTAGATTAAATGGAGATTGTAGGATATGAATACATATTCAGTATGTGCAGCATTAGGTAAAGGGATTTTGTAGGATATCAATACCTACTCAATGTGTGCATCATTATTTAAATGGGGATTGAGGATATGAATACATGTTTAGTTAAATGTAGATTGCAGAATATGAATGCATATTCAATGTGTACATGTTTAGTTAATTGTACATTGAGGGAAGTGAATACATATTGAGTGTGTACATCATTAGTCCAATAGAACTTCAATGTATTCAGAGTCTACATCATTATATCAATGGAATTTGAGGGACATGAACACATAGATAGATTCAGAGATATGAGTAACTAATAAGAGATTAAGTGATATGAACAGTATACAATAGTGTACTTACTTTCCTCCAGAGTGGCCTTCCATACCATGCAGCACAGCAGGGCAATATACAAGTACACGGTACAGCCCATCACGACACAGTAGCCTCTCTCACGCCATCACTATCTGTACAACATCCAAAATAAATATAGAAGCCATATGTTTGTCTGTCTGTCTGTCTGTCTACTCGTGTCTGTACCAGACAATCCAGTGATTGACATCATGAGCTTCGAACTGCGCAATTGGGATACGATGATATGTGTCAACCAAATCAGCGAGCCTGAAGCCCCGACCCCGTTAGTCGCCCCTTATTACAAGCATGTGTTCATGACTAACCCTGATCTTCACGGGTATGTGCGTATAACGTATTAGTAACAATCTTTAAAAAGAAGAAATTAGGGTTTTCCTTCACACAGTGACGGAGTCTGCAAGATTGTTCACAACGCCTGTACGTGAAATATCACACTGTGATAGAGTCTGCAAGATCGTTCATGAAGCGCTCTGTGACGGTGTCTTAAGCATATAACTTAAAACTCTCATCTAAAAAGTGAGAGTAGGTGAGTATGGCTTTAGGCTGCTTTTAGCAATATTCCAACAATAATATCACGGCGAGTAAACCAGAACAATAGATGGGAATTTGACACCATGTGTATAAATATAGACCAACGTATAGTCTGTGAACTACCCATGTACATTCTCTTAAAATAGAAGGGACAACAACTTTCTAGACTTCATAATGTGTATCATCTCGGCTGGTTCTTATTGAATAAAAATGCATACATTCAGCTGTTGTTTGGTAGGGCTTGTGTTGGTATCACCGTTTAGGCTTTCCGGTGAAGGACAGATTCACGTGGTAAACAACATTGTACTTTCAAACCACTACCCTTGTATTATCACCCTATGGTCCACTATACAGTCGGCTAATGCAGGGCTGTATATACAGCGTGTGTGGAAGTAATTTCTTACAGATAAAACAGAAACCATTTCATACCAAAACTTATTTTTATTGTAAGATATCCTTTACATGCCCACAGAGGATGGACAAATCTCTCTAGTTAATCATCTGGTTACAAGCCATCATGTGTCCTTGCTACCCGAGAACAACACTTTACATCCATTAGAAGCTTGAATTGGTCCACAATAACGGTTTTGTATTTTCCTGCAGCGATCTAGCATGACTTTAACCAGGCCGTTACTGACAGTCAATATATATACGTACAAGAGACAAATGACAGCGTTATATAACATACTTACATTACTAAAACTGTGCGGACCTTGGACGTCGTCTCGCGATCAAAATACGTATATGGACTTTTGAAGAAGCTTGAGGGATTGCCCGTACTGAATGCATACAGTGCCATTGTGATATATAGTCACACTGTTTATGAGTAGCACCGTGTATACAGGTACCTCGGATCATGTATTTGACGGTGACCCTGGCAAGCCTGGACAAAGGAAGCTCTTCGGATCTGAACGGCATGCATGCTTTCGTTTGTCTGGCGGTCGCCGGGGAGAATGTCATATAGGGTATTTTGAGTTAGTCTTGTTTGGCAGTCGGTTTGATGACGGAACTATTACCATAAGATACCACCAAACTGCAGCTTGAGGTTGCAACCTTGTCAAAACAAAAAGGTTTAAAAGCTGGGCAAAATTGTATTCAATGGACTGCGAACCAAAAAAGACACCATAGGAAAGTATAGTTGTGATCATCGATATTATTATGTAGTGAGATAACCCAAGTTTATATGGTTTCAAAAAGAAATAGTAAAATATTATGAAATTTCAAAATTCATTGCGTGTTCTAGTTGTAACTATGCAAGTTTTCATTCTTTCTGGTCATCCTGCCATTTACTGTGTGTGTATGCGTGTGTGTGTGCGTGTGTGTGTGTGTGTGTGTGTAGTGAGAGGTGGTCCCGTCGCCAGTTCGTTGTACTAAGCTGCTACCTTAACGCTTCCTTAAAATTCCGATGGCCGTGAGTTCGAATCCCAGATTCGGTGCGACTGCTGGTGACGTGTTAGTTTGCAGTTTCATACAAAACTAGACCCGTGAAGATCCGGGGTAGAATAGGTCTTCAGCAACCCATTCTTGTCATAAAAGGCGACTATGCTTGTCGTAAAAGGCGACTAACGGGATCGGGTGGTCAGGCTCGCTGACTTGGTTGACACATGTCATCGGTTCCCAATTGCGCAGATCGATGCTCATGCTGTTGATCACTGGATAGTCTGGTCCAGACTCGATTATTTATAGACCGCCGCCATATAGCTGGAATATTGCTGAGTGCGGCGTAAAACTAAACTCACTCACTCATACAAAACTACATCATAACTTCTGGTCCTTTGTTTTCTGATCCTCACATAAGGTGAAATCCACTTTATCTCCATCCACATCAACTACATGTACATCTTGGTTCATAGAGTCGCTAACCATATGTACCTCACCTAGATTTCAGTATGTAACGAGTGAGGTAGAATGGATTTTACCCCGCTTTCAGAAATAGTCTTCTTTTATGTCGGAGCAGACGCCAGAAGCGGGGAGAATCAAACCCGGAATTTTGTCGTTTTAACCACTCGCTCACCCAAGCCCGCTTCTTAGTATGACAACGTCACATCTATCAATGTGAGCTACCGCTCTATGACTGTCAAGCTTTCTTATGAACATATACGCTTGTCACAGGCAGGAAGTCAATGCCACATCTGTGCCATGCCATCATATTACATTATCACAAGACCCGTGAAGATTCGGGTTAGAACTGGTCTTCAACAACCCATGCTTGTCGTAAAAGGCGACTAACACATAGGGTGATCAGACTCGCTGACTTGGTTGACACATGTCATCGTATCCCAACTGCGTCGATCGATGCTGATGCCGTTGATCACTGCATTGTCTAGTCCAGATTAAATTATTTACTGACCGCCGCTATATAGCTGGAATATTGCATGTGTCTCCCGTCGTGATATTGCTGGAATATTGCGGCGTAAAACTAAACTCACTCACTACACTGGCAATGTTGGGGTATAACTTTCTAAATTGTTGCTAATTTATGTGCGAATGAAAACGTTAACTGTGACAGTTAAGAAATAAGGAATAAGTGAGCGAGTTTAGTTTTACGCCGCTTTTAGCAATATTCCAGCAATTTCACGGCGGGGGACACCAGAAATGGGCTTCACACATTGTACCCATGTGGGGTTTCGGCGTGGCGAGCGAACGCTTTAGCCACTAGGCTATCCCACCGCCCAAGGAATTAGGTAGTACATCTTGGAGATAAATGTAAACGTGTACTGGGATGGGTGTTGGTTGGTGTGCACTGCTGAGAGTGCATTGTTTTTTTGTGATATCCGGAATAGCACGCTGATGTTTTAAACAAAATTCCTCTGAAAACGTCGTTGACTATATGGATGTATATGCCTATTTTGAGTGACTAGATACTGATCGTAAAAAATATGGATCATGAATATTAGTGGGTGTATAATTTGCAATGAAGACTGAAAACAAACTTTCACAAAAATATTCATCATCCCTATCCTGTTTGTTCAGAATTTATTTTTTAAGAATTTAGTTTCCTGTTTCGATGTTGATTGTGCCACCTCCGGTCGTAAAACAGAGAAGTTAAATCAAGGTGGCATCCGTCAGTATTCAAAACAAATCCAGCATGGGTGATTGAATGTTGTTGCAATGTCGCCTTTTACTCCCTCACTCACCCACTCTCACACACGGGGCGGTGGGTAAGCCTAGCGGTTAAAGCGTTCGCTCGTCACGCCGAAAACCCGGGTTTGATTCCCCGCATGGGTACAGAGTGTGAAGCCTATTTCTGCTGTCCCCCGTCGTGATATTGCTGGAATATTGAGTGAAAAGTGGCGTAAAACTAAACTCGCATAATTTGTAAACACGTAGAAACATACTTGTGAGTGCAACACAATAATTTTGTCAAAGCCAATTCTCATCTACATATATGAACTTATTACAAGACACGTGAGCTATTGTTCGTGAGTGACACTCTAAACGTATCGTGACCGGGATACAATACAATATAATACTTTCAGTTCAAGCTACAAACAAGGAAGACACGATGCCGACCGACATCAACACTGTAGCCACAGATTACACGAACATCTCATTGCAAATTAGCAACGAGAAAAAAAGCTTTGCATTCAAGAGTATTACAGTTATAAAATGCAACTAGATCTATAAATAATATAATAACAACACCAATTTCGTACATACAAAACAATTTATGTGCTCAAAACTCTCAAATTGTCTACAGAGAGGCAAGAGCCGGGTTGGTACTGAGCCCTGCAACTTGACAAAAAGGACAAAGGGAGATAACTCCATTAATCTGAATTTGTTTCTACTTATAAAACGTTTATTTCAGAGCAGCCAATCTATACATTACTATATCTAATGTGTTATTGCAACTTCTTTTGAGTAGTATATATACAAAAATAATCTAAAAAGATGAATCCAAGAAATATATTCATGTGTAAAGGTTTATTCCTCAGCAATTAACAAGTTCAATACTTTCATCCAATACAAACGTTTCTGCCTATCAAAAATAACCAGATATCTAGCATCTGGATGAATATGAACTAATCACCTTTTCCTCAATGTTCACCATGATGTCTATAGAAACACTTCTATTTGTGTGTTTGTTACTTTTGTTGTTTAACACACTCGGCAATATTTCAGCTACATGACCGCGATCTGTTAATAATCCAGTGTGGACCAGACAACTCAGTGATGGACAGTGACTGATATTGATCTACGCCGCTGGGATCCAATGACATGCATCAACCAGTCATCAAGACCTGACCACCTGATCGCATTAGTCCTCTCACAACAAGTACAAGTTGCTGAAGACCACAGATCTTCATCAGAGCTTTGTGTACAAGTATTCCAACAATACATCATCGTTTTACCATTTTAGGCATCACCATGGTAACCATAATATTGACATGATTAATGCAGTAACTAAGTATAACAAACATCATATACCGTAGAGTTGTGTATATGGCACCTTCCATCCCCACCTGTGTATGGTCTCAGGACTGTGTCATATTTGCCCCCCTCTCTGGTTATGTAACATCTTGTCATGGTCCCTCTTCAAATACTAGTACATAATCAATGACTTGCCCCTTAACAGTGTTCAAATTCATAAATTTTCATTGAGTGAGTAAGTGAGTGAGTTAAATTTTACGTCACATCAGCAATTTTTCGGCCATATAGTGACGAGAAACATTTGGTTTAACTGTAAGAAATATCTGTCGCAAAGGACAGTAAAACATTAGCAAGTTATCACAATTTGAATCTAAAAACTAACCATTTCAATTGATAAAAGACTTTATTCAACAGAAAGATCAATATTACATGTAATACCAATAAAATACGAGCTATATACCACCAGTCACCAAAGCCAGACCGCCTTATGGGGAATTTTCAAATGAAATAAAAACAAATAGAACATGCCCAACTATCCATGCCACTGGGGCATTCTTCCCCTCCCCACAATAAATGATGCTGTTAAAGTACTTGTTCCCACAAAACCTTTTGATTTATTAATCCCTCCCAAAGTGTGCCAATATATATGATCCAAACTGGTCACATATGGCTTTCACATGTTATTCTTTGTTAAATTAAGATTACAAAGAAGACAGTGTTTCATTACGGTGCAGTCATGGTGTCCATTGCATTCACAGTGGCCTATTGAGTGAGTTTAGTTTTACGCCGCACTCAGCAATATTCCAGCTGTATGGCGGTGGCCTATTGAGTGAGTTTAGTTTTACGCCGCACTCAGCAATATTCCAGCTATATGGCGGTGGCCTATTGAGTGAGTTTAGTTTTACGCCGCACTCAGCAATATTCCAGCTATATGGCGGTGGCCTATTGAGTGAGTTTAGTTTTACGCCGCACTCAGCAATATTCCAGCTATATGGCGGTGGCCTATTGAGTGAGTTTAGTTTTACGCCGCACTCAGCAATATTCCAGCTATATGGCGGTGGCCTATTGAGTGAGTTTAGTTTTACGCCGCACTCAGCAATATTCCAGCTATATGGGGGTGGCCTATTGAGTGAGTTTAGTTTTACGCCGCACTCAGCAATATTCCAGCTGTATGGCGGTGGCCTATTGAGTGAGTTTAGTTTTACGCCGCACTCAGCAATATTCCAGCTGTATGGCGGTGGCCTATTGAGTGAGTTTAGTTTTACGCCGCACTCAGCAATATTCCAGCTATATGGCGGTGGCCTATTGAGTGAGTTTAGTTATTCCAGCTATATGGCGGTGGCCTATTGGGTGAGTTTAGTTTTACGCCGCACTCAGCAATATTCCAGCTATATGGCGGTGGCCTATTGAGTTTAGTTTTAGTTTAGTTTTACGCCGCACTCAGCAATATTCCAGCTATATGGCGGTGGCCTATTGAGAGTTTAGTTTTACGCCGCACTCAGCAATATTCCAGCTATATGGCGGTGGCCTATTGAGTGAGTTTAGTTTTACGCCGCACTCAGCAATATTCCAGCTATGGCGGTGGCCTATTGAGTGAGTTTAGTTTTACGCCGCACTCAGCAATATTCCAGCTATATGGCGGTGGCCTATTGAGTGAGTTTAGTTTTACGCCGCACTCAGCAATATTCCAGCTATATGGCGGTGGCCTATTGAGAGTGAGTTTAGTTTTACGCCGCACTCAGCAATATTCCAGCTGTATGGCGGTGGCCTATTGAGTGAGTTTAGTTTTACGCCGCACTCAGCAATATTCCAGCTATATGGCGGTGGCCTATTGAGTGAGTTTAGTTTTACGCCGCACTCAGCAATATTCCAGCTGTATGGCGGTGGCCTATTGAGTGAGTTTAGTTTTACGCCGCACTCAGCAATATTCCAGCTATATGGCGGTGGCCTATTGAGTGAGTTTAGTTTTACGCCGCACTCAGCAATATTCCAGCTGTATGGCGGTGGCCTATTGAGTGAGTTTAGTTTTACGCCGCACTCAGCAATATTCCAGCTATATGGCGGTGGCCTATTGAGTGAGTTTAGTTTTACGCCGCACTCAGCAATATTCCAGCTGTATGGCGGTGGCCTATTGAGTGAGTTTAGTTTTACGCCGCACTCAGCAATATTCCAGCTATATGGCGGTGGCCTATTGAGTGAAGTGTGAGGTCCATAAATAACAAGAATGGTTGATCAGCATTCTAGATGTTGTTCAGTAAATAGGAAGACATAAGACTTTATGAATAACAGGCTTTAGCTTGATAACTGTGTAAGAATTTACATTAAAATGTTGTTCTATGCAATAAACAAAAGTTGTTATCCATAAAATTGTATGCTTCATTATCGACCTAAAATGGCCCATAATTCCCATAACAATGAGAGGGAAAGCCTGTGAAGATAAATTTATAAGATAAGTTTATTTCAGGAGGATGGTAAACAGGACTGAAGATGAGTCTTGACACTGTCATCGAGAGCAAAAAGATTTAACATGTCTATTTCCAGGGGGTGCATGTGGCCTGGAATAGCTAATGAATGCAGAGGTTCCCCAAGGTCAACTGAGGTCAACTGCTTCAAGGTGGCAACACATATCTTCTGGTCGTCACACCCAACCCTTGCCAGCCCGACACACACGGTATCTTCTGACAGAGCTGAAACAGTCACAACATGTCCCTGATGTAACGTGGAACTAGAAACCTGAAACCACAGCTTCATCAATAGGCCCCTAGATCCAGATGCATGTCGGTAGTATTGACTACCAGGGACTCTGGAGACAGCCAATGACTAAGCACACGTCATAACATATTGTATATCTAATAATATACAAAATAATATATAACATAGCATTTGTGAAGCAGACATAAAATTTCCATGAGTGAGTGAGTATGGTTTTACGCCGCTTTTAGCACTATTCCAGCAATATCACGGCGGAGTACAGCAGAAATGGGCTTCACACATTGTGCCCATGTGGGGAATCGAACCCGGGTCTTCGGCGTGACGAGCCAACGCTTTAACCATTAGGCTACCCCACCGCCCCAAAATGTCCATGAAGGGATCTGAACCATGGACCTTCTGATCAAAGGTGAGACACCTTGTCCACATGATCAAAGAGGTTCACTTTGTCAGCAGGCTAACACTGTAAGGAACTCATCTATTCATAATACGGTGTTGAATTCGTCATAACATGCCACAGGCTTGTTGATATTTCCCAATACTATAATCCCATTACTATAATCCCATAATCACGCTAACGACCTGAGTTTAATTCCCCACATGGGTACAATGTGTGAAGCCCATTTCTGCCATGACCATAATCGAATATTGCTAAAAGTGGCATAAAACAATACTCACTCACCAGTGAATAAGACTGACTGAGTTTGGTTTTACGCCGCTTTTAGCAATATTCAAGCAACATCATGGCAGGGGACACCAGAAATGGGCTTCACACATTGTACCCATGTGGGGATTCGAACACGGGTCTTCGGCGTGACAAGCCAACGCTTTAACCACTAGGCTACCCCACCGCCCCCAGTAAATAAGAACATAATTAAGTGAGCAAATGTCTTATTATCCCACTTTCCTCCTCCACGAGGTGTTGGACTGTCGTCACGATATGGCTGAGATATTGCCGATGTGACGTTAAATATTAACTCACTCACTCACTGTTGGACTGAGCCATAACAATAAAGGCCAGTGGTTTGCTGCATGTCCTGTCAATGTTCTAGCACAAAAAGGGGCACACACCTAAATGGCATGCACCATAAGCCTGCGTGCACAGTATATACAAGTGCAGTAATAATCTTAAATGCAATGTTCAACCCCATTTAACCCCACCTGATCTCTTATGACACGAGACCTGTGAAGATCCGGGTTAGAATTGATCTTCATTAACCCATGCTTGTAATAAGAGGTGACTACCAGGATTGGGTGGTCAGACTCGCTGACTTGGTTGACACGTCATCGTATCCCAATTGTATAGGTCGATGCTCATGCTGTTGATCACTGGATTGCCTCTCAAACTCGATTATTTACAGACTGTCGCCATATAGCTGGAATATTGCTGAGTGCGCCATAAAACTAAACTCACTCACTCACTCGCTCTTATGACACGATCAGTGTATGACAGAACAGCCATGATAAGATGCTGTACATCATACCATACAGTAGGCAGCATGTCTGCATGATGTGAAAGTCTCACCAAGGTTCTGTCCTCCCTCCTCTCCCTTCCGCTGCACAATCTCCAGAAGCTGCTCAGCCGCTTGACTCACAGACATGAACCGTGGGGGCTCAAATATCTTATTTCCCCTGAAACAGACAGACATGAATGTTGGCGTTTCATCAGCATTTTTTTTCATCACATATTTCTCAACAAAAGATAACAACATTTAATGCTCAAACATGATAATAACAATTATGAATATATTTATATGATTATTTATGTCAATGTTTCAAATTCATGTAAAATGGTATTTTTCTTCAGTTTCAATACTCACTTCATCAGGTTTTCAATAGTCTGTTCCTTCATTTTTATATCTGGAATGAAAGACAAATAGTTGTGTATATAATATTACTTATACAGACTAACTGTATGCAGATGACAATCAGGTGAGACAAGAGCAGTGAGGTGTAGCGAGAAGATCTCCCCTTGACACTTATGTTGAAAAGCCTGGGTTCAATTCCCGACATGGGTAGAACGTATGAAGCCCATGTCCCGCGATAATGTTGCTGGGATATTGCTACACAGGTAAACGAGTTAGGCATTACAGTCACTACAGAACTGTTATGGTCGTCATGGGTCACAAAAATAAAGCATGAACTACATGACCTATTCAAATACGATAGCGGAAAACCTCTAAGCCCCCAATGACTCCCTTAGTAAAAAAAATCCTTTCATAGAAGAAATCACAGTACAGAGTTTAATGAGTGATTCTGGCAGCAGAGAATCACAACTTGTAGGTCCAACAGAGTTATGTCCCTTTGAACACGGTATTCTCAGCACAAGCTGTAGAGCTACATTTGTCAAAATCATAAAATCGTTGGGGAAACAACATGTCGGAAATAAAGAAGTACTAAAAACAACAGTTGTGTAAAATTTTGAAACTCCATTAATCAAATATTAACATTCAATATCAATTGAGGTGAGGTGAGGTGAAATTGGGTTTAACGTCGTGCTTGAGAATATTTCGCTCATATGACGACGTGCATGCGTGTGTATGTGTATGTGCGGCTGCTTGTACTAGCCCAGACTTAAGCTGGTTTTATAGTGCTAGCCCACTGAGATACCATGCCGCAGTGAAGCATGAATAACCCACATTATACTGACTCCGAGACAACCAGTCCTTGTTGTACTCATTAACGCCGAGCGCCAGGCAGGGACCAACAAGTACCATATTTTAACGTCTTTTGGTATGACGCGGTCGGGGATTGAACCCACAACCTTCCGCTTCCCGGACGATCTAACCACTACACCACAGAGGCGGTCATTCAACATCAAGTGGCGAGGAAATTATGTGCAATGGATATGTGTTAAATATAACTGTCATTGCACATATAAGTTTAAATCAAAGCAAGAACAGGATTTCTTAAGTGATAAAAGTAAACAAAATACAACTGAAGGGTAGTGCAGGCAATAGAGTACCATAAGGACTATAAGAGTTATGTCCCTTAGAACACCATGTGACTGTGACGAGAGAGCAGTCTATCAAATTATAGGTGGTACTTTTAAATTTGCTTCTGTCGAATTGTATCTAGATACTAATTATTAACTTAACACATGAGCAAAGACCAGCACCCACTACCTTCCATGCTTACTCTCAAACACTACAGCTGGTGAGTGATTACCTGTTTATGCCAAATCAGGAATTTGGCCACAATCAACATAATATATCTGAATTAGATCCAGTGAAGCGCATGCTTAAAGAAAATTGTTTGTGTAAAATATTTAAGATTTACGTAACCGAATGCTCAAAGCTAACAACAGCACTAGGACTGCACGGTATACCAGTAAACCGGTAAACCGGTATACCGCAAAACACTTTTCAAACGATACATATTGTAATATTTATTCTGAGAACCAGTATATTGGGTAAAGAACATATATGATATTTTTGTGATTATCTTTATGGTTTAAATTAAAATCTACACAGACTTTCATTCACAACAGATGTTTTATTTCATTATTCAACGACAAAACGGCATACTGCAAAACTATAAATTTATAAAAAAAGAAAATAGAATCCCTGACTATGCAACCTAAGTTTGAGATTGCTGTTATCAGAACCATAACATATATTTTAGGGACTTATAATGTAGAAAATTGGATTGACATGTACAATTAGTGTCACTCACAGACAAACACTTAAGTTCCTAAAATATAGCAATACGTACTGCAATAAGGGTACCTGAATCAAAATATATTGCAATATAATTTATTTGCCAATACACACCCCTAAACAGCACTAATTACAAACAAACCTCAATGGGCACCAGATTATATCAACACGTTTATCTTCACCATCTCACACAATCACCCACCTGCAAACCACAGCAACCAACAGCATTCATGATGGAGGCATTGTGGATCACTCGGTATTGTATACCCTTCTCAACAGCTCGCAGGATAAGGTCAGTGTGGGTTGTCGCTCTGTAAACAAAGAATCACTATCACATCACAAACCTTGTATTATACGGACAACCTTTCCAAATAATTCTAAAAATATCAAAAGAATTTTGGTTGTAATACATAGAACTAAACATAGGATAAATGTGGTTATTATTAGAAGAATAACTATATAAAGTCTCAGCTTTAGGTCTAGAAAGTGAAATATGCCTGAGATCAGTCAACTGACAGACAGCTGGCACTAAAACTGTTTTGAATATTCTTGCCTACTTATTTACCACATTTTTTCTCTGTTGATTAACTTTCTCACAACACTGTCAGAAGAAAACATGCCAGATTAAATTTGTATTTAACTATTACAACGAGTTTGCATCATTCAACAAAATTGTTCTGTTTTATGTGGATTTCCTGAATCCTTACTAGCTGTATGTGACTGATTGAGTGAGCACCACAGTGGCATAATAAACATGTGAACCTGACACAAATGAGTATTGCAGCATAATTCTTTATCCATTGTTGACCCAACATATAATTTACCCAAGGGATCTCCAACCACCAGAAACGCCACATCTGACTTGTCAGTGCCATCCAACAACTCATCTGTAATCAGAGATATCAAATCTAAAATATATCACTTCAAGTGTGGGTACCATTCACGTGGAAATTTATGTGGAAATTGGAAACAGTAAAACTATTTCTTGCTGAACAAGGAACTTGAAATTTACCTGACTGTTGCTCAACCATGTCTCTGTCAGCAAGAATTATTTTTCGTCCATAGTACTCCTCCTGAAAATTTTCGTTTTTACATTATTGTAGTCTGCTATTATACTACGTACAGTGGTAAGAGTACCGAAACCGCTGGAAACTCAACACTAGTAGTCTAAATTACAGTTATTGGAAATATTCCGTGTTTTAGGAAAACAGTTTAAGAAAGAAACAACCGGTGAAATAAATAGAATATTGTGATGGCAATGATTATCATAATTTGTTTACATTTCTGAAAATCATGTCAGGTTATAGATAACGGTAACACAATTTAAGTAGCAATAGCCATTATTTTACCAATGCTTCCTTGCCAACAGTCAGGATTGATGTGTACGCTTCAAGGTAAACCCTCTCAGCATTCTTAACAACTTCTAGGCCTTTCACAGTTATATCTTTTACATCTCCCAAGCCCAAACCAACTAGATAAAACATGATTAAAGTACTAATATGAATCAAAACAACGTCTCAGAAATAACAAGCACATGTCTAAATGACAGGAAGTTGGTTTCTGCTATAGTTGGTAGTATGTACTGTTAGTTTTGATTGGATGTGATGAAAATCGGGAACCAATCATAATGTTTATACTAGACGCCTTCGTACATTAGTTTCCGGTCAAACAGAAGAGCCGAGAGAGTTGATTTGTCATTCAACAAAGATTCTAGAAAATATTTAGAAATTGGAGAGTACTGAGATCATATTCGTCTGCAAAATGTACAGTTTTGAAGGAGATTTCAGAAGAAAGCCCGTTCAGTCCTTGAGGGGTGCAAGTAAAAAGGTATTTTGATGTTGCGATTACTTCTTTTGATCAAGCGAAACTAATATTCAATCAGCTGTTTTGGATTTCAGTCGAAACATTACGACATTCGTAGTTTTCTTACATGAAAAAGAAGACGACCGACGACATATCTGTGTTGTTCGATTGAAGACTCTATACGAATAATTATTATTGTGGGTTGGTAGAGTTGATCATGATAATGACCTTTCATATCTGTGTAGTCTATTTCAGTAATCCATCTCAGTAATTTACCCTGAAATCCTACTGGGTAGAAAGCTTGCACAATAATTGGACCTAACGTAATTAAAGATGTCCAAGGGTTTTTACTTCAAATTTGAGCAGACAATTTCAACAGTGATGCTTCCTGGATTGGGATGATTGAATTTGTGGGACCAATTTGTGTAACTGTCAATGTTAGTGTATATGTCGTTGTATCATGACTTTTCAGACGCTTAATCATCTTAATAAACAATAGTTGTTTTCTCGCTTATCACATGAAACACTTTAAAACATTTCTGTAACACACAACAGACAACTTAACCTAAACACAAGCCATAATCTAAGTAGTTACAATGTCTGTGTTACATCAGAAATGGGTGACATCCCCAAAAATGTGTTCCAACAATATACTTTTTGTTGTGTTGTCTGAACTGGACTCATCTGCTCAATCCACTGAAAATCTATATTTTCTCATTGATTTCCATATATGCATTTTCATAATCATTCATATCACTGAGGTTATCAATATCACATGTCATCCAAGGCTTTATTTAACTTGTTTGTTGTCATCATGGTCATTATCAACTTTCTAATGTCAATATTAAAAAATGAGGCCTTATCGGTAGCGGCAATAAAATTTCTGAGTCCCGTGCTGGGATTCAAACCAAGGACCTTCTGATCCAAAGTCGGACGCCTTGTCCACATGACCAAAGAGGTTAACCCCATCAGCAATCTGACAAGGTAAGGATGTCATCTGTGGGGTGGCTCCACATCCTGCTACATACTCCCCCGTCAACAGAAGGCATGTCCCGAGCCACATAGCAGGGCACTGAGATTTATTTTGCTCAAATTTAATATGAACAGGCTCAGCCCCACATTGGGCACCAATGTACTATTTAGCAGCCATAAGATCCCATGCTTGGATTCGAACAATGGACCTTCTGATCCGAAGTCGGACACCTTGTCCACATGACCAAAGAGGCTAACCCTGTCAGCAAGCTGACAAGGTAAGGATGTCATCTGCAGGATGACTCCAAGCTCTGCTACATATCTTTCCTCAGTGCTTCAGGGTTGGTGGGCGAAGCACTGGCTTGCCATATTGATGGCCCTGTTTGATTTCCCCACGTGTGATTTCCCCACATGTGTTCAGCGAGGGAAGTTCTTTGCTCGTATCCCCATCATGATATTGCTTGAATCATGAATGCTGCCATGACCAGTGTTAAACACAACTCACTAACAGTGGAAATGTTGGAAATGTGGCTAAAATTGAGACCAATATGCCCCTGTATATATACAGTTCATCTGGTCACATATTCCTGAAACCAAGCCTATTGTTTCCAAATGCCATATACCCCATAAGCATGATATGTTTTAAAGTCAGTCTCAAACTGTTGTTATTAAGCATGTCAAGTACTTGGATGTTGTCCTAATCCAAATCATAATGATCATGTTTGTCATTTGACATGTTGTAGGAACAGAAAGAATCGCTACTGAAGAGAGCACAAGAAGAAAGGCAAAAGAGAGAGGTAATTATGTAATCCTTGTTAAGTGGTATAGAGTATATCCCAAATGGTGTTGAACATTGGTGACCTTTGGTAGATTTTCTTGAACATCTGGTCATAAATATTCAAGTTCTGACCTGTCTTGAGCTTTATGAATGTTTTGGATTTTTTTGTCCTATTTTAATAATGAGACAATATCTTTTTGTTAATCATTGCCACACATTAGTATACTTCTTCTACACTGATGTGTTTTCTGGAAAAGAATGTAGTATAAAACGAAAATACATATTCATGTGATTGTTTCTGTTCAGGGTGCTTAAAATATTACTTACTGATTAGTCTTGAAGTTGGTCATTGGGAGCTTTTCGTGATGCTTAGACCCTTGCTTAGAGAGGACTACTTAATCTTGTTATTAGAGCAACTGTATCACAACAAGCAATCGGTGGTTATTTTGATAATTAGAGTGACAATTAAGATATTTCATCATGTTCAGAAATATCAGTAATTACAGCTGTAACTATGCACCATACTACACTTTGTTGTGATGCCTACCTCAGAAGTAAGGTCTTAACACAAGTGTTTGCCATGATGCACAATTTGATGCACAAGTTATCTCAAATACGCAGTGAATTTAGAAGCCAGTGTCATTGTTCAGAAGTAAGGTCTTAACACAATACAATACATGGAAACTGAACACTTGACATGTACCTGGTTGTAAGTGTTGTGGGAACACTAAGAAGATGGCTTGCTTCAATAATGTTTAATCTACATGAGTTTACAGTTTACCAGCGTCGTATAGCAGATGCTGGTTGCCGCCATACCTGGTTGGCTACAAAACTTGGCTTGACATATGAAACTATAACAAGGATTCAAAAGCGGAATACAGATTTATCATTTATAATTCTACACTGGTCATCAAAGAATTTGAAAAGTTCCCAAACCACAATGACCTGAGGCATAGGCAATTTGTGTCATTTGTAAAACAGTGGCTCTAGCATTCATTTATGCTTCTTATACCTTGTTCAGAAAATAGTGCATTACCATAATTACAGTTTATGTTCATGTAGTTGTTAATGCCACTTATGCATGTACTTGTATCAGTAAGTGTATTAATACATCATGACCTATGCAACTTGTAACATGATAATGCCCAGCATGTTTGGTGCATCATTTCGCAGCAGTCAAAATGATCAATAGTTATGTGATATGAGTTAAATTAAGACAGGTGGGATGGGAATGATTGATTTCTTCAAGGCCACCAGATATATTACTGTATGTTACTAGCCTCAGGTTAACACTAATAACAAGCATACACCTATTTCAAAGTCTGAACTCATTTGTTGTTGTACATCCAATGCTCCTCAGAGTTTCCCTAATGATGATTGCCCAGCTGTTACCTGTCTGTTTATCTATCATCCCATACTGTTGGTCACTTAGTTGGACCACAACACTATAACCATCATTTCGCCTTATATTGATTACCTTGTTGATAATTCATGTTACTGGCCTCTTTAGTTTTGAGTATTGAGGGTAACCTGGTAATGCTCATTCTCTTCCCACAGAGGTTACTCCTGTCATATCTTCCTACTTAACCTCTGTTCTAATACGGCCATATTTCCCGGTTCTCGTTAAATCCCCTAGCGGCAAAAGATTGCAACACGAATTATCTCCCTTCTTTCTATCCAATCAGAACACCTGTTACATTGACTTAGATTCAACTTGACTAACACAAGCAAATGTGGGGCCACAAATATCCCCCATCTGCCGGGGACTTGTGTTGATGTTACACACAAGACGTTTAATGCCTAGCTTGTCCGTTGTCAACGAGGGCGACGGAGACGCCACTGATCCGCCATAACATGACTGAGTTCTGTCTAGAAGAAACGTTTGCGCATCGCGCAGGGGAAGAAGTTTAGTTTTCTCGAAGCATACGGAAATTACCGAGGCCTTGCGAATGATCACTTTTGAAACAACGTCGCTGATTGCACAACTAAATCTGATTGTCTCCAATCACGAGTCTTGAACGCTCACACCATGAAAGGGCCGTATTAGAACAGAGGTTACGTAGGAAGATATGACAGGAGTTACCTCTGTGGGAAGAGAATGGGTAATGCTTGGAAGACTTAAAGCCATCGACACTCATCAGGTTGATTTCTTCAGTCCAATATGTTGGCCTCAAGTCAGTAATCCAAGTTCAGGGATAAAAATAGTGCTTAATTTGTGTGCCATGCCATGGTAGATATTGACTTGGCACGGATGAATATTTTCAATGTGCCCAAGCAGCACAAATAAGAATTTTGAAATAATACTCACCATGATTTATTTGATGGAAAATGTGATACATGTGACCAACTTAAATGCTTCAAAGCCTATTTCCGCACCCCATCAAACTCTTTATCATTAGCCCTCTCAATCTCACACTTTGACATGGGCATGGATATTTTGAATGCCAATGTGCACAACAGGAAATCCCGTTTTGGATGATGACAGCTTGTGGGTTAGCTTGTGGGTGCACTACAAATGAAGCTGAACTATTCTTGCAGTCATGATAGTGTTCAGGGAATCCATCTCTCAAGTTTACAAGTTTACATGACGTTTGCTGATTTATTAACCAATAAATTGAATTGACATACTTGTTGTTGTGATGTTTAAAGTTTAATTGGATCATTGGGTACACGTAAATTATCTGTCCTGTTCCCAATGGCACCCTTTGAAAAAATTGTATTTCTGTCCCTGAAGTATAAGAAAATTGTGTTCAGACTAGTTAGCATGGCTAATCATAATTAAATTAATATTGTGACACTAAAATCTACTGACAATGATGCCATGATCCAAGATGAGGCTAGGAGAATCACAAATTCAAATAAGACAATACATTCAAAAAAGATTGTGTCAAGATAAATACTAATCAATACTAATTACAGGGTTTTACAAGTTCACTGATTTTCATCACTGTGCATGATATGCGTATGAGATACACGAGGCTTTAATTTCATTTAGTTCTCATCTTGTATCTCTCACCATTATTATTTTCTGGACATGCAAAGACTTGCCTAACTTGCAAAATCTAAGAATTTAAAAAATACTGTAAATATGGAATAACATTACTTTGATTATGATACAGTACAGATATATGTTTCTAAGTTGCCAGTGTAAAAAATGGAAAACTTTGTTCAGCATCCATCTCCAATATATTTAACGTTTTTACCATTTAACTCATTCATCATGTTTACCAGTAGTAATGATGTTGTATGATGGAGGTTCTTTTGGCTTGTAGGGGCGGTGGGGTAGCCTAGTGGTTAAAGCCTTTGCTCGTCACGCCAAAAACCCGGTTCAAATCCCCACATGGGCACAATGTGTGAAGCCCATTTCTAGTGTCCCCCGCTGTGATATTGCTGGAATATTGCTAAAAGCGACATAAAACCATACTCGCTCACTCTGTTGACTTGTATTTATAGGGACATCGGCAGAGAAATCTGAGTGCATGTAAAATACAAGCTTTCTTTCGAGGATTTACATCCAGGAAGAAATTGGTAAGTACTGATCACTGTTGTTAAAAAGTTTTTCTAAACCTTTAAAGTCACCCACCAAGCCAACAAATGGTATTCACCAACATGACTAGATTTCTTTTGTGTTCTGTATATGTGACTCTACTAAATCATGACCCGTGAAGGTCCCGGGTTAGAATTGGTCTTCAGTAACCCATGCTTGTCGCAAAAGGCGACTATGCTTGTCGTAAGAGGCGACTAACGGGATCGGGTGGTCAGGCTCGCTGACTTGGTTGACACATGTCATCGGTTCCCAATTGCGCAGGTCGATGCTCATGTTGTTGATCACTGGATTGTCTTGTCCAGACTCGATTATTTACAGACCGCCGCCATATAGCTGGAATATTGCTGAGTGCGGCGTAAAACTAAACTCACTCACTCACTAAATCATGAATGCCTTGATTATTCCAGATTTTTTCTGCGTTCATATGGTACTGACTTTTCCTTGCAAGTGATCTATTTTCCATGTTTGCAGAGTGAAGCCTTGCGTGCTGATTTTGACCAAAAGTTGCAGCCAGTGAGCAAGGATAATGTTGTGGATATCAAAGTTATCATCACACTCACACAGCGTCTGGTGTTCTTCTGTAGACCAGCCAGAGATGGACACAGGCTGGTGAGGAGGCTGTCAGCATGGGAAGATGGTTCTATGCTGCATCAGCAATTTCGCTACTATTCACAGCAACTGAGCCCTTTCCACAATTCAGAGATATCATATTTCCTCAGTGCAAAAGATATATACTTGCAGCTTTGTCATTCATCGCTACCTTCTAAGCAGTGTGAACATATCATGCACATCTATTGTTGTGTATACATGTATAAGTAAAATAACTGTTCACTTATTTTTTATAGTGCTGACATTGTGAAGAAGAATCATGATATAGCAGTTAATAATAAGACTAAAAATTCTGTATGTGTATTGATAATTGATACCATCACCAATGTAAACTTGGTCAACCAGGGTGATCTTAACAAAAGTAAACCTTTCTGTGGCAATAAATGATTAATGTAGTATTGATAAACAGTATTACAGTGTATGATGACTTAGCAAGTAGATATTGAAACCAAAGACATGTCAGAAAATAATCCAATTTGCAAGGACATCCATGATGAAGTTCTTGTCTACATGTTTGTGTGTTTTGTTTTGATAATTCACATATTACTGTTATGGTTACAGGTGTCAGTGTGCCAGCAGATCATCAAGCAGAAGGAGGCCTATCTTCAGACCCTAGCTAACTCCAATAAAAACCTGCAGCAGCTCAATCAGCTTCTTGTGATGTGTCTAAGGTAGTGTATTACATCCCCACCCACTGTAGTTTTGGCTGAAGGGGCAGCGGGTAGCCTGGTGGTTAAAGTGTTTGCTCATCACACTGATCCCAAATTTGTTCACCACATGAGTTTAATGTTTGAATCCCACATCTGTTGTACCCTGTTGTCATATTTCTGGAATAGTGCTCAAAGCACTGTAAAACAATATTCACTCACTGACCCAGGTAAAACATCAGTTGTATATTTTACCTAGTTATTGGTTGCATTGACACATTACTTAACTGGTGTGTTATACTAATAGGTCAAGAGATATGCCCAAAGTTATGTTTAAATGAGTGCTTGTTTCAAAAAGAAGCTGAACATAAATGAATGGTTGCAAGTTAAAGTTTGGATTAGAGATGACTGCAAAGTCTCATTGAATAGAACATGGATATTATTGACAATTGAACCACTGAATAATATGTGTAGTATACTCTAGAACTGTCAGTTTTATATGATGTTCTTTTTCTTTGTAGATACCTGAATAGCATTGCATCTACTTCATCTCCGATCGCTGTGCCAATGAGGATGCTAGAAGTGTTTACCTCATCCAAAACGTTTGTGTGTATAAAGGGACTGTCAGGAAAGACAGAGACACAGCTGACACGCCAGATACTGGGTTATCTTGTTCAGAGAGGTTAGACTCAGAAACGCATACCATCTAATATGCAGTCTCATTGTTCAGAATTAATCATCAAATTCAAGGGGTCCCTGTAATAAAAGTGTTAAATATATCCAGCGTTCTTAAATTTAAAGTAAGCCTCAATGCCCCATTGGTTTCAAACGTTGAAAATGGTGAATTATATTATAATGTATAGTTTGACTTTCGACATCTTTGAACTGGGGTACAGATATTTGTGCAATATTGAGTTTGTTAAATTCAGTGTACACGACTTATGGGAACTAAATCACTGATTACACCTGTAGTGGGAATGAAATGTTTTTGATTTATTTCATCTGTACAGTGTTGGCACTGGTGGCCCAGTTGCCTTAGGCTCTACAATCTACAGTGCAGAGTTGCATCCCTTTGGCACACCAGAAACCTGTTATCTTGGGTTCAAATTGCCAGTGATGTCATGTTTTAGTTGTCAGCATCATGCCCATGCTTGTAGGTTTCACTTGCAGTGACTTGAGGTGTGGAGAACTGGGTTGTTGTGTTGGTCGATCTCTTGCTTTATGGATGATGTTATGAATGATAATTGATATTTAAATACTACCACTTTGTGTTTGCAGGTTATTTTGAGTGTATGTACACATTGCTGACACAGAAAGTTCCTTCTAGTATTCCCTCCAACCCCAGCAGACATACTCATCCCTCCAACCCCAACTGCAGCATTTAGGTAACAGTTCAGCATCTTTGAACTCATCATGAATCCATTAAGTTTTGCTGCATCAGCAACTGGGTACAAGAAGCATTTAGGTAACAGTTTGATATTGCTAATTCTAAGATGAGTCACAAGATGACACAAGCCGACTTTTAAATTAGGTTATGTGATATCCAAAACCATAGCATTTAAACCAATAATGGAGTTCAGACTGTTAAGGGAGTACAAATACATAGTAGACTGAAAACAATATTTAATCACAGTAATAAATGTATGCAACTGTTCTAGTTTGAATCTAGGGATATGAATTGTAATGAAAGGATACCATTACAAGTAAATAAAATTTCAGCATTTTAGTGATGTAAGCTTGTAAATAGAATCACTGATAATCAAATATGATGTTCCTAATTCCGATCCAGCTGGCTGACCCATTATGTATGCCTCCACTTTGCTCTTCTTCAGCCACTATGTCCTGCAGTGTGTATGTCGGATCTTCCTGTGTCCAAGGTACACAGACCAAATCAGTCAGTTCCTCCTACCAGCAATGGCATATGGGAAATACCCATTCCCGTTTGTGGAGCTGATCCAAGGCTTGATCTCACATACGTCCAAAAACGGTTCCAGCCAACGACGACATCTGAAGCCAGAGCTGAAGCCTAGTCCCTGGCTCCTTGCAGCAGTTCTTACTCTGGCAGACAAGTATATCGGTAAGTCATGGTTGGGGTAACTAACTTTCTAAAAAAAGCAGTAATCATTGTATTTTTCCTTATCCTGACTCATGCTAATTATGCTTGTCTCCTTCCTCTTGCGAATGATAGTGGAACACTTGAAATCCCTTGAAGTTCCCTTTAAAAAAGCGGACGTAAAATCACTCACCCAGGAGTAGCGTCCCTTTCCTCCCTTTGGCACCCAAATGGTCACATGATCGTCCATATTTGTCACTCTCTCCTTCTTCGCCCTTGAAGACGGTTGTGAGAGCACCTGGGTCCCTATACGGCACATATCCTGTTATATTTTCAGACCTTACATCAAAATTATTGCTGTATACGGTTTTTAGGATTATATTCTACATTACGGTTTGAAATTTGTTCTAAATTTTCAGTTGTTTGACATGTGTTTTCTTCATGTTTACAATTGATGAAAACTTGTATTCGTTGTAGGTACCGAGTATCTGCGGCTGACCCTCATTTATTATGTCCTAATTGTACTGTTTCATGTTCTTTCAGCTCTCGCTGTAAGTATTGTATAAAATTAAATTCGGTTGAATTTAATAATTACCTTTTTTCCATCCATAGACGTGCTAAGGACTGGGTACGTAGGTATTCACAAGTCATGTCTAAATCGAGTGATTGCGCTGATAACCGTGTGTTAACCACTGCTGCGGATATTCATAATTCTAGTGAATTGCTGAACGTTTCTCAGGAGCAGGTTGATGTACCAGGGGTGAACGCCGGAGGCCATAAGAGATCATCGTCTACTGAGCTGACCTAATCGCAGATGAAGAAGACCAAATCTTCATCTTCACAGAAAAAGAAGGCTACTACCATGAAGACTTCAGCGAAGTCTAAGATCAGCTCTACACAGAAGACGAGGTCTTTCTCAGCCGAGATTGTTCCTCCGGAAGACGCCGATCTTATGATGATCTACCTATCCTCATACCTGAAGTCACCATCGTCAGTAAGAAGACGAAGCCTGCTTCTACAGCTACATCGACATTGGTATCAGCGCGCAGACATTGACAGAAGACTTACTATCAATGCAGACATCGGGTACCAGAGATAGCAGCATCATCAACTCTTCACTAGTGCAGCGAGCCTTAGATGACGTCTCTTCAGTATCAGATGCATCATCCCTGCAGCAGTCTCTTCAGACAACGCATAACTTCAACCCGGGACTGTTCATGCAACAGTTTACAGACCAGATGATGTCCTTGATGGAACGTCGCTTTGCTCAAGAGAAGGCTGCTATGAAGACCGCTACAACGTCTACTAGCCTGCGTGAAGTCTCTACAGTCTCCCCACCACATCTCCCTACTCCAACAAATCTAAGTTTGCAGGAGTCCAGAGAGCCAGAGAAAAGAAGTATTCCAGTATTCCAACCGGAGCTCCTAGAGGTAGCCGGAAGAGGCCGAGCACCCAGGGGTGCAAGAGGAAGCAAGCATTGAAGGCCAGGTTCGGAACGACTGGAGTCTTCCACCCCCAACCGTTCCTATACAACCTTCGACAGTGGGTGGATGTCTTCAACGGTACTGGGAGAACTGGGGGATACTACAGGACGACTACGTATCCCAGATACTGCGCAGAGGGTACAAGATACAGTTAGAAGCCACCCCGTCGCTCACAAGCAACCCCATGGCCTTCAACTACGCAGCCGACCAGATAGGAAAACTGGACAATGCTATCAAGACCCTACTCAACAAAGAGGCAGTAGAAGAGATAGATCAAGATCTCATCACGTCCGGGTTCTACTCCCCAATTTTCCGGGTACCGAAGAAGAATTCCAAGGAGAAATTTCGGCTCATCTACAACATGAGGAAGTTCAACCAGGAGTATCTACGCAGACTAGCAAAATTCAAGATGATACATCCTCCTCAGCTCCGACATCTCGTTTGTCCAGCAGACTACCTCGCCAGCATAGATCCGCAAGATGCGTACCTTCACATCCCGATACTTCCAGACTCAAGGAAATACCTACGTTTCCTTTTCAACGGACAGCACTTCCAGTGAAAGGTTCTACCGTTTGGAATATCGTCGGCCCCCTGGTTGTTTACTCGAGTGACCAAGCCCATCGTCACATATCTACATCGTCGAGGTCTACGCAGTGCTTTCTACCTGGATGACAGGATTCAAGCTAATCAAGATCCCAGTCAACTCAGACTGCAACTAGATTTGACCATCAGGCTGCTCACTCAACTAGGATGGCTAGTGAATCTCCTCAAGTCGGAACTGGAGCCGAAACAAGATCTGCAATTCCTAGGAATTCGACTCATTACACCAGTGAATCGTATAGTCGTTCCAGAGGATCGTTGGGTCAAAATACAACAGATGATATCTCAAGCATTGCTCTCTCCGTTCACACTATGTGCTTGGCAAAGCATGCTCGGTCTACTCACCTCAGCTCAAGACATGACTCGCAGAGGGAGATTACAGTTGCGCCCACTACAAGTATTTGTGAACACCCACCTAGACAGCCTAGATCTGTTAATACTACTGGACAGATTGAAACCATATCTCCTATGGTGGACTCGGAAGTCGAACGTTTGCGGAGGGACCTTTTTGTCAGAGCCGGTTTGCAACACTCATCTCCACGTGGATGCCTCCCTACAAGGATCGGGTGCGCACTTCAACAACGAAGTGGCAGCAGGGAAGTGGTCGAGTCAGGATCAGAAATCACACATCAATCTGTTGGAGATGAAAGCAGTAATCAACGCTTTACAACATTGGTCCAGCGTACTAAAGAACGCACGACTCATGGTACACACGGACAACTCCACAGTGGCGTTTTACATCAACAAACAAGGGTCAAGAAGATCAACAAGTCTGCTACAACTCAGCTTTCTCCTGTTCAGCATAGTCGACGACCTGAACATCTACATGAAGGCATGCCACATTCCAGGAGCAAATAATGTCATAGCAGACGCCCGATCTCGTCCACTACAACCATCCCCGACGGAATAGATGTTGCATCCAGAAGCATTCCAGTTCATCAGACAGACTTTAGGATCCCCACTAATAGACCTGTTTGCAACAAAGTTCAACAAACAGCTACCAATGTTCATCTCACCGATTCCAGATCCTAAGGCATGGGCAACAGATGCTCTAAGCATCTCATGGGAAGGACTAAACACTTACGCGTTTCCGCCTCCAGCACTACTACCACAACTACAGAAAATCAAGCAGACGACTATGTTGCAATTGATTTTGGTCGCGCCCTCCTGGCCAGCGAGGGTATGGTTTCCCGTCCTCATACAAAAACTCGGAAGTCCAACCCTGAAAATACCAGAGTGGTCGAACCTACTCATCCATCCACACACCAAGCAAGCTCACGGGAACCTGACACTGTTCCAGCTACACGCCAGGAGCGTATTAAAGCTTGCCTGAAGACTAGAGGGTACTCCGCCAGAGCAACGAAAGCAGTAACACTAGCTCTACGCAGATCAACTCGCAACTTGTACGACGACAAGTGGCAGAGATTTGAACAATATGCAAAGAGGAAAGGCTTTACAGCGGTTACAGCAACACATCCTCAAGTGGCGGAATACTTATGTCATCTACGACAGACGAGACACTTAAAAGGTTCAACATTCTCAACGTACTTAGCTGCTCTCAGTACAGTTATCACCATGAAAACGGGTATCAAGCTGACCAAAGTACCAGAGATTCTGGCATTACTACGCTCATTCAAGTTGGAAGACTTTAAGGCTCCTGCCTGGGATCTCAACATAGTTTTACAACATCTCACCAGTGATGCCTATGAGCCTCTAGAACGGACATCCTTTATCCTTTGAACTACTAACTTAGAAAACGCTGTTCCTGATCGCTGTAGCAACAGGTGCAAGGATGTCAGAAATACATGCTCTAGACATTGAACAAACACGATTTGAATCGAGACATCGTGACATCGTACATCTGGGACTGAGATGGGATTTTATCGCCAAGAACCAACTGCCCGGCCAGCCTGACAGACAGTTCCACATCCCAGCACTATCTACAGTCCTTGGGCCACAGGATACGCAGGATCTATCCTTTTGCCCAGTCAGAGCACTTAAAGTCTACTTACAAAGAACTAAAACAAGGAGACGAAAATTCAAGCGCCTATTCATCCCCTTATCCACTGAGACGCCCACGGAAGTCTCTAGGACAACGATATCGATCTGGATGAGAGCCGTTTTACTAAGGGCCTATAAAGCAGCAGGACTTGAGCCTCCACGAGCCTCCAATCCACATGAAGTCAGAGCCCTGGCGTCAACACTTGCTCTGCATGGAAACTGCTCGAATACAACTATAATGGAGGGCTGCTTTTGAAGATCGAACACAGTGTTTGCCAACCACTACCTCAGAGACATTGCCACTGAAGACGTCTCAGGCATTCACAAGTTTGGGCCACTTGTTGTAGCACAACAACTAACGGTTCCACAAAGGCGCTGGGAAAATCTCACCCTTTTTATCACGTGACTTTTGAAAACTAACGCTCTTGAAAGCAAATGGTTAAAGTCCATGCACACGTCTAGGACAGACTAGCATGAGTGATAGACCCTGTACTTGTATAGGACATACTCGTACATGAAGAAGGGTCACATCTCCACTTGATGTGTGCATCAAGAGATGGGGGTTCAATAGATAACTAATGGAATATTAGTATATCTAAAATCCACACGAAAATGTCAGGAGAAGTTTCGGAAGAAATCTGACAAGTTGTGGTCCCCCCAGACTCATCAGAGAGAAGTTGAAAGAATCTTCAACAGTGCCATCATAAGTTCCCAAGGGGGGTAATACAGGACGTAAATCTACAACCAGGGAATCCAGAACGTGGCTTGACCAACCACCGTTTCCGACGGATTCTGCAAGCATAATTAGCATGAGTCAGGATAAGGAAAAATATGTAATTTTCTGACTAAAATTGATATTTTATACTTATCCTGACTCATGAGGTTAGCCCTCCCAACCTCCCCTCTTATGGCACTCTGGATTTCCCTGTATATTCGGGTCTCGGGCTTACATACGGAGAGAGTGACAAATATGGACGATCATGTCACCATTTGGGCGCCAAAGGAGGAAAGGGACGCTACTCCTGGGTGAGTGATTTTACGTCCGCTATTTTAAAGGGAACTTCAAGGGATTTAAAGTGTTCCATTATCATTCGCAAGAGGAAGGAGACAAGCATAATTAGCATGAGTCAGGATAAGTATAAAATATCAATTTTAGTCAGAAAATTACATTATTCAGAATTTTCCATTTAGGGAAAATAGTGAATAAATGTTTTTGTGTTTTTTTCATTTGTTTGTCAGATTGTGATAATTATTATCATCACTATGATGTGATATTGTTGAGAGGTGTCAAATTACCTGAGATATATTTTTTGCAAATGAGTGTGAGTGAGTTTTACGTGTGTGTGGTTTTACACAGCTTTTAGCAATATTCCAGCAATATCACGTCCAGGAACACAAGAAATGGGCTTCACACATTGTACCCATGTGGGGAATCGAACCCAGGTCTTCAGTGTGACGAGCAAACACTTTAACCACAAGACCACCCCACCACCCTTTTGCAAATGAAACTTAATAAGTCACATTACTTGTGACATTATATAAGTGTAATTGTTTCTTATTGCACAGGTGACCTGACATCTGAAAACAGCTATGCTTACATGCAGCTGCTACAGTACTTACTGCCACAGCTTCCCAAGCCGAAAAATATTGACGTGGATGATGACTCTGAGGAGGAAGACATGGCAGTAGACGAGGTAGGGTTGTCGGTCAGACTCTTGGTTTACGCACAGTTTGAGATGAAAGTTTGTTAAGAAATTCCTTTTACTTTACTTTTCTCCTAATTTGTTTGTTGATTTCAGGACTATGGGTTTGCCAGTCTGTCTGATCTTCGAGAGGAGTGTATCCGATTGCTAGACTCTCCAGGGCACCTTCACTGTATGTTCAACTGTCTTCAGCGGAATGCCGACAGCCAGCTGCTGGAGGCTGTGTCTGTCATCTGCCACACACTGCTGTCCCAGCAGAGGCTGTCTGTACACAGGCTTAGGTATGGCAAACAGCATCACAGATTATCTCCCCTTGTCCAATAGGTTTATGTCATTCAAGGCAATCACACATGTTTTGTTTAGATCGGAGAGCTGTTATTTCTTCTTTGACATCTTAAGATCTTCAGTTACTTTCACCTACAGTGTAACTCACTACATATGCTCATACTAAATTTATAAATTATGTGAAGCATTTCTTTTAATCAAATGGGCTCAATATGGATTATCTCCCCTTGATCATTGACATGCCATTTATGTCGTTATGTATGACAACAAGTGGCCTTTTTTTACCTTTTCTCTACTTTGACATATGAATAATAACATTTCAGAGTATCTCGCTCAATTTCCTTTCTATGACTATTTTTGGAAATTGCATCGTACCAGAAACCATTATATCATCTCTGATCCTACCTACGCTGTTCTCTAAATCCCCAAGACACATACCAAATCTTCTATAAAGACCAAGATATTCATATTTAAGCTTATGTCAGTCAGCGTTTTGTTTAGTGATGTGGTGATTTTTCACTGTTCACTGCTATTGTCTTGTAGGTTGCTGTACAGTTTGGCATTCAACACTAAAGTGATACGTAATCTTTGGTACACATGTGCCTCAGTATCCACACCAACTGTCACCGGGTGAGTACACATGGACACTCTTCATTCTGTCATGTGCCAGTTTGATTGTAAGTACATACATAGCTGTGTATTGTATCTTTGTAAACGCTATAGTGCATGTGGGGACCTGTTATCTATCCACTTGCAGTGTGTCAAAGTGTTATAGATTATAAAATTATAAAAATCACAGCATAAGATTTACAAACAAACATCATAACTTCAAAATTAATGAAGCATGCATATGTATGAACCTGTATCAAATCTGTGTTGGTTATCAAAATCATTTTTTGGTTGTAGGTCAAGCACATCCTTGATTCTGATGTTAGCTCGAGGTTTGCCGATGTTGAAGACGGATGTGAACCGTATTGTGCCACTCCTGTCTGTGTTTTGCTCTATGTTCAGTCACTCTCTCCTCACCCTACACGATGCTGACTTCTATGGTGATAATGAAGGTAATGCTATAATGTTGTATATTTGATACTGCTATATATCTGACAAGGGTCTATGAGGAATGGCTGGTCATGGGTTCTAAATACCTATGTTCATATTCTTCAAAGTGGTTAATACCCATGAAGATCTGGATTAGAATTGATCTTCAGTGCTTGTCATAAGAGGCAACTAATGGGATTGGGTGGTCAGGCTTGCTGACTTGGTTGACACATGTCATTGTACCCCAATTGGGTAGATCGATGGTCATGCTGTTGATAACTGGAGTGTCAGGTCCAGACTCGATTATTTACAGACCACCGCCATATAGCTTGAATATTGCTGAGTGCAGTGTAAAACTAAATTCACTCACTCACTCAAAGTGGTAAATATCTTCAGCCTGTGTCACGTTTGGATCCTGTGTCATGTTTTGGATTTCTTCCCATGTATATCTTAGATCAGTAATCCCATGACTCAATCACTCATTCAGTTGTTTATCAACTCTAGCATATCTCAATGTCAGCCTCAATAATACAAAAACAGTTTTTATAGTCTAGTGAACAAGAATTCAAGACATGTGTTCTTTTAGTTACAATTTAATAGTTTCCTGGTTTTTCATGTTGCTTCTATTTAAAAACACAATTAGCAAGGGGGCAATCATGGCCCAGTAGGGTAATGTGCAGCAATTTGCTGTGCAGAGAGTTATGTCCCTTTAGCATGCCAGAAACCTGTGATTGTGGGTTCAAAACCTGGTTCAATCAATATGAATTATGTTTCCAGGTTAGTCAGCATCTGTACTCATTGGTTTCACAAAATGGTAAAGTCTGGAACCTGCATCACTCCAGCTACTGTTAAAAGTGGCATTAAACCCAACTCAGTCTGTCACCTAGTCATGATGCAGGTATTGTTTTCATGTTTGTTCATGAGTGAAATGGTTCATGATATTTCCCCCCCAGGGCAAAGTACAAGCATGCCATTCAAAATAGAGGAGTTGGTTCCGATGAGTCGAGCACTGAGAGACGCCTGTCTTGGCATCATAGAACTGGCACACCCCGATGCCAAGCGAGCTGTGAATGATGATTATCGAATAGCATTACAGAAGACAGGAATCAGGAACAGGGAAATGGTTGGGGAGGAGGAGGAAGAGGAGACACGCCAGTGGGCATACCTGTTTAAGGTGCCAATAAATATTGTCTCACCCATAACCATTAACAGGATAAGTTAAATTGTTAATTTATATACCATGATACATCCCTTCTGTGATTCAGACTTCGCTGTTACTAGTATTAGACTCTGTGATTCAAGTCATCATTGGGCCCACATCAGTTTCAGCATTAGTAGTAAGAATGTCATTTGAGATATTATAATCTTTATGAATGAATTTAGAGGATTAACTCTATGCTGTTGCAGGTTATTTCCAATTTAGTCCGACAGTTACATACCAGGAATTCCAGGAGGCCATACTGTTCATATGGTCATTGGTTGGCAGACCACATACAGATTAATGCAGATAAGGTAAAACTGGCAGAATGATAAACAACTGATATCTGTAATTCAGTAAATTTATCGACTAAATAATAAAATGATTATGATACTGAATTTCTACATAAAATCATGTATCTGTTTCTTGTATACATTCATATAAATGGATGTAATTGAGTCAATATTGTCCAGAGTTTTAAATGAAATTTGAATTGCAGTAATGATTGTTTGGTTTCTACGACTTGAAGTAAGAAATGCACAAATATCTATTCTGTCTCTAGCCCTCACAGATTTATCGGGCCCAGAATGCTGTGTTTGTTAGGAGGCCATTTGGTGTTCTCAGGACTCTTACAAAGACTAACTTTGGTAAGTTGTTTAGAAAGCCAATAGACAGCAGAAGACATTTCAAAACATTTTGAGAAAACTAATTTAGGCTTAAGCAACGTTGACTATATGTAACAAAGAGTACCTATGGGGTTTTTTTCAAAGTACATCATTACAAATTTGTGTTATATTATTTCCCACTTTTGTTACTTGCAGAAGATGATGGACCACCATTGGCCAACCGGGATGTGAGGAATCTAGTCATTCTTACCGAGCTCCCATTTGTTGTCTCCTTTTTCGACAGGGTTAAAGTGAGTACTTGTCAAATGTCTATTAAATTCAAGTTATGCAGCTTACTGTGAATTCTGTTGGCATTTAGTATATGTTGGTCAGTTCAGGCATGTTGTGGTGACAGATATCTTTCAGGGTGATGAAGACAAATGAAGAGTATTTTAAATTTACATTCTCAAGATATGTTTTAGAAAATGTCCATCTTTAATTACTGGTAATATATATAATGATAACACTGTATAATGACACCATGTTATTTACCTGGTCCAACACTGTGTGAGTTGATTTGCAAAAGTAGCATTGATGAACTATGAACTTACACAAGTTCTAGATCATTCTATGATTTCATATTTTTCATAAATTTGAGGTATTTTAACATTGCAAGTGCATTAATTCCCATCTATTTCTTTTTTCATTTGACTTTGTCCATGAGGAATTGATATTTATTACCAGTATCTAGAACCAGCTTCCACAGGAGATATGTCTTTCGAGCTCCAATTAAATTATTTTACATCATCATCTTCCATGACGTCAAAATCAAATGACATTAATCTGTCTGCCACTGAAACTGGTTAACTGTACTTTGTACATTCAAAACACTGGTTATTACTGTTAACAGACTGAATAATTTCAAAGAATGATTTTGAATGATGATTAATATAATCTGAACCTCTTCCACCCTCACATATATAAACACTGATCAAGACATACCGATCAACGTAAAAATATCTCTGTCTATTTATTACATTTATCAGCCTGTCTTGATAAGTTTGATAATGGAGGACGTTCAGGTGAGATTCTGTGTGTATTGTACATGTATAACACCTGTACCTGCTGCTGCCTTCACAGATCCTGCAGCGCTTGATAAATGCTGACAAGGAGGAATCTCAGGGTGATATGTCCAACTTCATGATGGGTCCGTCAATCAATGTCATGATCAGGAGAAACTACATCTATGAAGATGCATTTGAAAAACTTTCTCCTGAAAATGGTAAGCGATCTGATGATCATATTTCATAGAGGTGAACCTTTATTAATCATCAGTTATATCAGACAGGTAATATAAGACGTATGTCTGTATGTTTTTAGATACGGTAGTATATATAGCATGATCTACTCCTTGAAGTCAACATTATTTGTATGTGTTAACAAGCAAGTGTCTGTTTAGTCAGTGTTTATCATGTCATTATTTCTACTTCCATCAAGAGCCCAACATGAAGCTGAAGATGAGGATACAGCTCATAAACGCAGCAGGTCTGGATGAGGCTGGCATCGATGGTGGTGGGATCTTTCGAGAATTCCTATCTGAACTTCTCAAGACTGGTTTTGATCCTAACAGGGGTTTCTTCAAGTATACAGTTGACAGACTGCTGTACCCTAACCCTCAGGCTCAGGTGCTGGTTGAGGACTACACCAAGCATTACTACTTTCTTGGTCGCATGCTCGGCAAGGTAGGACAACTGCTGTGATCAGCTGGCTGAAAGTGTTTGCAGAAGTAGCTAGTTTCTGTTTATGTGAGACTGTCCTGACTGCTGCTTGCATGTTGCTTTCATCATACACTACTCAACAGAAGTTAAAGAACACCCAAATTCTCCATATGATTATGGTCACTATTGTATATGAAAGATCAGGGGTTTTCTTTACTTCTTTTGATTAGTATATGTTGATTACATAGATAATTATTCATGTCATGAAAGACTGATTTCCTAGCCGAGACTTGATCAATGTGGCCAGACCTTTGACACAGTTGGAATGCTGCTGAAAGCATTGTAAAACAACTTCCTTTCCACATGATCTGTTTCCTACCTGTCTTCTACAGCACTGTAATGTGCAGAGTTGTATCCCTTAGTAAACATGCTCTTATGTTTGTCAGCAAAATGAAATCTCCATTATCTCAATGATCCAGGCAAAATCTGTGTCATAACTTTGATCAAATACCTGCAATCTTGAAATACGGATAACTCAGCCTATGATTGAGTCTCAGGAACTCCAGCATCCAGTGCGTTTCACTGCTCTTGGTATGGATATCAGCAGTTTTTTATTCTTATTTCCCATAATGCATTTGTTATTCCTGTTGCTTATTTGTGCGTCTTCTCCTTGTCAGGCAATCTATGAAAACATGCTGGTGGAGCTTCCCTTTGCCAGCTTCTTTCTGGCAAAGATGTTGAGTCGACATAGTGCCAATCTTGACATCCACCATCTGCAGTCAATGGATCCTGTCATGTACAAGTAAGTTATTCAGGAGTATCAGCAATTATTTAGGCCTTAGATAAGTTTTTGTTTGGTTTATTAGTCATCTGCCAAAATTCTGGTCTTAATTGTGACTTTAATAAAATAAATATAAGATCAATGAACAATTTACTTTTTTTCATGATTTGTAGGAACCTTTTATTCTTGAAGACATATGATGGGGATGTGTCAGACCTGGGTCTCGACTTCACAGTAGTTAACAGTGAATTCGGAGAGACTGTGGTAAGTTTGTACTAAAGTGACAAGCATGTCATAGTGCCAGTTACAAATGTTGGTAGTAAGTTTACAAGCCGATACAATTTGCCAGAAGACCAAAAACAAGAACAGATTTCCAGAAGAATATTCAGCATCTGCTTTGTATTCGTTCTGACACTTGAAACTTTATCAACTCTACTATTTAAATCAATTTCTTTTGCTCAATTTTTAGAATACTGTATTTCTGTGCATATTTGTGTCAATATGTGTACCCTGCCAATACTGCAATTATGTCTGAAGTACACGAGGAGAGCATATATTTTCGACATGTTTTAAAGTTTATTGTTTTAAATTTTCTCATTATCAAATTTATTAATGAAATAGATTGCATTGATTTTTAGGTTCTTGTCAGACAAGTTTGAAGTTGTGTGTCACTAAAACTTTCATCTTATCTCAGTTAGAAGAGTTGAAGCCTGGTGGGAAGAACATTGCTGTGACAGCCAACAACCGGATCGAGTATATACACCTCATGGCTGACTACAAGATCAATAAACAGGTACAGGAAATGGGATCTATCAAAAGCATGTTCTGTGAAATCCTTCATGCAGATGAAAGTACAAAATGACCTTTTGTCATGTTGAAATACAAGAAAATTAATCCTAACAGAACCACAATGTCTACTTTTGTAGCTGTTAGACATTTGCTAGGGGCAGACCAGTAAACATTTGTGTTTAGCAAACCATGCTTGTTTTAAGAGGTGACTAAACAGATTGGGTGGTCGGACTCTCTTACTTTGTTGACAAATGTCATTGTATCCCATCTGCGTTGATAATGCACTTAATGTCAGTGACTGGATTGTCTGGTCGTGACACAATTATATATAGACCTTCAATTATGTGGCTGTAATATTACTGAGTGCAGCGTTAAACAACAAAGCACATTTGGAGCAGATACATTGGAGATATTTAGTACTCACTCAGGTAAGTATTGCCCAAATCCAAGTTTAGATAATAATATAACTTTGAAAGTTTCAGTAATCCATTTTCTTGTCTGCAGATCCTTCAATTACCTGTACTGTACAGCATTTCAACAAACACATTTGGATGGCTGATGTCATCTCTATTGAATGGCTTCAGATGTTTGATCCCACAGAGCTTCAGGTTCTGATCTCAGGTGCAACCGTCCCCATAGACACTGATGACCTTCGTCGTCACACAAACTACTCAGGTAGGATTCGTTGTAGTGAATTATACTTGGATTCTTTTGGGATTCCATCATGTTAATGCAGAATAGACATCTAATACCCTTCCTCCTCCTCTTCTGTAGTCTCAAAATGCCACAAATGGCAGTGTTACATAGACTGGGGCTTGTGATGTCAATCACTAGATTGTCTGGTCTAGATTCAATTTTCTTTCAGCCTGCTGTCATATTGTTGGAATATTACCAAGTAAATCTTTAAACAGACAGACAATACCTTAGCTCAATTGAAGTGTAACAATTCAGCAAATGTTTGACAAGGAGGCAATGCAAGTATCAATGCAGAACAATCCCTTACATATAAGATGGAAGATGAAGATAAATTGAGAAATGGTATATGGTGGTTGTACAACAGGTCTCTAGCCCATGTAATATTTATTGGCTGAAATCTTCTAAATAATGTTCATTAAGGCAACTGTCCTTATCATTCAGTACAAAAATAACTTATTAACATTTAAAGTATCTGGTTTCTTGTATCACACTCCGTATTGTTTACTATGGCGATAGGTATCATGTTGAAGTTGAAACGGTTGAAACGAAGCGTATCATAATTTACAGTCCAACTGAAGGTTAGGTCAGTGGCCAAAATGATATCTTTGTAATAAGATCATTTATGGGGAACTTTTCAATTGCATACCAGTACACATATATTATGTAGTTTGTGTTTAGGTGTTAATGTATTCTGAACTGTAACCAGTATGTAATGGATACCACAGAGAGTGAAAGGTGTGTTCAGGTATTGTACATGTGTTCCAGGTGGTTACACTGAAGACCACAATGTCATCAAGATGTTCTGGAATGCTGTGGCAACGTTCACAGATCAGCAGAAACGACAACTCCTGAAGTTTGTCACCAGCTGCTCTAGGCCTCCACTGCTGGGTTTCAAGGTAAGAGGTTGTTGAGGCAATGTCAAGCAGCAGACATGTGATTGTTCTTACTTAGCTGACAAGACTGGAGTTTTCATAACTCAGTTTTGAATTGCTGTCTAATCATGCTCATATCATGAATATCCAATGCTGTCATTAAAGGTCCTCAAATGTTGGTGTACCAGTCTTCAAAGGTCTTTCTGTGTAACAAAATCAGAAATTTAATCATAATATTAAATGAACACATCTTTGATCATACAGCCTTTGCGCTAAACTTGGTATACCTAATATTCATTAGAAATATTCTTAAAGATTCACGGGGCAGTGGGGTAGCCTATTGGTTAAAGCGTTCGCTCGTCACGCCGAAGACCCGGGTTCGAATCCCCACATGGGTACATTGTGTGAAGCTCATTTCTGGTGTCCCCCGCCGTGATATTGCTGGAATATTGCTAAAAGCGGCATAAAACCAAACTCACTCACTCACTCACTCACTTAAAGATTCACATACATCAAGTTATGATCCATTCATGATCAGATCTGTGTCATGTATTGTAGGACTTGTACCCAGCCTTCTGCATTCACAATGCTGGAAAAGATCCTGAACGACTTCCAACAGCAAGCACCTGCATGAACCTGCTCAAACTGCCAGAAGTGGACGATGAGGTGATGCTTAGGACAAAGCTACTCTACGCTGTCGAGTCCGACTCAGGATTTGAACTGAGCTAGTAATTGGTCCACAGAATCATATCATAATATGAACATACAAACCATGAGAACAGTCCCTGGATGATGTGATTATAACAAACTTGCTTACACACAGGATGGATTGCAGCTGCTCTTAAGAGACTTTGTGATACACTGTACATATTTAAGGCCCTTGGATGTGTAGGTTGTGTCTGAGATAAAGATTCTCATGCGGACATGTTATTCTGGTGCTTTGAGAATAGTCTTTTCAACTCGGACATATCACAAAGTAGGGCCAAATTTCAGTACGCAATTACACAGGATTCATTGTGTGTATGTTATATATGTATGCTGTAGACTATATTTCACGTCTCCCATCAATGTCTCCAGTTGACAACCTGTTTGTAATACTTGTTCCTCATCATCTACCCATCAAAGCTAAGACCCTGAAACTAGCTGGACTGGTTTGTTTAGGCCTGTGACTGCTGGATGTGGTTTGTTCTTGTTTCAGCTTGTTAAATGACTGCTGCATTCATCTCCCTGTGTCATTAACCAAGGCTGAAGTTGTTTGCATGTCATAGGCTAGTACAGCATCATACGTGAATGTTTGTTTAAGCAAGATTACATGATCAAAATATGATTATGAATCAAAATCATTTGAATGGCACAAATACTGGAACTTTTGGGAGAAAACAGACTGAATTTCTTCATATATTAATAATTTTTATGTTTTGTTTATTCCACTGTTTTTACAATGTGATAATTTCTAATTTCAAATCTCATTTGAACCACTGTTTGAAATGAATAGTACTCTAAAAGTATTTGGTTAATTTTCACCTACGAATTGGCAGTGCTTTAGCATGATTACATGATTGTCAGAGTAAAAAATCTTTACAAAAATAGGAATCAGTTTGATGTCAGATTCTGAGTAATATTGGACAAAAGCCATGATTCAGAGACTTGTCCAATCCTTTTCAAACAGAAGATTTAGTAGTGAAACCAGTTCAGTACTGTTGGTTATGATCTGCATACAATGGAAATATATGATCTTTTTGAAGGGTACAGTGTGTGAATATTTGATAATTTGTATTTATACATGTTGAAGATAACTAGTAAATAGTAATGTTTGTTATTTTGACATATTGTCTATTTATAAAGTTCACGTAATCAAATTGTTCTGTAATAAAGTCACAAATGAGCATATATCTGAATGAAACTTGTTTATAGTAAACAAGTTAGAGCTGTATATTTGTAATATTTGCATATAAATAGCACAAACCAAATTATTCTGCTAACTGTATATAGAATATTTAGACCACATATTTATTTTTGGTTGGTTTACAAACCTGACCTACGAAATCCCCCAGAAATTAGAAAAGACTGACTTTCAACCAAATCATTGTTTGGCCATTTCTGTTTTACTACTGGTTGGAATGAAGAAACACAAGGGTTTATCACCTCTGTTCATAAGAATGGCTTATTTAATAATACATGTCTCAAAACCTGTATTCTCACAAAACAAAACCTGTCATTATACTTCAATACAGGGCCAAGTTAAAACTGGTTTGTTTCTTATGCATTAGTAGCAATACTAATTTTGAAGTTTTTTTCTGACCATTTACAGTGAATATGAGGCCAAAACTGTTGTAAAGCAGCTAAATAGAAATAAGGCCTTGCAATGCTTCAGGTAAATTATTATGTCTTGAAATGTTTGATATCACTTGACCACTTATTTCCATTGTCAACATTTACACCTCATTATCAGTCGTGCTTCTCCTTGAACATAAATGTGATGTGTGAATTTGTTTATGTTTACTTTGATTACTGACAAACTAGTTCATGAACTGTCTTATGACAAAAACTGCTTTTTTGTGTACTCATTGAAGTGCTGTGGTTTTGGTAAGGAATGTTAAAACCGTTTAATCACATTCCGTGTTGCTAGAGGGGCTCTTGAACCAGGGTGGCGATGGGGTAGCGTAGTGGTTAAAGCATTCGCTCATCACACCGAAGGCCCGGGTTCGATTGCCCACATGGGTACAATGTGTGAAGCCCATTTCTGGTGTCCCCCGCTGTGATATTGCTAGAATATTGCTAAAAGCTGCGTAAAGCCCAACTCACTCACTCTTGAGCATGGCTTCATGCCTACTTCCAGTCTAGGTTTAGATACCATATTAAGTGCACTGTCTGAGAGGGACCTGGTTATACTTTGTACCCAGCTCCCATATTGGGAGTGGCCTCATACAGCTTGGCACACTGAAGTGGACGACAGCATGCCATGATAGCTATTCAGCATCAGACATTGTTCATAATATCAATCACATGTTTGTCTCCCCCTGGGCACTACAGCTTAGGTCCCCAGTAACCAATGCTGGTTGTAAGAGGCAGGTCAATGATTCTAGAGGTCAGGCTCAGTGTCTTGGTTGATGTGGCGTGTCATCTTACCCTGACAGTGTGGATCGTTTCCCAGTTAGCCATCACTGGATTGTCTGGTCAAGATCAAGTGCTATGATGCCACCATCATATGGCTCCTGACTATGGCACAAAATGTCAAATATTTGAACAAAATGGAGTGCACCAATTGACAAGAGCATGATTGTGTCAACATAATCATTCTGTAAGAAAGTTCACTTGATAATACCTTGCACTTAAGCACTCATGCCATAAAGATGGTGTTGATTGGCAAAGCTAATGAAAGATGACAGACTAACCTGTTTGTCTTCATGATAATTGTACACGTTTCATTACCGCAGAGTCCATCGATTGCCTGCATCAATACATTACTGAGTTTGCAATCCCTAACGTTCCTGTAGACATATATATGGTTGGGGAGAAGCACCACTGATGCTCAACTGTGCATGCTTGATATTGATGACTGTCTACACTTGTTAATTAACACCGTATCATTATGGGGCTGTTCACCCATTTATATGGCTGCAAAAATGTTTAATGCAGTATTGAGTTCTCACTCTGATAAAGTAATAATTTTGTTATCACATTTTCAGATTACAGCTGTTGGCTTGTTCCCCTTTCTTCTGCTCCTCTTTCCTTTATGGGGTAGTCTAGGCTTTAGGTTTTAACAAGGTTAAGTGGTTTAGATAGTAATGATATAAGGTAGAAAGACACAGAGCCAAGCAGATTAGCTTGGATCAGTGAAGGCATAGTGTCTGGACAAGTTCAGTGTGTCAGAAATGTGAGTCCTCACTCGATAGCAACATGTTCTCGAGTTCATTTATCACAAAGTTCATTTGTGATACGGTTTCACCATATCCTTCTCACATTTAAACTAACCACTATGACAGGACTAAAATAGATTTAAGAATAGTGTTAACTTTAATACCCTCTCATCAAGGTGACATTTCTTCATTGTTTGTGTCATGTGCTTTAACTTGTATTGCAGAGTTGTGTCCCTTGGGTACTACACTCCAGTTGTGTTTGATGTGTCAGCACCAGCCCTGCTCATGTATTTTGTATTTTTGCAGTTTGTTGCACTTTGTCATCTTTCTTATCAAATCTAGCAACAAGAATGTTGGTTAAATCTTGTGAAAGGTCCCTTGACCCCTTGTGTGTATGTGAAGAACACAGTTCCATAGTGGCCAAAGCATAAGATCAGTGATGTGTGATGATACACACTATCTATATTGTTCACGTGTAAAACCTTGCAAAGCCATGTCACCAATTACCTCATTGCAATCTTCTGTATTATGTTTACAAAGTAGTTAAGATACAGTTTCCTCCTTATTTAACATCTGTTACTAGCAAATTGTTCCCACATTGAAATATTAAATATCGATTATTGATTGTAGATTGTAGATTTACTTTGAGTGACTATCACCATACATTCCATCAGTTAAAACAATGTTATGATACATTTCTTGATTATACATTCACTTTAGTAGAGTGAATAGCTATGATAACATTTATAATTCACAGGGCACTCTTTCCAAATGGAGGAATCATGAACTGTGTTAAGTTTTGCTTGCATGAGAATATAATTTTTATTAAATATACTGTATGTATATGTAACTAGCACCTAATGGAAGATTGACACAGTTTCTTTATATCTAAGCAGACATGTATAGCCCAATGATAGCTATTTATTGGAGCTATAGATATTAATGTGGAATATTTAAAAACTCCATGGAATTAGGATAGCTTTGTAGTTATAAATATCTATTCATCATGGTAGCTCAGGTTCACTTTTCCCACATGGGTGAAATGAAACGACTAAGCCTCACCCATTTTCCCACATGGGTACAATGAGATGGCTAAACCCCACCCACTTCCCCACATGGTACAATGAGATGGCTCAACCCCACCATACCCGTGAAGGTCTAGGTTAGAATATTGATCTTCAGTAACATGCTTGTTGTAAGAGGCGACTAACAGGATCAGATGGACAGGCTTGCTGACTTGGTTGACACATGTCATCGGTTCCCAATGATGCTCATGCTGTTGATCACTGGATTGTCTGGTCCAGACTCAATTATTTACAGACCACCGCCTGGAATATTGCTGAGTGCGGCGTAAAACTAAACTCACTCACTCACTCAATCAACCCCACCCACTTTCCCACATAGGTACAATGAGATGGCTAATCCCCACCCACTTCTCCAAATGGGTACAATGAGATGGCTAAAGCCACCTACTTCCCCACATGGGTACAATGAGATGGCTAAACCCCACCAACTTCCCCACATGGGTACAATGAAATAGCTAAAGTAAAACCCCACCCACTTCCCCACATGAGTACAATGAGATGGCTAATCCCCACCCACTTCTCCACATGGGTTCAATGAGACGGCTTAACACCTCCCACTTCCCTACACAGGTACAATCAGGCTGCTAAACCCCACCTACTTCCCTACATGGGTACAGTGAGGTTGCTGAACCCCACCCACCCACATGGGTTCAGTAAAGCTGCCAAACCCCACCCTCCAAGCATCTGACGTACCACTTAACTCTTGAGTCATTCAGTGTACACAGCTGGAACAAGTAAATTAAACTGGGATTTTCACTTAAAATCATGACCATACTCATATGGTGAGGGCTAAGAGTTGCTTGATTTGTCATGCTTTGCAAAAACGAAAATGAAACAATTTAAATTCTACATTGGCAATTCGTGGCATCGTATGTATGGCACTGAGGCATCCAAACGAGACTCAGTATCTGGCATACCAAGTGTGGTTGGAACCCTCCACATCAAGTTAATCTAGTTATTAGTGATCCATCATGAAGTTGCTGCAGTCCTGCTGAAACGGGTGCAATATCTCATCCCTCCCTTGATCACTGCTACCTTTGCTAAAGACCCTGATTTCCTGCACCACACATGCCTGGTTCATGGAGCTCAGTTTTAATGGCCTCGATTTTGGCTATGTTTTGATGAGCTAAAATCAACTTAAAACACTAAGTCCACTGAACTGTATGCAGGGATCAGTTCTATTTAGTTTATGTGTAATATGATCATAACACTGCTTTTACACTATTTTGTCTGAATGTATTTCTTCGTCGGTGTATTGAAAGAGATGTGAATGATGATTGACTGGGACATAATGTTTATTGTATTTGCTGTGATGAATACCAAACACTGAATAAAACTACTTCAAACACTAAAAGAGTCTTTTTTGTCTTGGATGCCAGCCAAAAATAGTTCTTCCCTGTGGTAGAGTTGAATAGAGGAGACAGATAAATGTTGAAAAACACATGAGAATGTAGGGTAGATAATTCAAGGTGAGGTGAGGTGAAATTGGTTTAACGTCACGCTGGAGAATATTTCGCTCATATGACGACGTGCATGCGTGTGTATGTGTATGTGTGGCTGCTTGTACTAGCCCAGACTGAAGTTGGTTTTATAGTGCTAGTCCACTGAGATACCAAGCCGCAGTGAAGCATGAATACCCCACTCAGACACAGTATACTGACTCCGAGCCGACCAGTCCTTGTTGTACCCATTAATGCCGAGAGCGCCAGGCAGGGACCAAAAAGTACCAAATTTTAACGTCTTTTGGTATGACGCGGTCGGGGATCAAACCCGCGACCTTCCGCTCTCCGGCGGGCGCCCTAACCACTACACCATGGAGGCGGTCGGTAGATAATTCAACATGTGGAATATATTTCAGATCGATAAATTGGAGATATTTTTGTTCACTATTTCAATTAAATATTCAACATTCCCTGAATTCATTTTTCCATTCTGTTCATGAAAGAAACATTTGCATACTGGTAATACATATTCCAGATACCATGTTCATACAAGACAACAAATTACATTTTGAACTACATTTATTTATCAAACATGTAAAAAGTAACAAGTGGTCAAATATAAAGCTTGTAAGTATCAACATTGTCCCATTTGGCTGTAAATCTTCAAAATCAATGCTCTCAACAAAATAATGATTTGTGTATAAACAGAAAATAACATGATGATAGAACACAACTTTTAGAAAAGAACGAAATGTCATTGTTTCACCTGTAACATGATCATTGAAAAAATTCAAATGCCTGGCAAAATGTGCATTAATATTACTGAACAAAACTAGAAGAATGTATTAAATGCAATATAAAGGATGTATCACTGGATATTTTAATAACAAATTGTGACTTTCAGATTTCAGCACTTTTTCTCAAATACACTGTTAATAATGCATAAAATGGACAATATACACAGCATATCTCCTCGGTTGAATACAAAAGCACAATCAACATATATTAATGTACAGGTAAATTACAAATGTAACGTGTGTGGAATTGAGGAAAAGAGAAACAATATTACACAAGGGATTTGCTGTACATCTTCAAGTACCATCACATGTTATCAAGGCTGAATAGTTTTTGTATTTGAGTACAACATTTGAGCATCTATACTGCTATTCAAACCCCAGCAGAACATTGATTGAAAAACTGGTCTGCACATAGTCCTCTATACAGCACACAGACCACAAATCATACAAAAATAGCTACTTTTGTTCCAAAGAGAAGTTTGGTCAGGGAACCATGTTTGGAAATCTTGACTTCTGAAAATGTGTAGGACTTTCATTCTGCCCTAAACTGAAGGAGTGAGTGAGTATGATTTTATGCCTCTTTTAGCAATACTCCAGCAATATCACGGCGGGGGACACCAGAAATGGGCTTCACACACTGTGCCCATGTGGGGAATCGAAACTGGGTCCGGCGTGATGAGCTGAAGCTTTAACCGATAGGCTACCCCATTGCCCCTACACTGAAGGACAAGAGGTGTTTCCTTGGGCAAAACACTTTGTTAGAAATATGCCGCTGTTCACCCAGCATGAATCACTGCCTGGTAGAAAGAGATGGTAATATAACTATCAACCTTCTAGCACCTCATAAGGCATTGAGTGAGTGAGTTTAGTTTTACACCGCACTCAGAATATTCCAGCTATATGGCAGCAGTCTGTAAATAATCAAAGTCTGGACCAGACAATCCAGTCAACACAATGAGCATTAATCTGCACAATTGGGAACCGATGACATGTGTCAATCAGGCCAGTGAGCCTAAACCCTCTTACGATAAGCATGGGTTACTGAAGATCAATTCTAACCCGGATCTTCACAGGTTCACAAGACGTAGCAGATATTATAGTGCCACTGAGCTGAGAATGAATCAGAGTACACACCTATTTATTGACCAGGGATATAATTTTGCACACTAAGCATGCTTTGGGGTGTGAATCTATCACAAAAAGTATATGCATATTAATGCCTGAAACAAAGTAGATTCTTTCTTCAGACTAACAAACAAATTCGACAGTATCCATTGACCAGGGTAACAATGTAGCACTTTAAGCATGCTCCAGGGCATTGGTTTGGGCACAATATAAAAATGAACAATATTATGCCTATTACACAAACAGAAGTTTGCTTAATCTCTTCAGGAAAACAAAACAAGTTTAAAACTAATTTAAAAACAAAAATCTGTTATCACGATTGCAACATGTAAAGTAAAAAACAGCATAAAATAGTATCTTGTAAAGTGGACAGAAGCTGGTATGTTGAGCTACTCACTCCAGTTCTTATCTTCTCTATAATGATGAAAACCTTGATGCCATCAGCTAGAATAGCTTCATTAATTGTAACTGATATAACCACCTCCATATCTCTATCTGAAGATAACACCATTATAAATATACAACATTATTAGGAATGTATTTCTGTAACAACTATTTTGCAATTTCTGGGCATACATACAGGCAAAGAGTATATTCATTGGGAAATATGCTGTTTGAGTATTTATTTATATTATATGATGTGTCACAAAGTCGAGGAAAGTGAAGGAAAATATCTTCAGCTCAGCTTCGATCAGTGCTTTAACAAAACAACTCTTAATGCCTACAATAACAATACTTAAACAATGATAAGGCAAAAATAAAATATATGTCCGTTTCCTATTACATGCTTTTTAAAAATAGGGTAGGTGTGTGTTATAGTTAAAGACATGGTCCAACTTCATAGAGTAAAAACAGCTCAAGCTGTAACAGCACCTTATTAGAAACAAGCTTACAGAAAGGTTATTTGCAAAATCTTGGCACCATAAATATATAGACAGTAGATGTGTATACACACAAGTCTATGTTAAAGTATGGGAGTTACGATCATCTTAGCGCTACGATCGCTTTGAGGAACGGGGCCCAGGACTGACAATAATACTTGCTTCTACAGGAAATTTGTTGGCAAGTTATTTCTACGCAAGCAAGCCCCTGGTTCAACACTGACATGAACAGTCACAGTGCTGCAACTGCTTCATGAAATGGGCCTCATGATTTATCATAATATGACCATCTGTACTGTACAGGTGAAATGTACCTGTATGTTGAGTATGTTTGGTACAGATATTTCTGTACAGCAATATGTACAGTTATATCTCACCTTCAAATGAACAGACAAACTGACATGTATTTGTAAAGTGGTATATGTCATACTGAGACAGATTTACATGATGGGTAGAAGACTCAGCAGCAGCTTGAAGGAACTGATTATTCAAGATTGGTATTAGCTCTCAGGATTTTTACCATGATCTACATTGAACTTGTGACTGCTGTTCTGAACACATTTCACAGCATTTCTTCCTATCTTCTGACAACATGGCCAAAACCAGTCAGGAGGACTAACAGGATCTACAGTTCCGTCTTCACATCGCAGGATGGCCTTCACAGGCTTCTTGTGGTGGTAACAGCAAGTGGACTCCTCAGACACCTGCTTGGTCGGGAAGAACTTGGAGCACTTGGAACACTCATATGGACAACTCTTCTCCATCACAAACCGGCCACGTTTCAAGGAACGGATGGCCTGTTCCTGATGTTGAGGGTGGTCCTCTTCTTTGAGAGGAGACTGTGGAGTGATGATGGATCTCTGGGCGTTGCCCCGGAGGATGTTGTGGAGTTGCTGCAGCTTCTGCAGCTTGTTCTGGCTGTATTCCAACTCCCTCTCCTTCTGACTGTACAGAGTCTCCACCCACCTCAGCTGAAAATCCAAATATCTTTGTAAGTTTACTTCTTTGTTTAACACCTAAACTTAGCACTACTGCAGCAACAAAGGATGGTCTGTAAATAGTAGCCAGGTGTGACTCTGAACCACTTGACATCAACAACTGGGACAAGTATCAACCAAGTCAGTAGGTTTGACCACCCAGTTACATTAGTCATTTCTTAAGAAGAGCCAGAATTCACAGGAATGTTGAAGTGATTAACTCGTTTATGCCATAAAATGACAAAATATGAGGTGTGATCACTTCCAGTAAAACATGGTCATTACAAACTTAACAAAGGGACTATTTAACTATTTAATAATATCATTCAAAGTGCTTGAGCACAAAATTAATCAATACAAGAGCCAATTCAAATATTGCCATTCAGTGTAGAATGCACATTTGTGTCAAACATTATTTACTTAATCACATTTTACAATTAAAATCTTCTTTTAATAAAAGGATAAAGGTTCACAAACAATTCATATTTCAATTATTGTTGATAGAGTAATTAACCATGACTCCCTTCATCATGTCTGGAACACTCCAAAATTGTAACCAAGTGTGTAACAAACCTTTTCAGTCTCCTTCTGAAGCTGGGAGTTTAACTCCTGTAGATGGGCACATTGCCGGGCAACGCCCTCCATCATATCATTCTTCTCCATCGCTCTCTGATACATCTCACGCAGTTCCTTGTTCTCATTGCTCAAGTTGACCTCTTTCAACAGCAAGCTCTGGATGATGTCCCGATTCACCCGATTATCTCTGTCGAGATCTTCACAACCTGATGATCCCATGCTTCTGATATTCCCAGTCCCCTGTCTGAAGATATCCACAGTTTCCCTCAGATCCTTGTTTTCGTTCTCCAGTTGACGTAGCTTCAGGTTCAGCTCCTCATTGTACTCGTCCTTCACACGGCTTTTCTGGACAAGTTCTGTGACTTCATCATACAGAGTGTGCACCTCCTCAGGCAAGATGTGATGGTCAATCAGCCCAGCAATGGCAGCCAGGACATCCGAGCCTGAATGACAGTTGGTCTCAGTGCACTGAACTGCCCGCGATTCTTTCTTAGGTTCAGCCATTCTGTAAACCAATGTTATATATAAATAACAATTTCTTCCTTTTTGTAAAAAAATGAGGAGCAATGCATTATTGTTTATTTATCATGTTCAAGCAAACTGTTCAATACCCATTTCGTTTCACTGTCAGCAGAGAAGCATGAACATTTGATACAGCTTTTATACAGTAATATATTGCATCAAGTACAGAACGAACTGAACACATTTAGCAGGTAATGGTCACAATCTATTGGTGAAGTTACCCGTGAAGGTCCGGGTTAGAATATTGATCTTCACTAACCCATGCTTGTTGTAAGATCGGGTGGTCAGGCTTGCTGACTTGATTGACACATGTCATCGGTTCCCAATTGCGCAGATCGATGCTCATGGTGTTGATCACTGGATTGTATGGTCCAGACTCGATTATTTACAGACCACCGCCACATAGCTGGAATATTGCTCAGTGCGGCATAAAACTAAACTCACTCACTCACCAATGGTGAAGTTGGTGTTAAATTAGTAGTGTAGGACAATATCAAGTACTTGGTTATTTCAGCCAAATGTTCAGTCTTGGTAAATATATTTATCCTAATCATTCTAAAATTTAATTTACAAAAACAGAATGTACAATTTGTCAGTCTAAAATGTACTATATTACTGTTATCATTTGCCTTATCATTAGGCACCTAACAGGATCAGGTGGTCAGAGACAGTGACTACCAAGTAGTTGTATTTATACCATGCAAGATAAACCCCATGGCTTTGTCACCCGTGAAGATCTCAGTTAGAATTGGTCTTCAGCAACCCATGCTTGTCTTAAGAGGCGACTTATAGGATTGGGTGACCAGACCAGCTGACTTGGTAAACACATGTTATTATTTCCAATTACGTAGACTGATGCACATGATGTTGATCACTGGATTGTCTCATACCAGCCATATTCCTGAGTACAGCTTTAAGCAACAAACAAACAAGAACCCTCCTACTTAACTGCTCAATAAAGGACAAGGTACATACTACTATAATTCTGTTTTGAACATCAGTGCCCCACTGGATTGCATAGTTTAATCAACTTTGTACTTCCTGGTAATCATAATACATGTACCAGACCATTAAAAAGAAAAATCGGACCTGAGTAAGATTGTACATACACAGTAGCTTCAGAGACCTACTCTGTGTTATTTAGGTAACTGAGAAATTGTTTTTATGTCTTATAAACACCCAGCTGTTGCCACTAGACCTGATAGTGTCAGAAAGATGTCAGTTTCACTTCAACAAAACGAAACCCAGTAAGGACCAACCATGATATTTTCTGTGTTGGGAGGGCTGGGTTTTTTTGTTTCCAGCATATTCAGCAAATAGCATGTCCATGTTGTATTTTATGCAACAACTGAAAGAAAGATAATCTTTTTGGGTTACAACCACAGACCTTTCTTTACTGTTTTAACATTCTAGTCACAATACTATCAAACTATCTTGTTAAGTGTTCCCAGATACAGAACAGATGGTTATGGTTTGGTTTTGAAAAGGTTAAACTTGTTTTGCAAAACCTTTTGTTATATCAGCTTGCTTTATTGCTTTACATATCACATATATTTGATCCCAGATGTCAAGATGAATAGGGTGATTCATTATCAAACATCTGTTCCCAAATAACAGTACCAACATTTAGTTACCAAGTAATCAGTATGTCTGTGGTATTATATTCCTGATGTTGGACGGTAGTAAAGTAACGAGTTATGCTAATGACTGAATCGGATAATGCTTGAGAATAGCAATCTATTGCTATTCCCTCGTGATGGGAAATTATTTAACACTTAGACTCTCAATGAAGAAACACACACTTAGACTCTCAATGAAGGAACACTTCCGTGTCATTTTCTCAACAAGTTCTTAAACAGGATAAAACTATACTCAGTAGGTTGTTTTCGTTTCGTTGTTTGTGTTGACAGGAATGTTTTCAATGGCCAGTTACTCGTTAAACTGTATTTATAAAAACACTTCCGCTTTGATGTACTGTGGCAAGGTTGTTTACCCAACTTACAATCCATAATGTTTTACTCAACTTATAATCCACATTGTACGTATTTCTGTATTGTGTGTCATGTTAATTGAAAAAAGACAACATAAACTACAATAAGTGTCATAATAGCAATGATAAAACGCATTAAATCTACGATCGTGACCTAGATTTACGTTCTGGGTCAATGTCATCTGTTGGTAAAATAATCTTGTATTTATCAGTTACACTGGGTCAAATAGATTAAGCAATCATACATATGATGCATTACCTTAACTCTGCTGCGTGTAATGTAATAGAAACATGAGTATCCAACAGCAGTGCTCAGTCTCCTAAAAAATAGATCTCGCGATGGTCACGTGCAAGCATGTGATTACGTTCAGCTGAGACTATTTTTATATCGCCAGCTCTTAACGTTAGATTACGTCAGCGTTCGTTATGTTCCGATCTGTTAGAAAATCTTGTTCAGGATAAGAAGCGATACAACTTATTTGCTAAACCTCAGTTACTTTGGTTATCCTGAGAGGTATTATTTTATCATTTGGAGTGTTGTAGAACAAAACATTCTGACTATATCGTATCTAGTTTCGAACCATCAGTGAAATAACACTATGAGGTAAAAATCACTACTGCAGCAGGCATATTCACCACGGATATTTGTCAAACGCAAACGACTGGTTCTCAAACGAATACGAAACAGAAGTACATTAAATTGGTAGTCGGGCAATGTAATAAAAGTTTGCTTTTGTGATGACTTGGGTGGCCCTGAAAAGGGCCTGTGGACAGTGTCCTTAAATTGAAACAAGTAGTTGTCTACTTGACGCTGGCTTTCTTACTGATTTTCACCTTCTTGGATCCGGGCTTGACAACCTTCTTTGTCGGCCTCTTGCTTGGCTTGGCCTTTTTGGCAGCTTTCTTGGCCATTGTCTTTGGTCGTTTCTTGGTTGCGGACTTCTTGGCAGACTTTGGTTTCTTGGCTTTCTTTGCCATCTTTGTCTTCCCTGTGGAACGGCTGCGTACTTTGCCTTTGCCTGCCGACTTCTTCTTGCCAGCGGTCTTCTTGGCGGGCCTCTTCTTTGTCACTACTCCTACGCGGAAACGGCCTGACGCTCCACTGGCGAGGGAACCTTTGGGGCGGACCAAGGCTCCCGTCTGAAGACCTTTCAGAAAGCCACGTTTGAGCAAACTTGGCAACAAAGTTGCAGGAATTCCAGGGTAGGTGGCCATGATGTAGCTTTTGATGGCCTGCACAGAAGCGCCTTTCTTATCCTTCAGGGCACGAACTGCCGAAATGATCATATTCAAGACAGTTGGACGACCAGATGGCTTGCGATGAACAACCTTCTTTTGGCGTTTAACAGGAAAGGTAAGTACTGCAGGCCTTGCAGGAGACTGGGATCGGGAACGAGATGGACTTGGCATGATTGCTAGATGTATTCTTGACAGGTACGAGTACTGAACAGGAATACCGTGAAATGACGCGACGTCGCATTTATAGGCAACGCGCGGACGTGAGAGAAGACAACCAACACATAGTCGCTTGAAATGTAAATAGTCTTGGCGATATGTGTAAATTGTGTTTGTTTACCACTTCATTATGATATATTTCCTCTTATTTTGTTTACATTTCGTAAAAAGAAATGGTACCATTGAACAGCTTATGATCTAACGATTCCGGTGCTATACATCAATACCCAATGCAAGTTGATGTTGCTACTCTATTGAAGGTTTTACTGGGAACTATACAGAGGAAGTTTGTGAAAAACAAGGTTTCACTTTCAAAAGTTCTCGAAAACAAAAACATCCTGAAAATAATCAGCACAAATATACTTTGGTGTAAAATATGACATTGTGTTCATTCAAAAGACATATCATACATAACTGTCCAAATCATTTAGAGAGCTCAATTTCGATTTTAAATGTTGACTCAAAAACACAATTATTGACATAAATCGTCCATATTGAATGATTTTCAATATTGGGTTCTGATTATACTAGAAAGTTTTTGCCAATTTATAAATGTTAAATATGTAGCGTATTGTCCCAACCTCGTGGTCTGCTGTCACAAATTCTAGACAATTCCGCTTCTGACCCTAACTAAACACAAAACCGCATACATTATTTGCCCTAGCATCCCTATGTCGTAGCCATAATACAGTACTGTTATGATATTCCATAAATATTCCAATGAATGTGTGAGTTCGTTATGAAGCCTAAACTATCCAGTATACTTACTTTGTCTTTATAATTTAACAGCTGTACAAAATATTAAACAACTGACTGTATATGACATGTTTCATAGACACGAAAGAATGTTCTATTTACTATACTTGAAAATGCATCAGTGATATGCATGACTGTGCACAAAGACAGAGCATATTTTGACGTTTCTTTAATAATATACTTTGTATGAAGACTTTTATCTAACAGAAATTAAATCCACTGCATTCAACCTTTTCCTCCCGTGTTAAATATATAGATCACAATTTTGGGGTGTTTAGATGGAAAACAAATGATGCAGTGAAAAATACTAGATCTATTACCCAAGTCTATAAGCCAAGAAATATATTTTTATATTTTCCCCGACCATTTTCGACAAACATATACAGTACTGTATGGGTGAAAGAAATGTTATCAATATGAGCTGATGTCAGGCATGTTGGTATATATATAGCTATACAATGAATATATACCAAGCCAAGAATACTCATTTATGTATATACATGATTGTCTACCTCATGCAAGTACAGTCTTTGTGGTTCAAAGCATCCATGCATTCCGCGCATGCGACGAGTACATTTACGTGCGATTTGGCTGATGGGTTGATTAAATATATAAGACCCACATATACAAACCGCGTGATTGATTAATGATCGAACCCAAATATGGAGAGGAAAAAACGTATATGTAATGTGTCATGCTAACCTCGAACAAAGATGTCTAGATTGAATGTTCCTATTTAAGTTTGCGTCTTTTCATTTGAAAAGAAAGAAAGAAAAAAAATGTTTGGCAAATATAAGACAGAAAGATGCTCACGGGAAATATTGGATTTTAGTTCAATGAATTCCTGTTATGGTATCTCATTTTTCAACATTTCCGATAAATAAATCAGAAACATTGTGTATTTGACAAACCTCTAGACATTTATCCCAGATCAGTTTAAAGTTAGACCCTAGATATAATTATGGCTCCATAGGCGTGCACTTTATGATGAAATTGTGTATATGTGGCGAAACATTACGTCCATTTGGATCCCAGTGTTGGTTACTGTTAATGGTGATGTGTATGACAGTATCTACATTTTATTGTGTTTTAGTGTGTCTCAGCACGCAGCCATGGTAACAACGTTAGTATGTGCCTCGTGCATCTGGCGATGTTTAACTTACTTTTTCCAAGAGTTGTATTTCTGCATTGAGACCGAAAGCCGCTCGCACGGCAGTTGATCCGGATCTCCATTTTTTAAAATTATGTATATATTTTTTTGTATCATCAACAGTTTGTAAGAATGATAATGACGTTGACCCTACGTCATAGCCAACGCACGGACGAAGACAAGGTTTTGGATATTTCCAGTGTTGTGTTTGTTTGCCTTTTTAATATAACTATACCTTTGTTTCTCTGTCATAATTTATACTGCGTATATATGTTGTATCTTACTTGCTCACATACTGAGACTATCAGAACTGAACTATGTTTGGTGAAAAGCAGTAATGCAGACAAACTATTTTTAAAACATTTTCAGTTATACATATGTTTGGAATGTAAACAAACTTAATTACCCCTAATAAAAACTTTTTTTCAAGGAAAACATATTACTTGTTAAATACCTTTTTAATGTGGCCATGGTACCGGTTCCAATTAGCACATGTTAATAATCTGCAAGTTAAGTTTCTTTGACAAATGAAACGTAATCTAAAATGCACAAACAAATGTGTCACAATATCGGAGCCCTTATTCCACTATCGCAATAAATGTGAATACGGTAGAAAATGGCAAACATATCTAGTACTTTAGACTACTTTATTCAGTGGTAAGTTACTGTATCAATGGCAACAACTTCAGGCAGTTTTGTCAAAGCATTAAAAATAGTCATGATAGGTTTCCTGGATTTACCACAGCATATAATAATATACGAAGAAGGCAACTCCAATTTGTTAATTTAAAAAAAATATCTTTTTGACAAGCAGAATTTAAGAACGCTGTGTGGATAAAGTACAGTATTTCGTAGCAACAGCGTTGTACAGGGCACTACACAGATGACACGCTTAGTGGCACGGGATGTTTCCGTTGCAGTCTTTTCAAAAGTCTAAATCGAAACCGTCGATATAATACTGAAGTAAATAGTATCAAATATAATAGCATAAACATTTTTATAATGATAACTACCCATTTCAGTGATTAGTTTTCCTCAAAGCGAGATATGGTAATTAAGCTGCTAATTATGACAGCTGCCTCCACGAAAAACAATGTTTTGATGATATATGGGTGCTTCTCGCACTTGTTAACAGCAATAGTTGAAGTTTACTCACAAAACAAAAACGAATTACGATTAATATTACATAATGATAATAATAAACATACTGGTGTATTTTAATTAATTAACCTACGTTATATCATAATTATAAAGTAAACTAGTTAAAGTACGGTATCATGTTCATTAACTTAAAATTGTATTTTTCTGCGTATTCCGTTTTAAATTCCAAGTCTGACTTTCATTTACATTCTTCTGCAGCGGGTTCTTTGACAAGTTGTTGCATGCGCTGTTGACTGTTTCCATAGATGAAAATGGGATACCTCATCTGACAATAGGTCAATTTTACCGGTAAACGTATTTTGTTTGTCATTTTCTAAATACCATTTAACAGAACCAATCAATTAAACTATAAGCATTGCTGATCACAGAGACTACAGTTCACACTGTCAGCTGAGGACTACGAGTACGACTATGTTGTACAACTACAAGCTTCTGCTCTAGCCTGAAGTTTAGTCTAGTGTTTAGTATTGTTTTATAAATGTGTTACAACTTAGGGTACCTCAAACTCAGGCAAATGTAAAACAGAAAGTTGGTAATGTCTTTACTTATGTGTATTTAGAACAATTTATGTATTCTTTAGTCTTGTCGCTAAGAAAGAACATGATGTATGATGACTAAGGGAGACAATAAAATGACAATACCACAATATGTTCCTCAGGACAGAAGTCTGTTCCGTATATACTTTACTGATTAACTGAATGATAAACTTGATAAGGAGAGCATTCCATAATATATATATATGTGATTGTTCAGTGCCAGAACTATTATTGTCAAGTGCAGTGATTGACTGAATGGTTTTATGCACTGACAATTGCCATTTTCCCCATGATATTTATGAAGTTTACTGAAACAACACCAATCAACTAATTCTATCAGTTTTCACCATCATTGAAGCAGCATGTGCCATAAACCTCTTCAGTTTCAAAAAATAAATTGTTTATACTATCTTGTGCATAACCTCAGGGGTGGAAATAACCCATTGCCCGACGTCCGAGTCCAGTGTTTTTTTCTGTCGTGCAAGCAAATTCGTTTATCACACTGTACCGGCGTCAAGTTGACTTTCTAATGTTAATTATGTTGTTTATTTAAAAAATTCAACAAGAAAATGGCTGGTATAGTGGAACATTTTTCAGGGCAAGTGATTTCACATGTGCCACTGTACCGGAGTACACTAGCAAATTTTAAAGTTATTTCCACACCTGTTAACATTCAAATATTCAGTATAATTAGTAATAAATGCTGATAACAGTTTGACTTCTGTCGACGGATGTAAGCTAATACTTCCCCAATAAATGATATACACATGCTTATCCTTTACTTCACATAACACTGAGATTGTAAACAATGACAAAATGAAATGTGCATCAGTATGTTGTTGGATTTATATTTAGTCGTGAAATAGTCACATGATACATTACCTCCCGTCCCCAAGTTATTTGATTATTTGTGATAACTGATACCCAACAAGTATGATACAGACTGTAACCAGTGTATGACATAAGGCCCGTCTGACCGCCCGAGACGAGCTAGATTTCTAACGGATGGTCTAAATTTACAGCTAGCCAGCCCGATGGTCTGGTACAAATTTTAGATGTTCCATACATCTGAGTAAATTCACCATATTTGGTCTGGTTAAATCCATTTTGGGCTGGTAACATTTTGAGGTGAGGTGAAATTGGGTTTCACGTCGTGCTTGAGAATATTTCGCTCATATGACGACGTGCATGCGTGTGTATGTGTATGTGCGGCTGCTTGTACTATCCCAGACTAAAGCTGTTTTTATAGTGCTAGCCCACTGAGATACCATGCCGCAGTGAAGCATGAGATACCCCACATTATACTGACTCCGAGCCGACCAGTCCTTGTTGTACCCATTAATGCCGAGCGCCAAGCAGGGACCAACAAGTACCATATTTTAACGTCTTTTGGTATGACGCGATCGGGGATCGAACCCGCGACCTTCCGCTCTCCCCGGCGGACGCTCTAACCACTACACCAAGGAGGCGGTTGGTAACATTTTGAAGTTACCAGTCCTGATGTCTGGCTGGATAGTGGGCTTATTTCATATACTGCTGTAACAGAGGCATAAGATAGTATGATGTCATATATAATTCATGGTTTAGGTCATTATTTTTATGGGCAAATACTAAATACCTATCATTATGGTTTAATTTGTCAGCTGGCAGTTATCTGTGTCTTAAATATTGTCTTCAGTAACCAATGATACTTAGATTTCTCATACTTACAATCAATAATGATATCCCAATTTCTTTAAAGTTTCTAATCAGATTTTCAGAATAGTTGCAGTTGCACCCATCCTATTTATAAACATTAATGAAATTTGGTATGTGTATAGTCAGTTGTAGGATGAACATAATATGTTCATCCTATGTATGTGTATAGTCAGTTGTAGGATGACCATATTATGGTCCATTATTTGTGATTATACATTTTAATCTTGATTGCATATTTGCACTTTAACCATACTGAAACTAGAAACTTCTTACTGACATTATTCTGACTTTCTTAAAATATTATGAAATTTTGCATACTAAGTAGTAGGGCTGAACACATATGGTCTGTTTTTCCCATTGTATTTCATTGTATTTCATTTCATCCTTTGGCTCCTACAATTTATCAAAATGCATTTTCTTGCACAGTAAACATTGTCTTCTCTGAAACCAGTGGCCCACCAAAGTTAAAACTTCACATGATAGTTTCCACAAATGATGAAAGCTGTATTGTTCAAGAGGTTTCAATGCTATTTATGGCAATTTCTCAAATAATCAATCCAAATGCACTGTATAATCGAGAATGACACCTCATGTAGCATTCACATGCAGTGATGCTTTATTATGAAAATTCAGTCCAAGAACTATGGATCTTGTTTCTCTTCTCTTGATTTTAATAAAGAAACTTTTACTGTGCAGTAGAAATGTCAGGATAATCCATCATTCACGGGTACCACATCTCTCTGAACTCGTAGGAGTTAGTGAGTTCCACACCGCTTTAAGCAATATTCAAGCAATATCAAAGCAGGGGAAACCAGAAATCGGCTTCACAGTGTGTGTAGGATATTAATTGTAGTGTATGCAAATAAGAACATCATTTTTATGATTGTAGTAACTGAATTACTGCTGTGCAAAGATGGCTGACAAACCAAAGGTTAAGCGTCGGAAACAGAAACTGCTCAGTGGCAAAGATGGAGAAGAGGAAGGACTCGTCAATCCCGGGAATTGTGAGTACTTTTGTCAAATCCTTGTTTTATCACTTGCAATGTCAAGTCACCAGTTTTGAAAGCATTTAAATGTTTTAGCTATATTGCAGTGAAGTGTGCACAAATAACCGTGATATAGACCGTCCGATGGCTTTGTAATATGTTTGTCAGTTTATGCCAACTGTTATCACATGGTTATAGTGTACACCTAGATATTGACACAAGTCACACTTAACTTGTATGTATGACATTTTAAGAATAGTAGTATTGTTGGGATGTAGAGGAAGGAATGATATGTCTCAGAAATAAAATACCAGGATGAACATAGTAAGTAAACAGTAAAAGAAACTGACTTTTTGAAATGTTTTAAGACCTTGTACTTATATAAAGCAGTGTAGAATGGTGACCGATGATGATTTCTTGTTGCTGTAGGACTCCGACACAGAGGCAGCATACCAGGCCTTTTCCCAGACAGAGGGGGAATCTTCAGCTGCAGAACTCAGTGTATGTTATCAACATCATATCAGTTATTATTGTTACTTGTGAGTGGTGGGATGTGGGCTGTACAAAGCTAAGTAAGTCACAGATCAGGTGAAGTGTGTCATTGAGAGTACTGGTACTTTTGGTGACAGAGTTTGGCTGCTAGACTCCTGAGAGTTCCGAGGGCTTCATTTCATCCCCACACTGAGTCATATGTTACATGTTACTCCTTAGACAAGACTGTGTTAAAAATATGCCTCTGTTCACCCAGTAGTGAATGGGTGTCCAGTATGACAAGGGCAACAATAACATACAACCATGAGTACTCACTAGAGGTGTGACGATACAGAAATTTCACGATACGATACGTATCGCGATATCTTGAGAACGATACGATTTGATGCATATCACGATATGCTTTCTTTAGTTATTTTCTTTAAAAAATCACATTTTAATAGCAAGAAATTTTGACATAACCGTCAATATCTAATGAAAATTAACAATGTTAAGGTCAACGATACATATCACGATACGAAAAAACGTATCGATATATTTATCGTCAGATAAAGTATCACGATTATAGATACTACGATATATCGTCACAGCTCTAGTACTCACCCGAGTGGAATGTGACGTTTTATGAATGGACTTATCCAGTATTATTAAAGCCAGATTTGTGGTAATGTCACAATTGGATTTCACTTAATAGCCAAATATTTGATGTATTAAAACAAATTTGGTTGCTGTTTGAGATGTCAGCACTATAAAAATGTTCTTGCAGTATGTCATGTCTTTATTTAGTACATCATGTCCTTATTCAGTAGGTCATGTCCTTATTCAGTAGGTCATGTCCTTATGCAGTAGGTCATATCCTTATTCAGTATGTCACGTCCTTATTCAGTATGTCACGTCCTTAATCAGTACATCATGTCCTTATTCAGTAGCTCACGTCCTTATTCAGTATGTCACATCCTTATTCAGTATGTCATGTCTTTATTCAGTACATCATGTCCTTATTCAGTAGGTCATGTCCTTATTCAGTAGGTCATGTCCTTATGCAGTAGGTCATATCCTTATTCAGTATGTCACGTCCTTATTCAGTATGTCACGTCCTTAATCAGTACATCATGTCCTTATTCAGTAGGTCACGTCCTTATTCAGTATGTCACATCCTTATTCAGTATGTCATGTCTTTATTCAGTACATCATGTCCTTATTCAGTATGTCACGTCCTTATTCAGTATGTCACGCCCTTATTCAGTAGGTCATGTCCTTATTCAGTAGGTCACATCCTTATTCAGTATGTCACATCCTTATTCAGTACATCATGTCCTTATTCAGTAGGTCACATCCTTATTCAGTATGTCATGTCTTTATTCAGTACATCATGTCCTTGTTCAGTAGGTCATGTCCTTATTCAGTATGTCACATCCTTATTCAGTATGTCACGCCCTTATTCAGTAGGTCATGTCCTTATTCAGTAGGTCACATCCTTATTCAGTATGTCACATCCTTATTCAGTACATCATGTCCTTATTCAGTAGGTCACATCCTTATTCAGTATGTCATGTCTTTATTCAGTACATCATGTCCTTATTCAGTAGGTCATGTCCTTATTCAGTATGTCACATCCTTATTCAGTATGTCACGCCCTTATTCAGTAGGTCATGTCCTTATTCAGTATGTCACGCCCTTATTCAGTAGGTCATGTCCTTATTCAGTATGTCACGTCCTTATTCAGTATGTCACATCCTTATTCAGTATGTCATGTCTTTATTCAGTACATCATGTCCTTATTCAGTAGGTCATGTCCTTATTCAGTTGGTCATGTCCTTATGCAGTAGGTCATATCATCATTCTTATTCAGTATGTCACGCCCTTATTCAATATGTCATGTCCTTAATCAGTACATCATGTCCTTATTCAGTAGCTCAATCATCCTTATTCAGTATCCTTATTCAGTCATGTCCTTATTCAGTATGTCATGTCTTTATTCAGTACATCATGTCCTTATTCAGTAGGTCATGTCCTTATTCAGTATGTCATGTCATCTTTATTCAGTATGTCATGTCCTTATTCAGTAGGTCACGTCCTTATTCAGTATGTCACATCCTTATTCAGTACATCATGTCCTTATTCAGTATGTCATGTCCTTTTATTCAGTATCATGTCACATCCTTATTCAGTCATGTCATTCAGTATGTCACATCCTTATTCAGTATGTCACAGCCCTATTCAGTAGGTCATGTCCTTATTCAGTATGTCACATCCTTATTTAGTACATCATGTCCTTATTCAGTAGGTCACATCCTTATTCAGTATGTCATGTCTTTATTCAGTACATCATGTCCTTATTCAGTAGGTCATGTCCTTATTCAGTATGTCACATCCTTATTCAGTATGTCACGCCTTATTCAGTAGGTCATGTCCTTATTCAGTAGGTCACATCCTTATTCAGTATGTCCTGTCCTTATTTAGTAGGTCACATCCTTATTCAGTATGTCACATCCTTATTCAGTACATCATGTCCTTATTCAGTAGGTCACATCATTCAGTATGTCATGTCTTTATTCAGTACATCATGTCCTTATTCAGTATGTCACATCCTTATTCAGTATGTCATGCCCTTATTCAGTAGGTCATGTCCTTATTCAGTAGGTCACATCCTTATTCAGTATGTCACATCCTTATTTAGTACATCATGTCCTTATTCAGTAGGTCACATCCTTATTCAGTATGTCATGTCTTTATTCAGTACATCATGTCCTTATTCAGTAGGTCATGTCCTTATTCAGTATGTCACATCCTTATTCAGTATGTCACGCCCTTATTCAGTAGGTCATGTCCTTATTCAGTAGGTCACATCCTTATTCAGTATGTCCTGTCCTTATTTAGTAGGTCATGTCCTTATTCAGTATGTCATGTCCTTATTCAGTACATCATGTCCTTATTCAGTATGTCATGTTCTGATTCAGTATGTCACGTCTTTATTCAGTATGTCATGTCCTTATTCAGTATGTCATGCCCTTATTCAGTACGTCATGCCCTTATTCAGTAGGTCATGTCCGTATTCAGTATGTCATGTTCTGATTCAGTATGTCACGTCTTTATTCAGTATGTCATGTCCTTATTCAGTATGTCATGTCTTTATTCAGTATGTCATGTCCTTATTCAGTATGTCACGTCTTTATTTAGTATGTCATGTCTTTGTTCAGTGCATCGTGTCTTTATTCAGTATGCCTAGTGTCCTTATTCAGTATGTCATGTCCTTATTCAGTACATCATGTCCTTATTCATTATGTCTAGTGTCCTTATTCAGTAGGTCGTGTCCAGTGTTCGTAATGACACCAGAAAGGCAGGGTGTCCTTGTCATTACTCCAGTGTCAGAAGTATAAGATTTAGGGGAGTTTCAAGATTCAAATACTGCAGAGAACACTTCAAGTTCTGATTCCACCTTCTCACTAGGTCTTCTTTCAATTTTAAATGTGATGATTTGTTACTTTCAAAATTAGGTATGTTCAGAGACTAAGCGTTAGTCTAGCCAGTTGAAAGTAGCCGAACCCGTGATGTTCGGTGTGTACATATGATATTGACTGAAGTGTACTGTTGGACTGTAGGCCAGAGAGGAAGTGGAGCAGGCCCACTCCCTGGTGAAGGATGTGAAGACCAGGCACAAGCGGCGGCAGAAAGAGGTAACATCACAAGATTCTTATAAACAAGAGTATTATGTCCCTTGATTTAACAGAATTTGAGGTAACATTTTACCTCCTCTTGAAATCTTAAAAGTTTTAATTCATTACCGATAGCTGAATTGTCTGAAACTGCTGAAGAATGCCACCTGCATGAGAATTATACATTTGGATGAATATCAGAACATTTATAGAATTAAACATGTGGAAGCATTCATAGTGTGTATGTTTTACACTGTGTTAATGATTGTGTTTTATTAGGGGTAATCCAGGGCACCATTCGTCAAACCTACATCAGCACTGCCACTTGTATCCCATTTTTAAAGCTTACTGTATATTACCGTCTATAAGCCGATCCCATAGATAAGCCGACCCCCAAACTTGACCCTTAAATCAGTGTCAAAATGTTATGTTTCGTACATAAGCCGATCCCCCCACGGTGGGGTCCTAATCGCAGCAAACACAGACCACAGACAACTGGCAGTTACCAATGATTATAACTTTGGTCCACATTATTAAAAAAGTTCACAATCATATTGCGTCTACTCACACATCGAAATGAAGTGTAGTTGACATGTGATCGTCCAGCTACAATATGTATGATATTTAGCTAAACAAAATGTAATTTTTCAAGTAAAATTGATATTTTATACTTATCCTGACTCATGATCTTTTGCTTATCTCCCTTTCCCTTGCTAATGGTAGTGGAACACTTGAATCCCTTGAAGTTCCCGAAGCAGACGTAAAAATACACTCCCCCACGAGTTACCTCCCTCTTCCCGCGTAAACAGTCATATGACCAGCCTTACTTGTCACTCTCTCCCTTTTCGCCCAAGTGGATGGTTGGGCGAGCACTGGAGTCCCGTATACGGCATTATATCCTTTTTATTTAGGTCCTATTCTTCAAAATTACGCTGTGTATGGATTTGGCAATAACTACTATGTATTATATGTAAAAAATTTGTAAAAATTATTTGTATTTGTTGCTTAATTTCATCATTATGTAACTTTGTTTACATTTCATGAAATCTTGCAGTGTTTGCAGGCATAGGTTATCTGTGGCTGATTCTCACCCCCAATGCCCTTCGTGCATAAAACCATGTTCTTCCAGCTTGCGCTGTACTTATTGTGTTGATGGCCATGATGGAACGTAGGTTCGAGGAAGAAGCTAAGGCTCGGCGAAGGCTTGGCGAAGCCTCTCATCTACTGACATCGTGCGCAAACCTACGAACCCATGGACCTGCGCAAACCTACTCCTCATAGAACTATGTCTCAAGACTACATTGGCGAACGTACACCTTTGCGAAGGTCTCCACAGTCTGACGACTTTGTCATCTTGGAGGAGGATAGAAGACATGAGATACCTACTCACCGTTCTACATCTGCAAACCCTCAACGTTCGAGAACATCGAAGGATCCATCTCCTACACCTAGCCATTCTAGATCGAGATCTCATATCTCTCACAGACGTTCGCGAAGTCACTCATCACAAGACAGAGGTTCGCAGAGAGAAGGCTCACATCACAGAGGTTCGCGAATGGGATACATCTAGCGACTGAGGTTCACGAAGAGTAGGCTCACGTCACAGAGGTTCACGAAGAGATGAATCCACAGACAGGTTCGCGAAGAGAGGACTCTCAAGATAGACGTTCGCGAAAGAAGGAATCTTTAGTTCGTGAAAGGATGATGGAGGTTCGAGAAGGGATACAGTTTCGCAGAAGGATGAATCGCGGAGGCATAGCACTATCGATCAGGAAGAATAAACAGACTTCGTCTTCCCGGACTCAGAGGTTACAGCTTGGATAGCCTATGGTTTGAACTTGCAGTCTCCTTCTAAGGATAGATGAAGTCTACACTTATAAGATGCGTTATGACAACTTTGACTCGGTGACTATTCCTCCGATTGAACCTATATCCAAGGTACATTCTAACCTACGCTACAGCTTTGAGAAAGCTGCAGATATCTACAAGGTTCGAGAACTCTCAGATCTACAGGCAGATAACAGCAACGCAGATATCTACAGGGTTCGCGAACCCTAGGGTTAACAAACCCTTACATCAACAGGCAGGATGTTGATGTCGACTCTATTACCATACGGCTGAATAAAACGAAGCAATGATGAAAACTGATGGTTTTGTCAGAGTTTAAAACTCAACAAAAAGATCTACAACATGTGCGATCTCTACAGTTTACAGCCTGCACAACTCTACAACCTGCACAAACCTTATACCTGTATGGGTTCAGTTTCGGACGACAACCTACTTGATGAAAGGAATCACTTCATCTATACAGATGCTGAGGTCTTATACCGGGTAGCAGATGGCCTGCGAATATTGTCGTTCACTCACTCACTCACTCCAACCCAACAGAGACGTACTGCATATACGCTGATGACTTCGACTCCAATATGATATCACCCATGAAGCCGATATCTCAAGTACTGGAGAACCTCAAGGCGACCTTTGTAAAGGGCTTAAGGTTAACAACGCCTTCAAGAAGCCTTGAACGGACGTACTGACTGACTTACTGACTGAGTTTGGTTTTACGCCGCTTTTAGCAATATTCCAGCAACATCACGGCGGGGGACACCAGATATTATTAACACTAGTCACTCAGCGTGGGGATTCTCGTCACTCAGCGTGGGGATTCTCGTCACTCAGCGTGGGGATTCTCGTCACTCAGCGTGGGGATTCTCGTCACTCAGCGTGGGGATTCTCGTCACTCAGCGTGGGGATTCTCATCACTCAGGGTGGGGATTAGGATTTTATATCCTATCAACTAGATTCAACATCAGTATTTCTTCAAGATCCATACAGACATACATCTCGACAGCCTCCTTCGTCATGCTGGCTTATAGTATCCACAATGGGAATACGTGATTTATATCACTGAACAAGATTTTACACTTGGAGCAACCCTTATTCAAGAGGTTTTATATGAGCGGCGTAGAATTACGCACGCTTTTAATCAACCACTAATTGCATCAGATTTTATGGAGGCCAACTTGCTACAACACCGGTGACGTCATGCTTGGAAGCTGATTGGTCCACGTCAGACAACGCCTCCCACTGACAGAGCAGGTTCCAGCATGTTTTTCTGATTTGTAAACAAACCCGTGGTACGGGGGAATACTTCATCGGCAGCCTTGGAAACAGTATACAACTACGGCCTGTTATCATCATGGGAATCTAATAGATGTCTAGCCTTGACAGCAGGATAAACGATGTTTATTTTGGAAGTTGTCGCTGATAAAAGTCGTTATGAGTACCTGTCCCCTGCGATGTTACACTGGAGCCAGCCTTGCTATAAATAGACAATGCTTCGATGTATGCTGCTCAACACAGATCGCCTGCGTATATAAGGGGAAGAATGATGTATCATCACTGCAATCAGAGGTTAGCACTTCCAATGGAACGTCCTACCGTTTGGAATATCATCAGCTCTATGATTATTCATACAAATAACCAAGCCTATCGGCACCTATCTGCAGAATCGAGGTCTACGCTGTGTCGGTTATATGGACGACGGCATATAGGTTCTTCAAAGTGCCAATCAACTCAGACAGCAGCTGAACTTCACAATTAAGTTGCTCATGCAACTAGGATGGCTAGTGAACCTGATAAAGTTGGAGTTAGAATCAAACAAGATCTTCAATTGCTGGGAATAAGAATTATCACAACACAGAATCAAATTGTGGTCCCAGAAGATCATTGGGTCAAGATACAAGCCATGATTCCACAAGCAGTCATCTCTCCGTTAACACTACGAACATGGCAATGTCTACTTGGTCTACTAACCGCGGCGCAGGACTTGACTCGCACAGGAAGGTTACAACTAAGGCCGCTGCAACGGTTCCTGACAAAACATCTGGACAGCGTCGACCCTATCTTGCTGCCAGACAATCTTAAGAGGTACCTACTTTGGTGGACCCACAGGTCGAACGTCTGTGGAGGGACCTATTTACAAGAGCCGGCCTTCGACACACATCTCTACGTAGACGCATCGACACAAGATTGGGGTGCACATCTCAACAATCAAGTTTCATCAAGGAAGTGGTCCAAAACAGAGCAGCATCTTCACATCAATCTGCTGGAGAGGAAAGCTGTGATCAACGCCTTACAACTATGGTCGAGCTCGCTGATCAACAGAATGCTGATGGTCCACACGGACAACTCTACAGTGGCATTCTCCATAAATCAGCAAGGATCTACAAGATCACCAAGCCTACTACAGCTCACATTCCAGTTGTTTGACATCACGGAGGAGGCAAACATCTGGATAAAGGCGTGTCACATACCCGGAGCCAAGAACATACTTGCAGACGCCTTTCCCAACCACTGCACCCGTCACCTACGGAATGGATGCTCCATCCAGAAGCGTTCCGGCTCATCATAAGGGAAATAGGATCCCCTTACATAGACCTGTTTGCCACGAGGTTCAACAAGCAACTACAGACGTTTGTCTCACCAGTTCCAGATCCTCAAGCCTGGACAACAGATGCACTGAACATATCATGGGAAGGACTAAATGCTTATGCGTTTCCACCACTGATATTACTACCGAAAGCACTGTTGAAGATCAAACAGACACAGGCGCTACAACTGACCTTGGTCGTGCCATACTGGCCAGCGAGAGTATGGTTCCTAGACCTAATAGAAGATCTCAGAAGTCCAACAATCAAGTTACCAGATTGGCCGAACCTCCTCGTAACATCCGCACACCAAGCAAGTCCACGGGAACCCAACACTGTTCCAGCTACACGTGTGGACCGTATCAAAACATGTTTGAAGAAAGGAGGATACTCTGACAGGGCAGCAAAGGCAGTAACGCTAGCGTTACGCAGATCTACTCGTAACCTGTATGATGACAAGTGGCTGAAGTTTGAGACTTATGCAAGGCGGAGAGGCTTCATTGCTATGAAAGCTACTCATCCTAAAGTGGCGGAATACCTGTGTCATCTTAGACAGACCAGACATCTGAAAGGTTCGACATTATCTACATACCTCGCTGCCATCAGTACAGTGATTACCATGAAAACAGGCATCAAGTTGACGAAAGTAGCAGAATTACTTGCTCTGCTGAGATCTTTTAAACTGGAGGACCAGCAAAAGAAGTTCAGAGCTCCTGCCTGGGATCTGAATGTAATTCTACGTCATCTTACAAGTGATGCCTACGAACCTCTTGACCAGACTACACTCGAGCTGCTGACACAGAAGACTCTGTTCCTGCTTGCACTAGCCACGCCAGCTCGAATATCAGAGATACATGCGCTGGACTTTGGTCGAACCAGATTCAACATGGGGCAACATGCTGCAGTTCATCTAGCACTTAGATGGGACTTCATTGCCAAGAACCAACTACCTGGTCAGCCAGATAGACAGTTCCATGTACCAGCGCTGTCTACAATCCTCGGACCAGAGGATATAGAGGACCTATCATTGTGTCCAGTCAGAGCCCTGAAGATATGTCTTCAAAAAGACTGAGACAAGGAGACGAAAATTCAAGCGCCTGTTCATCCCATTATCAACAGAGACTTCAGCAGACCATATCGTTCTGGATGAGAGCCGTTATATTGAGAGCCTATAAAGCAGCAGGACTAGAACCTCCTAGAGCTTCCAACCTACACGAAGTCAGAGCACTTGAGTCAACACTGGCTCTGCACGGAAATTGCTCTATACCAACAATTATGGAGGGTTGCTTTTGGAAGTCGGACACAGTGTTTGCCAACCGCTACCTCCGAGACATAGCCACTGAAGACGTCTCAGGCATTCACCAATTTGGGCCTCTCGTTGTAGCACAGCAACTAACGGTTCCTCAAAGGCGCTGAGTTGGAAAATCTCACCCTTTATCACGTTGACTTGTTGAGAACTTTTACTAAAAGGAAAAGTACTAGTTTGAAAGTCCATGCGCACAGTCTAAGACAGGCTAGCATGAGTGATTAAAGATCCTGTACGGGTAAAGATCTTACCTGTACGTGAAGGGGTCGCAACTCATTTATGATAAAGATCTTATCATAATCTATGGGTTGTTATGAGATATCTAGTAATAGGAAGATACTAATTTATCTGTAGCCACACGAATCAACATGATTCAACTTATCTGAGATTGAAGTAAGACAAGAATGTGGTCCCCCCGAGTTATAACGGAAGTTGGAAGAATAGGATCACGGAAATGCCGTTTCGCAGTTCCCATGGGGGGGATACAGGATGTATCAAAGGACAGCTGTTGAATCCACAAAGTCACCACCAATCTGTGACAGCTCAGGATAAGTTATTTTTATACTTATCCTGACTCATGACGCAATCCTCAACCTCCCCTGTTGAAGACACTTGAGATTTCAGCAGATCCAAGTGCATGGGCAGAAATTCAGGAGAGAGTGACAACCACTGTTTTGTGCAGGAAAGGGAAAAGGAGGTAACTCGAGTGTATTTATACATCCGCAACTTCAAGGGATTCATCCATAAAAGGAAAGGGAGATAAGCAAAAGATCATAAGTAGGATAAGTATAAAAATATCAATTTTACTTTAAAAATTAATTTTTTACTTGAAAAATTACATTTTGTTTCGCTAAATATCATGCTTATTGTAGCTGGACAATCACATGTCAACAAACTGGCTTGCTTGTTTTACCCCATTCAACAATCACAAACTGATTACCGCCTCGTTTTCCATGGACTGCTAGTTTACAGCAACATCTGGTAAAAACATTTCTTTGGGTTAAATAATAGTATTCTGTATTATATTTTACTGATGACTGCGTCAGAATTCATCCCGTTACATTATTGTGCATGTTTGAACTTGATCGCCGGGAAACGTGTGGACAGCTGATTGCTATTTCCGGCTCCAATACACACGGTAATCTTAATCCCTGCAAATAATACAATGCCCAGCAAAAAACTTGGAACTTAAAAGGTAAATAATCTTTCTAGTGATGTTTAATTGCAAATTTGATGTCTTTACTGACAAAGGCATCTTCTGTTGTTTGTTCACGCGAAGAGTTACCATTTTGTTTTCTTCCCCCTGGAAAAAAGTTTGACAAAAGCATAACCCACAGATAAGACGACCCCCTTCTACAGACTGCTTTTTTGGTCCTCAAAATTCGGCTTATATTAGAGGTAAGATCACTTTTTGGAACAGGATCCTAGAGCACCACTTATGAAAAAAAACTCCTGAACTTGAAAGAATATGATAGATGTCAGCATTCCCACATATACCAGGTTAATGCATTTTCATAGTTCCTGATTTGATTCATATCAAGTGTTGTTAAAAAATTCAAGCTGTCCCAACTCGTGACGCCTAAAGACGATGTGAGTGGGGAGCTGAAGACGATGAAGATGAAGAGTCGAAAGAAGATTGAGGAGGAGACAGCCAGGGAGGAAGAGCTCGCTGCAGCCATTGCCGCTGCTGAGGCAGAGGAGTCGGCACGGGAGGCGGAGGTGAGCCAGCCGTTGGAGACGGAAGATGGAACAATCCCCATGCCTGCAGAAGAGGAAGTGACAGAGACCATCAAGCCAGAGGAAGAGACTATACCTACAGGGGAAGGTGTGTGTGCAGCGTTTGAAATAATCACCAGCCCAGCGCAGTTTCAAATATTTGCAGGCCCTTTCAACTGGAAACTTTCCCATAATTGTTTTCTTTATTAACGTTTAGGAATCATCCATGCTCCATCATGTTACAATAACTAACTGTTTCACTTCCTGGTATATCAGCGCTTTGCGCACAGGAATGTCAGCACCAGTCTTTAACAAATAAAAACTGAAGTATTGCAAACACTGTGGGTGTGCTCACTTGACTGACTGCTGGTGTAGTCAGTTTAGTAGGGATAGGTGTGATAGGGAAGGAGTTTGAAGATTAGACCATACATGCTGATGGGTGTGGAGACTTGACTTATTCCTGTTTACTTTAATACTGTTTCAGTTTAAGAATATTGCCTCATTTTTTCAGAATTTTGTTACCTCTCCAAATGATTCGTTGTGTGTAAAAATGTGCACAAATAGTCACAATTTGATGGAAAACTTCACCATCATGAAGTGCTAGCATGTTTGTTTTGTTGTGACAGTCTCCATCCCTGACACCACAGTGGAGACAGCGCCACCTGACACAGGTGACATCCCCAAGGCTACAGAGACCACAGAATCTACAGAGACAACAAAAACCCCACGGGGATCATCTCTCCGTGCCAAGATGAAGAAACGGCTTGAGAAAGCAAGGGTAAGAGGAAGCTTTTTCTGTTCAGAAGCCTCAGGGTTTCTGAGGCACCCCATTTCTGACATCCACTGAAAGGATTTATTTGGTGTTAACCCCATGGGTATTCCAGCTTAGAATTCTTTACCTTCAACCTTTGCTGGTTGTCAGAGGCATCTTAGTGAAATGGTTGGTTTGACTCAGTGACTTGTTGATTGCATGACAGTAAATATTGCATTCAATAAGGCACAGGGTTGTCTGATCCAGTTCTGATTATTTACATGCTGAGGCACCATGGTAATCTGAGATACCAATTTCATGTTGCAGAGTTGCCTCCCTTAGGCATGTCAGAACCTTTTGATTAGTTTCCAGATAGGGTCTTATTCTCTTTGTCTGTTCGCATCATGCTCGTGGGTTTCGCCAAAGTGTCACATTGAAGACATGGATCAATTTGGGATTTTTACCCATATTATAACTTTGGGATTTTTACCCATATTATAACCCAAATGAGTAGGGGTTGGGTTCAAAATGAAATAAAAAATAGTCCTCTCACTTGCCTGATTCACTTGTGTCAGTGAGTGCTGTCAGAAGGTTGGAATATTGGAGTGCAGAGTTTCATGTCTAATTAATAATTCCTCTTTCCACCCTACTTGTTGCAGGAGCAAGCTGAAGATGAGTTGAGAGAGGAGGCAAGGGAGGAGCGTGCCAGACAGCGGGATATCAGGCAGGAGAAGGCGAGGACACGGTTTGACACAGAGGTGAGTCAGACAGCGCGATCTCAGGCAGGAGAAGACGAGGACACGGTTCGAAACAGAGGTGAGTCAGACAGCGGGATTTCAGGCAGGAGAAGGCGAGGACATGGTTCGAAACAGAGGTGAGTCAGGCAGTGGGATTTCAGGCAGGAGAAGACAAGGACACGGTTCGAAACAGAGGTGAGTAAGTGGGATTTAATCCATTAGGAGGCGAGGACATGGTTTGAAACATAGGTCAGAGAACCAGGCATTGGTTGGGACCGGACAAGGTTCAACAAAGGACAGGACAGGTGAGCCTTTCAACAGGACATAAATGTCTCCTTTTTCCATTTTAGTTTCACTTTATTTCTGTAGCTGTGTTTCTCCAACCCTACATATAACATCCTACCTTTTGTTCAGATCACTGAGGAGGAAATGGAAGAAAAACTTGAAGCGCAGAAAATGAAGCTTCGCTGGAAGAAGAAAGGTCCAAAGTCGGATAAGGTAAGGTGTTGACAGTATATATTTAAAGTTTGTACTATGTTTACCAGGTGAATACTTCTTGCTCTTCCTCTGTCCATATTTTACACCAAGTTTTACACAGGTATAGGGATTGTTATCCTAGTGGGTGAGTATGGTTTTATGCCGCTTTTAGCAATATTCCAGCAATATCACGGCAGGGGGGATACCTGAAATGGGCTTCACGAATTATCCCAGTGTGTTTCCATATTATTAATATTAATCATTAGGAATGTATATTTTATTGAGCGAACCTATGGTGAGTGAGTATGGTTTTACGCAGTTTTTAGCAATATTTCATCAATATCACGTCAGGGGACACCAGAAATTGCTTCACAAATTGTATCCATGTTGGGAATCGAACCCGGATCTTGTTCGTGATTAGCGAACACTTTAAGCACTGGATTACGCCACCGCCCCTATGACGAGTAAAACAAATTGCATTTTCCTTACATATGATATTTACGTTATGGAAGCATGGACATTGTGTATGATGTTGCAGGAAATGGGGATGCCAACTGCGGAAGAGGCGTTTGACTTCTTCACCCGTGAGTATGAGCCCGAACCAGAAGTGGAGGAGAAGAAAGAAGGGGAAGCCAAACCCGAGGACAAGGAGGAGACTGAGCCCAAAGAGGGGACAAGTGAGGAGAAAGAGGAGGGAAAAGAAGAGGTAGTTATAGCTCTTCCTCTAGATATTTGAATATTATGCTAAATTAGGTATGCAAGGATGTTCAAGCTCAAAGTCACCAGTTCTCCAATAAGTTTAGCATAAACTTTTACCTGAGATGTATTTTCCATTTATTTGTTTTAAATACAGAGATGAGCCTTAAAGTGTTTGAGAAAAGATAATTGTTTCCCACTGTTTCAGGAAGGAGATAAAAAGGAAAGTGACAAACCAGAAGGTAACTTTTGGAAACCTCTGTTTCTACACATCATTATGCTCGAATTTAGAATTAGGGCACACTTGAAACAAGAAGCGGCCCATGAATCCAAACATCTTATTGTCTATATTTGAAAATATATCTTTCTCTTAAATAATTCAAGTATGTTAGTGAGTACTCTGTTGCAGAACTTTCTGCAGAATTACAGTCTGTGATGTTGTTATATATCTGTTATACTGTTGTTACAGGTTATATTGTTACTGTTATATATCTTTTGTGCTGTAATGTCTCTGAGGATGTAATCTGCTCTGTATACAGATGAGAAGCCCCTTCTAGAAGACTTTGGTGTTGAGGGTGATGAGGGAGGGTACGGTCAGACCACCGTGGGCCGAGCCGAGGTTACTGCCCCTGATAAGCTTCGAGAGAAGGAGGAGAAATTACTGTATATCCCATCACTCATCAGCCGTAAGTTGAAACGTGGGCTTGCATCAAGGCAGCCACAAATCAGACTTTGAGTAAACTGAACTTGTTACTATTCAGGAAACAAAACAAGACATCAGTGTCTTAACAGTAAAACATGGAAAACTGTAAATATTGTAATGTGCCCTTTTCAAAATTATGCCTATTTTCATGTCAAAATTTCTGTAAATGACAAAATTCAAAATGAAATTAGCAACATAACACCATAGCAACATAAGACCAAATGGTGGACAGAACTGCAATGGACATTCAGTGATTTGATAAATAACGTCATGTTCTTAGCAAACTGCAGCTATTTAGTATATGGTACTTATTGTACTTGTAATCATACATGTATCATTGTTGAAGTAACTTGCAGTAGAATAGTCGGCCAATATCTATTTTTCTTATCCTGACTCATGCTTATTTGCTTGTCTTCTTCTTCTGGCTTAACCTAGTGGAACACTTGTATCTCCCAATTGAAGTTCCCTTCAATAAAGAATCACTCATTAGTACTCACCACGAAGTTACCTCCCTTCTGTAAGCTGAACGAGGGCTTCACCCAAGCCCATGTGCCTCACTCTCCTTCTTCTTCCAGTGAGCTGGACGTGAGAGCCTGTGTCTCCCAACACACTATATCCTTTAATTTATATTTAGTTAGTTCCTCTTATAATGCTAGTATAGAGGTAGTACTAGTATAATTATTCAATTTGCATTGATTATTAATTGTGTTTCTGCTGTTTTATTCACGGTTCGTCGTGTTTTGTTCAGTAGGCTACATTAATGAAAAATTGCACAGAATGTAAACTACGCTATTCTGATACCGATCCACATTTAAAATGCCCTAGTTGCATTACTCCATGTTCCTTTGATTCTCGCTTGTAAATTTTGTATCAATTTACCTATCTCTGCCTTTGACAAATATTTATGTTCCGCTTATAGACGGAAGGCAGATAAATCCCGTAAAACAGAATTCAAACATGGCTAATAGATCGCAAATTAATGTTTCATGTCAACTGTTGACTGAGGACACGCCACCAGCTGGTGGCATGCCTGAGTTTCCTCGGCGGATAAGCGGGACGCAGTCCGCTATGTCCAAGAAGCTTACCTGCATCTCAAGAGCTGCCGCCTTCTCAGTCCAAGTCGAGGAAACCATCCATATCATCTCGTACACTGCGTACACCAAGATCTACACCTTCATCTAAAGGGAAGTCAACAAAATCTAATAATTTTGCCTCTGATATCTTACCAGTTACAGAATTAGCATTATATGATGATGATTTGCCAATTATCATTCCAGAAGTTCGTCACAAGAAACGGCCCGTTTCTGCGACTGTCACCTCAGCGCAGATGAACACACAACCGGAGATGCCGACTCTATCTCCAGAAATTTTATCTGAGGGTCCCGTCACCTCTGCAGAGAGACATCCCTCATCAACGCAGACCGCTTCAGACGACTTGATCAACCACATAATGAGGGTGATGGAAGACTGCTACGGCTTACAGAGGCCTCAGAGCCACGGGCCTCAGAGCCCACCCCATATTAAGTCATACAGGGCCTCAGAGCCCGCCTTGGCTTCGCGTAGGGCCTCTGAGCCCATAGACGCGCCTCCGCGAAGGGCAACCCTGCCCGAGTGAGCTCTTTGCATAAGGTATCCCAGGCCAGCCTCGCGGAAGGAGCCAGAGCCTCACCTTTTGCAAGAGGCTTCATGAGGAGCGCCACGAGCACGCACCTTGTCATGCACGGCGGGCGCCCGCTGAAGCAAGCGCCATATGTCGGATCGACACTGACTCCCAGACATTCGCTGTGAGGGACGCCAAGGCTAAGTGGTTCTACATCGCCTAGAAGACGATCAAGCAGAGCCCCTCAACGCTCGAGAAGTCCAGAGCGCCTGGGCGGCCATCACCGCTCACGGCCCACAATCTCCGCTGGAAGGATGTCTTCCAAGGTCTACATACACTAGCCACTCGTCAGTCCGTTCTCCTCAGTCCTCACATAGATCTTCTTACAGATCGAGGACTCCGACATACATACACCATACGCCAGAGGAGGACGATGGTATCATTTTCTCAGAGGCTGAGATAAGGTATTGGATGGTAAACGACTACAACTGGCCTCTCCTCTAAGAACGAGGATACAGCCCAAACTTACCTGATGTTAGATGATGATGTAGATCATATCACCGCGCCTCCTATGGATCCTATCGCAGCCGCCCTGCTAAACTGGATACAGCCTACTCCAAATCTGCTAAAACTCAACTTACCCATTTACCATTCTTCAATGCCAAGAGTTTTTATGGACATAATATGGAGCCCTTTTTCAAGACTCAGGAGATTGATGAAAACTTTAAACTTATCAGTGATTCCAAGTCCAGAAGTTATAGGGTAGACGATCGCAAGATGGCCCAGTTAGATACCATTTCCAGAAGGATGTTCTTTGGACTCAACAGATCTAGGACTGTTAACGAAACTCTCATCACCAAGTTCAAGAACTCCACGGATGAGGAAGACAGGATGATCTATTCAGCTCTACTTATGCAGAAAAAAGATCAACAATTCCTTACAGACCATCTTTCAGCACTTACTGAAACTACTACCATGACACGTCGGCAAGGATTACTAGCCTCCTGCTCTTGGAATAAACAATTCACAGAGCCCCTATACACAGCTCCATGGTCTTCACCCTTACTGTTTGGTGGCAACATTAACAAGGTCTCCAAGGAAGTATCAAAAGATTCTAGAGAAGTACTCATGATTAAATCTATGGATACATTAGCGCACGTCTTTAAACAATCAGCACAGAGGTACTCGGCAAGTCCAAGTTTTCAGGGCTACAGAGAGCACGGATAAGAAATTAGCGGCCGCTAATAATCCCAAGGATTCCTTTCGTCGCCTGCATAACAAGTTCAGAGGAGGATCAGCTAGAGGCAGATCATCCAGAGGTGCCCGTGGATTTAAACGATGAAAGTCAGGTTCGAACGACTGGAGTCTTCCACCCCAGTCGCCCCAGTACAACCTTCTCAAGTGGGTGGACGCCTACAACTACACTGGGAAAACTGGGGAATACTTCAAGATCCGTGATGTATCCAACATCCTTCAGTACGGATATCGCCTACAACTCAAGGCCAAGCCACCGCTAACAGTCAACCCACCAGGGTTCAACGCTCATCTGGCACAACTTCCGATGTTAAGAGAAACAGTTCAGTCTCTACTAAACAAACAGGCCTTAGAAGTTCTCGATCAGCAAAACATCATACCAGGTTTCTACTCCCCAGTTTTCCTAAGTGCCGAAAAAGAATTCCAAAGAGAAGTATCGCCTCATTTACAACATGAGCACATTCAACAGAGAATTTCTATGCAAACCACCAGCTTTTCAAGATGATACATTTACCTCAACTCCGCCATCTAATTCGGCCCACTAGATTACATGGTAAGTATAGATCTGCAGGACGATACCTACACATTCCGATTCATCCCAGTTCAAGGAAATATCTGAGATTTATGCTAGACGGCATACACTACCAATGGAAAGTACTTCCTTCGAATCACTTCGCCCCATGGATATTCACAAGAGTAACCAAGCCTATTGTCTCATACCTACATCGCCAAGGCTCATGGAATGCATTTTACCTAGACGACGGTATACAGGTGGATCCAGATCCACAGCGTCTCAGACTACAGCTGAACTTTACAATCAAGCTACTAACGCAGTTAGGCTGGTTAGTAAATCTACTCAAGTCGGACCTAGAGCCCACGCAGGATCTGCAGTTTCTAGGTATACGATTCCTTACAGCGCAGAATCGTATGGTAGTCCCGGAGGACAGATGGATCAAGATACAACAACTGATCCCCCAAGCCCTACTCTCTCCGTTACCACTACGTCAGTGGCAGAGGCTACTGGGACTACTCACATCAGCTCAAGACTTGACACTCAGAGGCAGGCTTCAATTACGTCCATTACAAGTCCTCATCAATGCCCATCTCGAGGACCCTCTACCGTTCAGTCTACCAGATTACATCAAACCACATCTACTCTGGTGGACCAAGAGATTGAATGTTTGCGCAGGCGTCTCCTTAGTAGAGCCGGAATCGAAAACACATCTCTACGTGGACGCGTCACTAAAAGGTTGGGGAGCCCACCTTACCGGCAGGACAGCGTCAGGCCTATGGAGCATTCAAGAGAGCTTATGTCACATAAATCTGCTAGAGATGCAAGCAGTCATAAACGCCATAGGTCACTGGAGCAACCTATTACAGAACGCCAGTTAATGATTCACACAGACAACTCAACAGTGGCGCTTTTATGTGAACAAACAAGGGTCAACAAGATCACTGAATCTTCTCACTCGATGTTTCAAACTGTTCGATTTAGTCGACAGTCTAAACATACGACAAAGCCTGCCACATTCCAGGAGCAAAGAATGTGTTAGCAGACGCTTTCTCGCCGCACCAACCGTCGCCGACAGAATGGATGCTCCACACAGAGATATTCAATCAGATAATCATGGAAATAGGATCTCCTCTGATAGACCTATTTGCCACCCGATTCAACAATCAACTGACAACCTTCAGACGCCAGTGCCAGATCCGCTAGCTTGGGCAACGGACGACTAAGCATATCATGGAGGGACTAAACGCGACGCTTTCCCCGCCTCCTGCGCAATCCCACAAGTCTTGCTAAAAATCAGTCAAACGAAGAGCCTCGATCTGATTTTGGTCTCGCCTTTACTGGCCAGCGAGAACGGGGTTTCCAGACCTCATACTAGGAATCGGAAAACCAGTACTTCAGCTCCCACTACGCCCAATCTACTGATACATCCGCACACCAAACAAGTGCACAAAACACCAGAAGCATTCCGACTTCACGCGTGGATTGTATCAAGGCATGTTTGAATAAGAGAGGTTATTCCACCAGAGCGCGAAGGCGGTCACGCTTTGCACTACGTAACTCTACTCGTAGAACTTATACGATGACAAATGGCTCAGATTTGTCAATTATGCTGCTAAGAAAGGATTTTCAGCCAGATTTGCTACACATCCTCAAGTGGCAGATTTCTTATGTTTCCTACGCCAAACTAAGAATCTAAAAGGATCTACACTGTCCACTTATCTTGCAGCCATAAGTTCAGTCATAACAATGAGAACGGGCGCCAAATTGACCAAAACACCGGAGTTACTCGCCTTTGTTACGTGCCTTTCGATTGGAAGACCAGAAACGGAAGTTTCAAGCCAGCCTGGGATCTAAATGTGGTACTTCAACACCTCACAAGTGAGGCTTACGAGCCATTGTTATTCAAGGCCATATGAATCATTGACCCACAAAACCTTATTCCTGCTAGCTAGCCACTGCCGCCAGGATGTCTGAAATTCACGCTTTGGATTACGAGAGAACACGATTTGATGATATTCATAACATCGCCATCTGGGACTTCGCTGGGATTTTATAGCTTAAAAATCAACTACCAGGTCAACCAGACAGGTTGTTCCATGTCCCAGCTCTCTCATCCATACTTGGACCGCAGGATACGATGGACTTATCACTTTGCCCTGTAATGCACTGAAAATATATCTCCAAAGATCCAAGCAAAGTAGAGGGAAATTCAAAAGATTGTTTATCCCTATATCTACCACCACAGACAGAAGTGTCACAAGACTACCATTTCTATTTGGATCAGAACTGTCATACTAAGAGCCTACAAGGCAGCTGGACTGGACCCTCCAAGTGCTACTAATCCTCACGAAATTAGAGCACTAGCTTCAACTTTGGCTTTACATGGAAATTGCTCATTGAATACCATCATGGAGGGATGTTTTGGAGATCCGATATGGTGTTTGCCAACCACTATCTGAGAGATATCACCACCAAGGATGTCTCAGGTATCCACCATTTCGGTCCCATGGTCCTCGCCAACAGTTGACAGTTCCACGGAGAAGATAAGTCTATCTTGTTGATTTTATACTTATCTGATAACAGTACTAATAGCTACATGCTATCTATATATATTTTGCTTAAGTTAAAATATTATCTTAAGCTCAGTACTATGATTTATATCATAATATATATATACCTACAACTCTTACGAAGTTTCTACTATTATATATATGTTCAGCTTAAGTTCTTCCTTAAGCTCAGTCATATGTTCATTTCATAACATGTATAAGTTAACAAACTATCAGTAGTTGGTTACTATTATACAGCTTAAGTTATCTTTATACCTTAAGCACAATTCTGTTATAGCTTATATATATACATATTGTAAGCTTACTACTTTGGTTCTTATAAAAGTATTCATTATAAACTATCAACAGTTTATACTATCACATTAATGGCCTTAGCTTAATTAATGTTCTATATACTTTTATTATATGCAGTAAATTGTAATAACCTTCTTTAAAGGCAGCTGTTATATTAACAGCAGGAATTCAGTTCAGTGCCTTCATGAAGTTCCCATAGGGTTATTACAATCATATCACTTCAAATCACTAATTAGTAAAATCCAAAGTATATATAATCCCACCTCCTAATCCATAGGATTCTACAAGCAAATAAGCATGAGTCAGGATAAGAAAAAATATGAAATTTTTAGAGTAAAATTAATATTTTTATACTTATCCTGACTCATGAGGTAAGCCCTCCCGTCCTCCCCACTTAACACTTTGGATTTCTCGGGAAAAAGAAAGTGTTGGGCTCAAAGCAAAAAAGGAGAGAGTGAGGCACATGGGCTTGGGTGGCGCCCTCGTTCCCGCGCTTACAGAAGGGAGGTAACTCGTGGTGAGTACTAATGAGTGATTCTTTATTGAAGGGAACTTCAATTGGGAGATACAAGTGTTCCACTAGGTTCGCCAGAAGAAGAAGACAAGCAAATAAGCATGAGTCAGGATAAGTATAAAAATATTAATTTTACTCTAAAAATTTCTCTCAAGAACCGTTCACTGGATTTTCTTCACATTTGACACCAAGCTTCATCTAGGGAAGGCCCAGGGCCCAGTCGATTTTGGTGACCTTCACATAATTATCAAGGTAACAGCGACACTTTGAAGATTTCAGCATGTTAACCTGCATGTTAAGCTTGTCAGCGAGATACTTCAAGAACCATTCACTGGATTTTCTTCATATTTGACACCAAGCTTCATCTGGGCAGGGCCCAGTCGATTTTGGTGACCTTCACCTAATTCTTAAGGTGAAGATATCTCAAGAACGGTTCACTGGATTTTCTTCATAGACTTTCAAGACTTATCTTGAATGTTTTTTGATAAGCAGTTTCTCTATTACTATTTTTTGCTTTTTTCATACACCATGACATTCATGTCAAGGTCAAAGTGAGTTTTGAAAATATTTGTGTCTGAGTGAGTTTAGTTTTACGCAGCATTTAGCAATATTCCAGCTATATGGCGACGGTCTGTAAATAATCGAGTCTGGACCAGACCATCCAGTGATTAACAGCATTAGCATCGATCTACGCAATTGGGAACAGATGACATGTGTCAACCAAGTCAGCGAGCCTGACCACCTGATCCCGTAAGTCACCTCTTACGACAAACATGGGTTACTGAAGATCAACCCGGACCTTCACAGTTAATTTAGCATAAAGGTGTCCTGGTCATGTTTTTGTTGACATTTAACTTCATCTTAAACTACAACCTTCACTTTCATTACTTTTTAAGTTTGATTTGGTAATTTGCGGTTGGGGATTATGTCACTTTAGTGACAACTGCTTGTGTAATTTGAAACAAGAGGTCACTTGGCACTGTTTGTATCTAAAAACATAATTACAGTCAGGCCGCGGTAATCCGGTACTTGTTAATCCGAATCCACCGACTTCCGAACGCTACACACTGGGCACCAAATCATCTCCCTATATATTGTATATAATTGACACCTCGTTAGTCCGATGATTCAGTTTCTGCCTCCGAACGCTTGTCAGTCGGAACAGATTGGACTAATAAGGTTGTAAACAGCTGCGTTAATCCGAACGATTGAAGTTAACCGCGCTGCTGACTGGTTCACCCAAAGTGACACGTTGTTTGTTTAGCGACTTAGCGACTCATCCCTTTGATCCCTTTATCATAAGTGATAGGGAAATTTCGACGACCACGCTGTTTTGGGAAAGACTTCAATCCAGAAATATATGCTCGGTACCGTTTCAACACGAATTAAAATTATAAACTATTGTTCGCAATGTTATTGAAAACAACGACTTTGGACACATGCTTCGGCAGCGGGTCCACAATAACATTGTCAAAGAGCAAAGTAACGATGTTTCAAGGAATTCATTAAATAAATTGAATAAACTAATGAATAAAATCAACAAAATATATACATTAAGCATTTTTGTCACAGGTCATAACCTAGCACGATACGTCCAATAAGTTCCATAATTTACGTATAGGTAGCAATTTCTTGCTTAAAATGTTCAAAATAGTTTTCGTTTACGAGGACGGAATCCATTGCCATAATATGATTGGCTGCCTTAGGTCACATGTCTGAGTTTGACCAATCACGACCCTTATAGCAGACTGTAGCGAAAAAGCGTCATTAGAAACCAATGTTTATCCAATAAAATCGCTTCTTACAACTGTGAAAATACTCTCGGCAAGGGTTCAGTGAAGCTTGCATTTTCATTCAAAAATAATTTTAGGATTAGATCTTTTAAATGGAGTATGGGATGTAGTAGCAATAACGTTTTACAAGCTTATAATTTCCTTCATAAACATAGGCTTCATCTATGACCTCAGAGTCTCGATAGTAAGGAAAGATATCAAGGGGAAGTAACTCGGTGCATATACTGTGGTTTCAGCAGTACGAACGTTTCACTATCCGAACGGGGTTTTTTTAAAACCAAAGTGTTCGTATTAACGAGGTCTGACTGTATACTGCTGCATATATATCACAAGAACTGAGACCACAGAAGGCATTCTCAAAGTCCACACATTAATACTTGGAAAAATGGATCAGTATGTATTCCAATTCAGATATCAATCTCAGAATAGGGAGCATTCAAACTGGGCATTATTTTTTTGCCCGTTTATGTGAGGGTTTGTGTTCAAGCATGATACAAAGTACCAAGTTGCTGCAAGTCTTGGGTGAAGCTTACCTTGCGTGAAAATTTGAAAATGTGCTTACTATCATTCACTTACTAAGGACACAGACCGCCTCCGTGGTGTAGTGGTTAGAGCGTCCGCTCGGAGAGCGGAAGGTCACATGTTCGATCCCCGACCGTGTCATACCAAAAGACGTTAAAATATGGTACTTGTTGGTCCCTGCCTGGCGCTCGGTATTAATGGGTACAACAAGGACTGATCGGCTCGGAGTCAGCATATGTGTCTGAGTGGGGTATTCATGCTTCACTGCGGCGTGGTATCTCAGTGGGCTAGCACTATAAAACCAGCTTACGTCTGGGCTAGTACCAGCAGCCGCGCATCCACATACACACGCATGCACGTCGTCATATGAGCGAAATATTCTCAAGCACGATGTTAAACCCAATTTCACCTCCCCTACTAAGGACACAGTGAAGTGAATATCATTCTTTTTCAACGATCTGACAATTTCTCTTGACTAACATTTGAAGTATTCCATACAGGCAATCATGCGAGAGTTTGACTGCCGCTACATCGATGGAGCTATTGACGGCTCAGGGCGGTACCAGCTGGACGTCGACATCAACTCCATCACCTTCACACATCATCATTTGTTCAGCAGGGAACATGTCCTCTCACAACGCCTGACAGAGCTCTACCGACAGTACCTCATCAGAAAGAAAAAAAATATCACGGAATTCCTCATTGAGAAGGTTCGGCTTAATCATTTGTTAATTCAAATGTGCATTTCGTAGACTTTGTATCCATCAGGTTGTATACTTGAGCAAGAGAGAGAGAGAGAGAGAGAGAGAGAGTCTATGAGGAATGAGTATGTATTATATTCCTTGAATACTGTTAGTATATTATATGATCAGATTTATTGCATTATTCATTAGTGGTCATTAATGGAGTCATTTTCCCTGGGGCTGCATGACCAACGCTGACCTTTGTCAGTATTTTTGCTTTTAATTAGCCACTTTTAACAAGGTAACCTACATCATAACTGTAACAAGAGAATAGACTGAAAAGTATTCATATAAAACCATTTATGATCAGCATTGTGTTGTAATTGTGCGTGATTATTCTAAAACTCCTTCCATTTTTATACACATCTATCTCCGTAGCAAGTTGAAAGCCAACTCCCTCCTTCCCTCCCACTCACTCACCCAAACCCACCCGCTCACTCACTCTCACTCACTCACTCACTCTCTTGGTACAACACTAAATATAACCAGGTCTTTACGTGTACTTTCAGCTGAGAGCTCTGAAGAACTCTGCCCTTCATCTGAAGGATCATATCTTGTCACACAAGGTTTGTATGACATGAATCCTGATGCATTCCTAGGCATTCTGTATTTTATTATTCATACTCTGTATTTTAAACTTTATATTAAGATGATGTTCAATGACTCACAGCTTAATTAACAGGTGGAGTGAGAGTCTACTTGGACAGCAGAAAGTTGGTGGTTATACATCTGGATGCACATGAATAGATTTTCAAAGGTGGTACTTGTTGTTTCCCTGCCTCTGGGATAAAACCAGAACTGGTCAGCTTGGAGTCAATATACTGTGCCAGAGATGGGTATTCATGCTTCAGCATGGTATCCAAAGGCTCACACTATAAAGCCAAGCAATTGTAATGGATTGACATATTGTCTTGCTCTTGAACAACAAGACATGACTCTTTCTCTACAGGATAAATTACTGTTTATTATTATTCCGCCATACTTGACCGAGTCAGATTCGTCAATTTGGTCTAGTACCAAGCAGCATCACCAACCCATGTATGCTCATCACTTAATAAGTACAATAGTGAGTAAGTTTAGTTTTACGCCACACTCAGCAATATTCCAGCTATATGATGGCGGTCTGTAAATAATCGAGTCTGGACCAGACAATCCAGTGATCAACAGCATGAGAATCGATCTGCGCAATTGGGAACCGATGACATGTGTCAACCAAGTCAGCGAGCCTGACCACCCGATCCTGTTAGTCACCCCTTACGACAAGCATGGGTTACTGAAGATAAATATTCTAACCCAGACTAGACACGGGTCAAGTACAATAACCTTGAACCCCCCATTTTATTTGATGTAACAGCTATATTACTCCTTCAAGTAATCAAGTCAAACTGATGTTTGATCCATATTAAATATTGAACATTATTATTCACAAGTCAAGTATAATAACTATTAGAGCATTATCACTGTAAATTTTCAAATCCTGACAAGTCAAAACCCAGTGGTTGATAGTATGAGCAGCAGCAATGAGGTTCACTTAACCTGGACAAAGGTTATTTCTTCTTCAGATACTGGTTGTCTAGTATCAAATTATTATTTGAGTTCTTGTGGCTTACAGGGGGAGATGAGTGTACCAGACAGAGCGAACTACGAGAGAAGACTTGTCGATTACAAGTATGAAATAAGGTTAGTTTCAATGAAGTACTGTGAACCCTCATTAAGTGTGAAATCAAGGGACTGAGGTAATAAATAGCTAAAGACATTTTCCAATGAGTATGGAATTATATTTTTAGCTATCTTCCTTTTAAAATTCAAATATCTGAGTCATAGTAAGATTGGAAGAAATTATTCACAAGAGTAATCATTACAAGCTAGCTCGCCTGTCCTATAACATTGTCACTTTCCGAAATTTCAGACAGACCCGCGTGATGCGGGATCGCGAGGAGCTTGCAGACCGACAGCTTCTGAAGAATATCATCAATACCTGGAAGGAGGTGAAGAAACAGAGGGAGTTCCAGAAGTTCACCTCCACCACCGTCAAACTACAGGTCCGCAGGTGAGAGGAAGAATGCAGGCAAAGGCATATCCATGGCTGGTCAGTGTATTATATATGCAAATTCTGAGTGTTCTCTTGGTAAAGATACAAGACTGAGAATGGAAAAGGGGAAGTTATTTTTACATACTCTTGTCATTTTATTATTTAAATTGAATAGATATTTTAGCAGCATGCCTTGTCATTACCAACTCTGATCATCTTCTTGAATAGACCAGTGTTTCCGCTGACTTAATTATTTATCGAACACTGTGTCAGGCGACCTAAAATTTTACCGGTCATGAATGAAATTTGCCGGTCGTATCCTATTGCCATACTGTAAGTACTCACTTTAAAGTTATTTTTAGTCTGGGTATTTCCGAAACATAATAATTTTTGCGACCATGAAAGCACAGCCAAGACTGTCATTTCGCTTACCCATGATGTTTTTATTTTAATACATGATTATTTACCGGACACAGTGTCCGGCTGGGTTTCAATTTACCGGTCCCCAACAAAATTTACCGGTGATTTTCAGGTATATACCGGAGAACGGAAACACTGATAGACACATTTTAATTGTGTTGTGGACAGCAACCTAAGAAAGTACTGATCAGACCCTTTAATGATGAGTGTGTCATTGAGGGGTAATAGAGAAATTTGGGACTAGTACCTCATTACATTGTGTTATAGAGAAGAAATGGATAAAGTGTGGGACCAGTCCTGTAATGTTAACCAGTGTTATAGCGAGGAGATTGTGTGAGATAGTATAGGACAGGCCCTGAAATGTTGCCCCTTCTTATAGAGAGGAGAATCATAAAGCGAGCGACCAGTCCCTGTAGTTTTAGCATGTATTATGTATAGGAGAAAACACTTACCCTCGTTTTTGGTAGAGAATGCTAAAGCCCCTCGGGATTTCCCTCCTCCCAAGGTTTTACATTCTCTACCAAAACCGAGGGGAAGTGTTTTCCCTGACATATAATTATAATGTAGATGATCATTTAATGAAGCTACATAACAATAACTGAAGTGCAAGTAAAATCTCAAGAGAGACAGTAACTATAAATAGATAATTCAACCCCAACGTCTTCATCGGCTCGGTGGCCGTGAGGTAGAGCGTCCACTCAATAATCTGAAAGATGAGGTTCAATCTTGATTGAGAAAACATTTGCACTTTGAAATTGCTCTTGGACGATATTTTTCAATTGATTTCAAACACTCATATATCACTTGAATGTTGATGTTCATCTAGAGTTAGGAAAAAATAATTACAAACAGTAAAACCTGGGAAGAGGTCTTACTTACAAACAGTAAAACCTGGGAAGAGGTTTTACTTACAAACAGTAAAACCTGGGAAGAGGTCTTACTTACAAATAGTAAAACCTGGGAAGAGGTCTTACACTTGTAAACAAAAACCTCAAATGCGGTTATTCCTGGAAAACAAGAGATGCTTAATATATAGTGAGAAGCAAACTTCAGGTTTATATAGAGAGGAGCAGGATAAAGTGTGGGACCAGTCCTTGTATTGTTAGTACTGTTAGCTTGTGTTATAGAGGACATGGAAAAAGAAAGTTACCAGTCCCTGTAGAGTCATTATGTGTTATAGAGAGGAGCAAGATAAAGTGCGTGACCAGTTATTGTAGAGTTAGCATGTGTTATAGAGAGGAGCAGGATAAAGTGTGGGACCAGTCATTGTAGAGTTAGCATGTGTTATAGAGAGGAGCAGGATAAAGTGTGGGACCAGTCATTGTAGTGTTAGCATGTGTTATAGAGAGGAGCAGGATAAAGTGCGGGACCAGTCATTACAGTGTTAGCATGTGTTATAGAGAGGAGCAGGATAAAGTGTCGGGACCAGTCATTACAGTGTTAGCATGTGTTATAGAGAGGAGCAGGATAAAGTGCGGGACCAGTCATTACAGTGTTAGCATGTGTTATAGAGAGGGAGCAGGACCAGTAAAGTGTGTTATAGAGAGGAGCAGGATAAAATTCACCGGGACCAGTCATTACAGTGTTAGCATGTGTTATAGAGAGGAGCAGGATAAACCAGTCATTACAGTGTTAGCATGTGTTATAGAGAGGAGCAGGATAAAGTGCAGGACCAGTCATTACAGTGTTAGCATGTGTTATAGAGAGGAGCAGGATAAAGTGTTAGCGGGACCAGTCATTACAGTGTTAGCATGTGTTATAGAGAGAGGAGCAGGATAAAGTGCATAGGACCAGTCATTACAGTGTTAGCATGTGTTATAGAGAGGAGCAGGATAAAGTGACCAGTCATTACAGTGTTAGCATGTGTTATAGAGAGGAGCAGGATAAAGTCATGGACCAGTCATAGTGTTAGTGTTAGCATGTGTTATAGAGAGGAGGATAAAGTCAGGGTTAGCATGACCAGTCATTACAGTGTTAGCATGTGTTATAGAGAGGAGCAGGATAAAGTGTTAGCATGTGTTATAGACCAGTCATTACAGTGTTAGCATGTGTTATAGAGAGGAGCAGGATAAAGTGCAGGAGTCATTAAGTGTTAGCATGTGTTATAGAGTCATTACCAGTCATTATTCAGTGTTAGCATGTGTTATAGAGAGGAGCAGGATAAAGTGTGGGACCAGTCATTACAGTGTTAGCATGTGTTATAGAGAGGAGCAGGATAAAGTGCGGGACCAGTCATTACAGTGTTAGCATGTGTTATAGAGAGGAGCAGGATAAAGTGCATTACAGTGTTAGCATGTGTTATAGAGAGGAGCAGGATAAAGTGCAGGGACCAGTCATTACAGTGTTAGCATGTGTTATAGAGAGGAGCAGGATAAAGTGTTGGGACCAGTCATTGTAGAGTGTTAGCATGTGTTATAGAGAGGAGCAGGATAAAGTGCGGACCAGTCATTACAGTGTTAGCATGTGTTATAGAGGAGCAGGATAAAGTCACGGGACCAGTCATTACAGTGTTAGCATGTGTTATAGAGAGGAGCAGGATAAAGTGCGGGACCAGTCATTACAGTGTTAGCATGTGTTATAGAGAGGAGCAGGATAAAGTGCGGGACCAGTCATTACAGTGTTAGCATGTGTTATAGAGGGAGCAGGATAAAGTGCAGTTAGCATGTGTTATAGAGGGAGCAGGATAAAGTGCTGGACCAGTCATTGTAGAGTTAGCATGTGTTATAGAGAGGAGCAGGATAAAGTGCGGGACAGTCATTACAGTCATTACAGTGTTAGCATGTGTTATAGAGAGGAGCAGGATAAAGTGACGGGACCAGTCATTACAGTGTTAGCATGTGTTATAGAGAGGAGCAGGATAAAGTGCAGGACCAGTCATTACAGTGTTAGCATGTGTTATAGAGAGGAGCAGGATAAAGTGTGGGACCAGTCATTACAGTGTTAGCATGTGTTATAGAGAGGAGCAGGATAAAGTGCATGGGACCAGTCATTATAGTGTTAGCATGTGTTATAGAGAGGAGATGGATAAAGTGCGGGATCAGGAAGTGTGGAAGCTGGAGATGGAGGAGGAGCTGGAGGAGGCACGGGAGGAACATGAGGAGGAATACAATCGCAAGATGGCGATCTTCCGGGAACAGAACCTGCTGTGGGAGAAACAGCAGGCTGACAAGGTTTGTCAGAATCAAATTATTTCCGCAGAAAATAAATGTCTGCTAAACAACCTTGATGTGAAATGATATACTAGTAAATTCAAACGTTTTATAAACTTTCTTACATTCAGTTTACAGAGATATTTTGCTTTTGATGGAAATGCTTGAAAAACAAACATTTCAAAGGTAGCATTGCTGAGTTATTAGGTAAGAACATAGTTAGCTTTCTTCAGTTGTCCACAAGTCACAAGTGTGTTTGGTATCTGATATTTCCTCAGTATCAGCTTGTATTTGTGAGATGTTTCAGTGTTGTCAGTCCTTTATAGAAATGTTGGCTCCCGTATCTGAGGTGATAGATTGTGTAGATTAGAACTTAGTTACCTTTCTGGCGTCAACAGTGCTCTAACCTTTGCCTTCCTTTGATTGTGTGTAATAAGACATTGAGTGTTAATACTTGTATATTTAGTGCAATGATTGTCCATGTTTCAACAGAGAGAGGCCGAGAAAAAAATTAAGAAAGGCCGTGAGCATCAAAAGCATCAAAGGCATCTCGACAGAGTGGCAGCGCTTCAGGCACAGAGGAGCAGACGGAGGTAGGGCATTTATGTCCTTCAATGTTATATCAGTCCTAGAGCTCAGCATACAAGTAAATATCAGGGTTGGAAGGTAGGCTACATTCTGGACCTCTTGTCGTGTAGAAGAAGCGAGTTCGAGCATTGATGCTTCACATAGATGGAATATATTCCTATTATGGACAAGTACTGTGACAGGAGCTTTTGATGATGCAAATGGTGTCATCTAAGTGGGTTTGTTTGTAGGAGTCTCTGAAAGCTGCCCAGGAGATTATTGATGCGGAAGAGCTGCCAAAGCCTGAGATGCCTGAGAAGTTTGAAGAACAAGCCATCAAAGAGGCAATCAGAGTCAAGGCCATGCAGAACAGGAGACGGCCAGGTAAGAGGATCAGTATCCCATGTTTGTGGTGAGAGCAGAACTGATGGGTTTTATTTTTTTACCCTAAACTATGTATGATTAGTATTTTTCTTACCCCATGGGTTTTGAACCTGTGATGGTTGTAAGAGGTGCCCAAATCGATCAGATGTTAAGGATTGGTAATTTGGTTGCTTGAGTCTCATCGTACCTATACAGCATGCATTGGTGCTCACGTTGTCAATCACTGGAATATCTGGTGCAAGGTCCATTATTTACTGGTTTCTATTATATCACTGGAATAGTGCTGACTGCACCATTGAATAGCGAACATTTTGTTGTGTAAGCCCACTTTCTGACAGGGTGTCTGTAACCAACAGTTGTGAAACAGTCAACAGCATTACAGCAACATTGCTTCAGTACATTATCATAAGACGATGCTCATGATGTTGATCCTTGGATTGTCTGGTCCAGACTCGATTATTTACAGACCATCGCCATATGCCTGGAATATTGCTGAGTATGGCGTAAAACTAAACTCACTCACTCATTGTCACAATGTTGTGTGACAGTAGCCCTAGCCAATCACATGTCACCATGTTGCAATCAATTTATTATGCACCATTCTTTTGCTCAACGTTGTGCTGTCTTAACACATTAAGGTGCCATGCTGTGTTACTTTCTTAATGAACTAGGGGCGGTGGTGTAGCCTATTGGTTAAAGCGTTGGCTCGTCACGCCGAAGACCCGGGTTCGATTCCCCACATGGGCACAATGTGTTAAGCCCATTTCTGGTGTCCCCCGCCGTGATATTGGTGGAATATTGCTAAAAGCAGCGTAAAAACTAAACTCAGTCAGTCAGTCTTAATGAACTGTACTTTATTTCTCTACAGGAGAGCCCAAGCTGTTCCCGGGAACTTACAAACACAGCAAGCGTTACCCCATCAAACTCCTGCCCCAGGTAAATGTGCTGTCACCAACCAATCAGCAGTAACGATTTTGTGTCAAGGATGGGTCTTATGTATATTCTTATACTCAAGTTTGGATCTAAAGATTAGAACTGATTGTAACTTGTCTATTGCTAGGAATTTCAAAACCATGATATCAAATGTTCTTTATGTAGCCTAGACTACTGAAAATGAGCCTATCCTTTGTCATGTGTTGTGTTCATTCTCAAATATCATATTGTATAACTTTGTACATTGTACTAATTCAGTAGTAGTAAGTACTTTTTGTATTAAAGAATCTGTCTATGTAACTGTCAACAAAATAAACAGCAGAACGCAGAATGCTTGCAGAGGGAGGGAGCCAATGACCTGTAACAGCGACAGTGTTGGGTCATAAAGGTCAACGTTCATCAATGTAGGTCAGCTATGCATTGGACAGGTATGAAGAGGTGTTCATTTCTAGCAAATAGCGGCGAATGACATCTCTGGTGACCCTGATGTCAAAAGAATCTAACTGTGGATGCCTACCTTTTCGCACAAGGTTTTGTTTATTGGTTGTTGGTTTATTTTTCAAAATTTTTAGCACGATGCTCTTTTTCATGCGCAGAGCAAAATTTGTACGTTTCATGTAATCCGACACCTTATAAGTCGGTTTGCTACGTTTGCTCTCTTTTTAAAAAATATTTAACACATTTTTAATTAAACGTTTAGTATCATCTGAATAAGCTTTCATGATGACAGCTAGAAGTAGTCACTGTGAATGATCCAAAAGGTCTATCACTTTGCAGTGCACAGGTAACTATCATGAACTGCACGTGCATTTACCTTTATGACCCAACACTGCCGCTGTTACAGGTCATTGGTTCCCTCCCTCTGCAAGCATTCTACGGTCTGCTGTTTATTGTGTTGACAGTTACATAGACAGATTCTTTAATACAAATGCATAAAATCGGTGATTTACAATGTGATTAGGTTGTCTGACAAAACATCCACTTGCACAGTTTGAGATCGATTGGGTCATTGGATGAAGAGATATTTACAAAAAAACGGGTCCACATGCATTTCATGCCAAACTATAAACTGCTAGAGAAATGGTTGTACTTGGTGATCAGTTACTTGATAACATAAATTATTTCAGTCGAATAATCCTTAACACTCTCTCACGAGGTGGAAAAGTAATCAGTTAGTTGATTACATCAGTTATTTCAGTCCAAAAATCCTTAACACTCTCTCACAAGTTGGAAAAGTAAGTATAGTAATGATAATAGAACATGTCATTAAACCTCATTTCACTCCACCTCTGCGTGACCAACAATTTCACGTCCCCCTGCTTAAATACTTTACTTTTTAGTGGTGAAAAGCAGCGTCGTGATGAGATATCCAGGATCAAGGTGTTTGTCAAGGTGTTGTTCAACCACAAGGAAGTGTCCAGGACAGGCAATAGGTAATAACTGTCCTCCCTGATCTCAACTACATGAAGGTTACTGTTCATATTCTCTCAATGTTTGTCCACTCAGAACTATTTTGATTCATCAGGTGATGAAACTTTTTTGTTTCTGATTACAGCTAAGAAATCTGATTATTAGTTTACACAAAAGCATGTTCTACTTTTGTGAGATGTTTGATTTACCTGTACCACTGTTATATTTAATCTCATGCTTCCATGTCTTTATTGTACACGGGGTGGTAGGTTAGTCTTGTAGTTAAAGCGTTCACTCATTACGTCGAGGGCCAGGGTTTGATTCCCAACACAGGTACAATGTGTGAAGCCATTTCTGGTGTCTCTTGCCATGATATTGCTGGAATTTTGTTAAAAGCCACATAAAACTCTATATACTAGGCACATAAAGAAACTGTGCATACAAAAATTTAAAATCTAAATTTATCAAACCTGTGTAGACACATAAGGATTTAAACTCAGAGATGAGTGACATGTATCCAACATGCATGCACGTGCCATGTTCCGTGACATCAGTGGGTTCGTCCTTGAGACGTGCAATACGTTGTTGCACGTGCATTCCGGGAAAGAGAAACAGAGCAAATGAATGCCACACAATACTGTCACTTTGGAAAGCTCAACCCCTGCCCTTGCGATCGTTAAAAAAATTAAACGGCTATTGAAACGCATAGCATGCCAAGGCTAACGTCTGCACAACGTCATGAGGCCATTAGGATGGTCTGTGGTGGAATGTCTCAACGACAAGTGGCTGCACATTTCCACTGCCACCGGAACACCATTTCTGCACTGGTGAGACGCTACCAGAACACAAACGACGTCATCGACCGGCCACGTTCTGGACGTCCACGTGTAACAACGCCAAGACAGGACAGATGGATAAGGGTGACCCATCTTCGCCACAGGTTTCAGACTGCAGTGATGACTGCCCGAACCATCCCAGGACTTCGCCGTATCCACCCCAACACAGGTCGACAACGTTTACGTCATCACGCGATCAGACCACGACGTCCCGCCATACGGCCTATCCTAACACAACGTCATCGACAAGCTCGCCGAATGTGGTGCCGAAATCATGTCCGCAGACCCTTGTTTTGGTGGAGAAATGTTGTTTTTACAGGTTTAACATTTCCAATAGTGATGGACGTCAACTTGCCTATAGACGCGTGGGAGAACGTTATGCACAGGCCTGTGTCTTGGAGAGGAATCGCTTTGGTGGTGGTTCCGTGATGATTTGGGGTGGAATAACAGCACGCCAAAGAACTCCTTTGGTGATTGTTAAGGGCAACTTAACTGGTGTGGGCTACAGGGATCAGATTCTTCGACCTGTGGCAATTCCTTTTCTTGAATGTCATGGCCCTGGGTTAACATTCCAACAGGACAATGCCCGCCCTCATACGGCAAGGGTTGCTATGGCTTTCTTGCAACACCACAACGTTGACTTACTGCCTTGGCCTGCAAATTCACCGGATCTCTCCCCGATAGAGCATGCTTGGGACGAGATGGATCGACGTCAACGCCGTCTTCCTCATCCGCCAGATAACGTCCTTGACCTTGCAACAGAACTTGAGAGAATCTGACGTGACATCCCACAAGCCTTCCTTGCATGTTTGATAGGCTCTATGCGTCGTCGATGCACTGCTATTCTCAATGCCGATGGTGGACATACCCGTTATTGAGCTTGTGACATGGTCGTTTGACCCCTGTCCCGCTTGTGGACTCGTGACGTCATTGTGATTGACTTTTCAATTGAAATTTTCCCAACTTGTTATGGTCTCATGATCCCTCCATTAAAGTTTATATGTTACTATATATTTCATTTACAATCCAGGCCACTCTCACAAGACTTCCGTGTCAACTTTGGTCAGATCTATAATCTGAAGATTGTACAGTGGCCAGAGAGTGTCAAGTTTCAGGTAATGACTTGATCACTCCTCAGCTGGAATTCTGGGTTAGAGCAGGTTTCAATTAGCCCACAACTTACTGGTTTCCATCACATAATGTTTGTTCATCAAACGGTGATTCTTAGGGCACAGCAGGTCCCTATTAACTGAATTCGTGTCAATTCATTGGGTTTGTGGGCTGAAATATGTACCTTATACTCAATGTTTGTCACCTGTACTGATTCCAGAACATATTCAGGTCCTGGCTTGGTTTTGCATAAGAAATGCTGCCTTGTGTATTAAAGAAATTTATTCTGACTTATAATTGAAAATCAAATGCTAATAAAACCTTGAGTAAATTGATGTCTATATTCATGGTGTGTATTGAAATTACAGATGAAAAATGTTCCCTCTTCCTAGATATTTGAAAGTCAGGGCTTGAGCAGCACGATGTTAGCGGAGTTGTACTGCGCTATCCCAGAAGCCTCTGTCACATCACAAAACGTCCAGTTGGAGGAGATTGAGTTCAGTTCCGACCAGAGGGTCCATTATAGTCATGAGGGTGTAGGCAGTGGTGAGTACACAGATGGAGATGAAGTTCAGTTCCGACCAGAGTGTCCACTATGGCCATCAGGGTGTAGGCAATGGTGAGTGCACAGGCATAAACAGGGGCAGTGCCTGTGTAGGTATCTGTAGGCTGTGTTGAGTGGGATATCCATGTTAAACTTTGACTCGTATATCATTGAGTTGTCACTTTAAAAACTGGCATTGGCAGGGTATGAAACTCCCAAAAGTTTCAGCCAGACCATAGGACTGGTTAGATGTAAAACTTGCCAGCCCTGGCCAAAACTTACCTGCCCACAAAATATCGTCATATACATATGTAAATTTTAACTCGACCGTCAGTCAGGTGAATTTGAGAATCTGGCAGTCCGTGTTGAAAATAACCCGTCACGGGCGGTCGGGCAGGCAGGTATTTCGGCATTTGTCAGCTTGTTGTTTTTTCTCTGAGGCATCTGTGGACACATTGATTCTGCAAACATGTTAAACCATTTGTTGTTCTCTCCAGCTGTGCCGTTCAGCTTTGTGGCGTCCGGGGACAACCTGATCACGCTGATGACGACAGGAATACTCAACTCCTCTGTAGCGTGGGCTGTGGATGATACTGGAGTACCACTAATTCCACCGTCTTCCAACCTCTCGACCAACAACATATTCAAGTAAGTATCTTTTGCGTGTTGTAAGGCAATTTGTCAGCTCTGGATCCATTTTCCCAAATTTTCTACTTTCACTGAACTTTCTGACTGGGCATTTAGCTGACACACTCAGGTGTAAAATAATACAAGTCAAGGCTTTGTCTTTTTTTTCAAAACTGCTTTAAAGGACAAACATGATGTTCATATTCTATTTTGACAAGAGGTGTGGTGTGTGTGGACCTGTCTGCTTGAATGAACTCCTGGCGAAAAGAAACCTAGGTCAAACATTGATGAAACTCACAACCTGGGGGTGGTGCATTGCTACAATGCTTGTTCAGCATGGCAGGGCTTTACGCAACTCGCAAATGTGCATCCAGTATGCTCAAATGTAGAAAATGGATGCAGAAAACAATTCACTGGTCCTCAGGGATACACAATATTATTTAGTCTAATTATTGACTGTACGGACAAAACATTTATGACTTTGCTAAGTGTTTAGTAGTTTCTTTCGGAGCAGTTACGTGCATCATTTCACCCATCAGTTCACATGATCAATGATTCATTCCAGGCTCATAAGACATTATCAAAATATTCAGTTCTCTAAACCCTAACTTCACAGGACCCTCTTCATGCCTGCAAGGACCCTTCAAACTAATCACTAGGGTCTTTTCTCTCTCTCTCTCTCTCTCTCTCTCTCTCTCTCTCTCTCTCTCTCTCTCTCTCTCTCTCTCTCTCTCTCTCTCTCTCTCTCTCTCTCTCTCTCTCTCTCTCTCTCTCTCTCTCTCTCTCTCTCTCTCTCTCTCTCTCTCACACTCTCTCTCTCTCTCTCTTTCCTCTCTCTCTCTCTCTCTCACTCTCTTTCTCTCATTCTCACTCTCTTTCTCTCACTCTCTCTCTCTCTCACTCACTCTCTCTCACTTTCCTCTCTCTCACTCTCTCACTCATTCTCACTCTCTCACTTTCACTCTCACTCTCTGGAACTATGCTCATATAGTGGTAAGGCATCAATTTACAGTCTGACATCATACTGGTAGAATATTGCTGAGTGTGGCATTAAACAACAACTAACAGATATACACTTCTGTAATTAAAGTTTTTGGCCTTAGAAATATACTTGCACTCAAATTTAGTTTTCCTAGGTTTGTGCTGCAAACAGGATAAAGATCAGCTCACTTAAACATTTCTGCAAACCCAGATTCACCTCAGTCCATGGTTTGAGAGAACCATCCCATTGGTAATAATCTGTGATACTCCTGATGCAAGCTGTGTTGAAGTTAGCATTACTGACACAGTGAACCCTGGTGTTCCAGTGCAATGAAACAGATGGACCCTGTGTCAGCCATTGGTGCTACTGGCGTGGTCAACATGGAGAAACTGGCCAAATGGTTTGAGCAGTCTCGACTTGACCCCAATGATCCAGCCAACGCTGACCTAGTCTACCTGCTTGGGGTGAGCTAAGAAGACCCATAGATTTTATATTTTGAGAGATGTTAAATTTGCTGAGATTTTGTGTTTTTGTTTTTGTTTTTGCCTTATTGATTATCAGCAGAAATGTTTGAATTTTACTGAATGGATGAAAAGTGAGGTGCGAGGTTGATGGCTAGAGTTACCTGCTCTTGGCTGTAGGGGGTCCGGTGGGGGGCCCTGTATGGGTGGTCTCACAAGACAAAAACGAGTTTTTTGTTTTGTAAATATTTTATTACAAAATATAGTTACAACTGTCGTGGGAATTTAAATGGGCATTTAAATGCTTATATGTACCCCAAGGAGGACTTTCTTCAAAGAATTCATAACCTCTACAGGTTTGTATAAATTTTACTGAATGGATGAATTTCAAGAAATGGGTTAGAGAGAATGTGTATCATTATAATGCACAATATTTCTTCATTAAAGTATAATTACGTATAACAAATTCATTGGGAAAGTTCAAACCATTCCCAAGTTTTCTAGATTCAGAACCTGTGAATATCCTGGCTAGAACTGGTCTTCTGTAACCCATGCTTGTTGCCAGACTCACTGACTTGGTTGACACATGTCATCGTATCCCAATTGTGTACACCGATGCTCATGCTGTTGACCACTGGATTGTCTTGTCCAGACTTGATTATTTACAGACTGCCGCCATGTAGCTGGAATATTGCTGAGTGTGGCATTAAACAACAAACAATCAATCTAGATTCTGAATCAGGCAAACTATATCAGATGGATGAGAAAAGTGATATCCATGGTCAAAGAAAATTAAAGCAGATGTCTGAACTTAGGCATTCATGGTCTAACTGCAGTGAATCATTACAAACTGCTACAACATCGCTATCTCTCAGATCAGTAATCTTCCTTGCTCCATGACAACAGAACCGCTGACCATGGCGACCTGCAGATGCGAGACTTCTTCCGCCTGGAGCAGCTCCAGGAGGAGTTTGACCTGACGTCGGACGAGGACATGGATGGCAACAAGCGGTTCCGCCTCCTACAGTACCGAGACAGTGAGGTTCAGGAGTTCCGCAACTACAAGTTGGTGCCTGTCTATGAGAGAGAGATTCCCAGAGATGCTTTCACTGTGAGTAACAAGACACGCATTCAGCTCTAGATGTAAGGATCTTAGACGTGCAGTAACATTTCCATGGAATGATTTAGTGTTTGTGAACAATGGTTGACATCTCTGCTGGAAGGGTGAGTTGTTGTTGGGTGTTGTTTGCCACTGTAGGGGCATAGTTGTATCACTGTATCTCTACCTACTGTCATCCTCAGGAGCTCCCAATGTGTCAGGGTGTAGACACTTACCTCCTGGGTGATGCACCACATAGTTCTGTCAGAACGGGAATTATATTGAAGGTTACAGGGATTCAAACTCTCGACCAGCTGATTTTAGCAGCTAAGAGTTAAAATGCAACCTTGGTCCTCTACCTCAGTAAAGGAATTAGAACTATTTTTTTCATTGCTATGTGTTGCAAGATTTACAGAAGTGATTCAAGTTGCAATAGATGCAGTTTATTTTTAATCTTTGCATAAATGACAATAGGGTTGTCTTCTTTCCTTTCTTATGGATTCCATTTGCTTTATGAAAGACTTGCATCTGTAATGAATCATTGCTTTGAATGATAACATAATAAGTAGAAGTCCATACCCTGTCTTCATTGCCAATTGTGTAGATCGATGCTCATATTGTTGATCACTGGATTGTCTGCTCCAGACTCGATTATTTACAGACCGCCTCCATATAGCTGGGATATTGCTGAGTGCAGCATAAAACTAAACTCACTCATTCACTCACTCACTCACTGTCTTCATTGACCTCCAGTTTCACTATGTACAGTGTAGTTAAATGTCTCAGGTGATAACTGTTATCATCTCGCTACTGATGTCCTCCTTGCGTCCTGTAGGAGTACGAGAAGAAACAGAGGGAGGAGGACCGCATGAAGGCGAAGGAGGACATTGAGTCACATCGTGCTGCCGTCAGCAAGTTCATGCAGAAGGTAAGCAGGACATGCAACTACCTTGACTGTGCTTTATCAAGACTTGCTCGATATATATTTATATTATCATGTCCAAGTCTACGATTAACGTACCCCAGTTCATGTTGATATTGTTAATATATTTGTCGTGATCATATGTCACTGGTTACAGGACCAAAACATGAAGGGGCACTAATGCTTAGTTTACGTTTTTGGCTTGAATGCAATGTTAAATGACTCTGAATGTATGAAAATGCAGCTGAATATATGAAAATAGATACTTTAAGAAATTTAAAGTTTGTAAAATAATATAATATTTAAAATACAAATTCGCCTGCCAAGGGCTCTTAGTTTAGATTAATTTGAAATCACTGTCTAAAAAAACCATAATAAATAGGCATTGGATTAAAAAAAAGGAATTATAGATACCTTAGAAACAAGTCAGTCTCTATGTCTCAGTACAAAATGGTGCACAAGTGGGACTATAGGTATTTCAGCATTATTTTGTTAAGTGAAACATAGTTTTGGACAGTCAGTATTTATTGAAACAGATCAAATGTTCATCTGGTGTATGGCATTGAGCATGGTTCATGAGATGGTGTGCCTGGTCCACTCTTGTTGATAAACAGCTGTCACAATACAGATACAATGTTGTAAACCAAGTTCTATGGATAGTCAGCTTCTTTATTGAAATGAATGTGACGTTTCGGTGTAGGTACTAACTTTACTTGTCACTTCCTTCATAATGATGTTAGTACCTACACCGAAACGTCACATTCATTTCAATAAAGAAGTTGTCTATCCATAGAACTTGGGTTTCCTTCTTGTTCACGACTTCTTGTGCCTCTCAAAGGAAAGGAGATAGAATGTTGATGACACAGAGAACACGGAGTATGAGGTACAGTCCGTTTGAGTCAGAAAAGGACCGATGAATTGCAAATTTTATCATTGTACACAATTGCCACATAAATATAAATAGTACACATGTCTATCATTTACTAATACCCAACAGCTTTCTTATATTTGAAAATTTTCCGAACTCCACCAAAATTGTTGTTTAAGAAACTATCATCATTGAAAACGCAAAAGTTGTTATCTGTTGCGGCGGGGTGAAACCGCAGAAACGGAACAGCCACTATCTCGTCGTGCACAGGATACACATGCCTAATGAACAATGAAGTTGAATGCTGACGTGAACCAGTTGATGATTAAAGTGTACGTTTTTTTCCGTCCTGAAGCCGAAAGTGGCAAACCATTTTATGCCATTAATAAATTCCGTAAGCGGGCAGCAAAAGCTTTAGAAGTATCAGCAAGGGTACTGACAAATGTTCTGGAACACAAACATTGTGTAATGGTGAACTGCATCAGGTTTGTCCTTGTGGTGTTTGATGGAAGCAGTGACCCTTCCTTTATGACGTGTATCATGTCAATGCAGGTTCGAGAGCAGGTGATGCAGAGGTTTCGCATGGCAGCACATTCCAAGAGGCTGGAGGACATGGTGGTGGAAGACGTGGTGCCAAACATAGGGTGAGGATACCACTGTGTCATCACTTTAAAGTCAACCAGTAGTTGTTTTGTATCGTTCAAATATTTCATGGAAAATAACCCTTGTAACTTGTGAACTCATGATGATTAATATGTCAGTGATGGGACTTGCACCTCTTGACCCTCAGTGACACTCATGTTTTTAGTGATAAAATTTGGATATCTATTGACATCTTGTTTTGATCTCTAATGAAAATAAATCCATCACCCTTTGTTCTTGCTTTCAGTTCATTATTTATAAGTTTATCACGTATCACGGAGCCGAGGCGGCCTTTGAAGCCTGTGAGGAAGGAGAGAAAGAAGGCAACAGCACAGGCGGTGTCAGCCGGGGAGGTGAACATCCTCATCAACATCATCAGGGCGTCATACATACCAGTCAGAAAAACCAAGGGGTAGGTTTTAGTAGGGAATCTATGTGCGTGACTTAATGCATGAGTATCGAAACTGGGTTTTATGCTGCTTTTAGCAATTCTAAAACAATAGGTTTTAGTAGGGAATCTATATGTGTGACTTATTGAATGAGTGAGTGAATTGGGTTTTACACCACTTTTAGCAATCCTCCAACAATATCATGACAACTTGTTTAAGTGGCATTTAGAAGGTGGTATGATGAACAACAAGGAGAGTTCTATGGATATACACCTTCTTTAATATGATATGAGCGACGTTTCGGTGTAGCTACTAACACCGTTATCAAGCAAATGATGTACAATACTAGATGCAAGGTATATTTATATACATGGTAAAGTTGAACAGTAAGTGATGATGTTTACACAATTAATGAGGTAGATGTACAGGGTGGTGGATGTTTATATATCATGACAAGGGACACCAGAAATGTGCTTCACATTGTACCCGTGTGGCAAATTGGGTCTTTAGCATGAATGACCGCTTTAACCACTAGGCTGCTCCATAGCTCCTATGATTTGATTAGCTAGATGTTTGTTGTTATTCATGATCAGTTTGAGAAAATGAGATGACTTCCAGGGTCCTTTAAATATTACTATAGCATTTGACTCAAAGGTGGAGCATGGTAAGCCTTGTTGTCTAAGGCTCTCCAATCAGGTGACACAGAGTTGTGTCCCTTTGTGATTTCGATGTACTATGTGATTGTTTGTCATCCCCCTAAATGTGCTAGTGACTTTCACCACAGTGGTACATGTCTGACCTGCATCACTTCAACCTTTCCTCCCTCATTAATGTAACACACCATGATACAACAAAATATTGTTCAAAGCTGTGTTAAACCAACTCTCTGTTCAGTTTTAATGTTACGAAAGGTTAGATTAGCTATGGCAGTATGGAAGAATCAGGCTTTCTGTAACGTCTTTTAAGTAGTGTATGTCTAACAAAGAACATTTGTAACCTTTAGCCTTGATGTTTTCATTGTTTAATGCTTGCCCCATGTATTATACACTCGTTATCTCCCTTTGTTACAGGCCAGCCACTGGTGCTGCCACGTCAAGGGACCCAGAAAGAACTTTAGTCAAGAACATCACAGGAGAAGTAGGTTGTCCTTTTGAATTCACTTGATAAGAAGCTTACTGTTGGACATTTTACTGTATTAATACTGGACTAGAATGTGTTGATCAGAAGTCTTATCAAGTATAATTCAAGTCAAATAATTGGATTGATTGGAATTCCTAACAAGTTTGATTAAAGTCAGTACCCATGTTGTTAGTCAGCTGACATAGATATTAGTACAACCTTAAAAATTGGTTAAGTTTTTTATGAGAGATTGTAAATGTCATGCTGGAACTATACAAATATGTTAACCAATAATGGTATTATTTAAAAAATGTTGGTAATATTCTGTCAGTTTTATTCAGATCCATTTGTATTTCAGTTTGAAAACTATACACCTCAAATGCTACAAGTTAATGAGGACGACCATCTTTGGAATTTTACTTATCAATGATTTTGCAGTCAGTGATTCAACTAATTGTGCAGACTGTGGAAATGGCTGCTGTCACGCTTTAATGCTTTGAGAATGTATTCAGTTTGAAACATATCTTGTTTTTGTTCAAGTATACTGTTTTAGGAATCTACACGATGTTTTGAATTAGAGAAGTTAGTAAACATGGAAGAAGTCAATATCATTAAAGAACCACTAAACTTTGTTTTTTGTTACTCTTTTAACCATTACATATGAAAGATTTGTGGTTAGTCTTATGCGGAACACCAAATTTATTCTTTAAAAACTTGTGGTTAATTAATACCGAGCGATTAAAAGTGGCCAAAAAGTCGCCTCTGCTTCCCTCTCGCCCGCCAACGAAACCACAGACAGGTTACGTAACTCTGTCGCCAGAGCGCTGCAGTGACGTCATATGAGGAACGATTTTCAGTTAGTTGTATAGAAAATGTGTAGCACGCCATCATTTTGATGATTTCGACATCAACGACGACATGCCGAATCGCTGCTTTGTCGCCAATTGCTCCTAGGGTCGGGCGATGGTGTCCCCATGCACAGATTTCCACAGGACCCCGCAGTTAAGTTCGCGGCTAAATGGGTTATGTTTGTGAGTGCGGTTTAGCCGCCAGGGAAGCCTGAAACGATATCTTACTTGTGTTCAGATCGCTTCACGGAAGTTAAAGAATCAAAACTACTTACTAGTTGTAGTAAAATATGCATATGATTGATGACCATAAAGATTTTCTATGACACAACTTGTAACATAACGATTTCTTCCTCGGAAGTGAGGTTGTGGTCGGCTAATAATAATAATATTGTAAGTAGTATTATATTGACACCCACCTCGCTGCCACGAGAGAAATTGTTATGATATACGCTATGTCATGCAAAATCCTATTGGCCATCAATAAAATACATATTTACTTACCAGTAGAAAGTAGTTTTGATTTTAGTACCGGGTGAAAACAAACCTAAATACCATTTATCCTCAGACTGGCGGATGTTCCCGACAGGGCTTTCATTTTAAAAAATAAAAAATCTGTTAGAATTAATGAGATTATAGTTTGTTTTCATCAAGTTAGAAAATCAAGACTACTTTCTACTCAAGCTGTTAAATATGTATTGGAATCATAACCAAACGGATTTTGCATGACACAACTTATAACATAACGATTTCTTCCACGGAAGCCAGGTGGGGGTCGAAGTCACAATACTGCGCGATAAATTTCTTGCTACATTCCCATGGTTAATGTCCACTCACCAGTATGTAGATACTAGTCAATGTGCGCCTTTATATTTGGTCTTATAATCCTAATTAGTTTATTATCACACTTGTATGCATTTTGAAACTAAATAAAAGCAGACGATCTGCTGATACTTATAGTGAATTTATAACAGAACTGTAATATCTAGACATTTTATAGTTTGCCAATGTGAATCATAATTCGCACACACACCTAGTGCATGTTGTCTGTCTCATTACACTTCACGGCGAAAACAATGATTCTGTTGAATGCTACTTAATAAAATGAATAAAACAAAATGCAAATATTAAAATTAAAACAGATTAAAGTTATAGGAACAATATCAGGCCATTACCTTGTTCGAGGAATGTATCCATCAATATCCACAAAACTGTTCCAAATGATGTGTCTTTTAACAGTTTAATATACCTAAAAAGTGATAAATCTTTTCAGGTATTGGTGTATAGTCTCATTGGTCACCCAAGATAGCACACCTGGCAACTAATTGCATAATGTCCGCCTTTCTTTAAAAACAGTAATTTAGTTAGCCAATAATGGGCAATCAATCAATGTATTGCCGGGTTAATCCTTTGAAAGAAGGACGCTTGTTTTACGCGAGACACACCATTACCGACAGAGTGTATTCAGTATAGATTAGTAAATCTACATACATAAACACTACCTTTGACAATTCCGCTGTGTAAGATAAAAGTAATTAATCAATCAGCGTGTTATCGGTTAATCCTTTGATCGATGTTTATAATGTTGAATATTTACTCCAGACACAAGAAATGCCAAATGGGAACCTTTGTCGGGTAATCTAAGTGTGTTACCACTAATTATACCTGTTATAAATTCATTAACTGACCATCAAGTGAATGATGACAAATAACATGTGTAGGTTTATACCACCTAACACGGGTTACAACGAGGGAGTATTAATTGCTGTATTGCATGTGAAAACTTATGGGCCGACACTGTTTTGAGAATACAAACAGATTTTTACATGACATGATTAAATATCGAGGTAAAACAACACAGAAATGGGATCAATTTGGATCAGTCATTATACAAATAGGGCCTAACGACACCAATCGATTTTGACAGAATCGCCTATGAAAACAAGTTGTAACTCGAAACTAGGCAAAGCAGGAGACAAAATTAAATGACAGTAGATTGTGAGAACATATAGCTTTCATTTTCCACAACAATTGTCACGATTTCAGGTTTATACAAGCCTGTAAACACGATAATTTACCCCCCTAAAATGTAGATGAATTCTGCATCGCTCTCAAAGCTATTCCTCATATGACGCCACAGAGGCCACCGCTCTGATTGGTTGAAATTTCGTTCGCGGGTGAGAATTGTGCACTGTTGTCAAAAAGGTCGATTTAAGTCAATTAAAGGTCGAAATGAGTAGTTTTAATGACGGGGTTTCATTTATAACGATGCCAGTTAGTGATTTATGTATTTGTACCCCCTAGGGTTTATGTGACCTTTAAATGAAAGCCATATTTGATATGAATGGCACAGCTTGTGTTTGTGACTGATTATCTTTACAGTCATTTGTGTTCATTTCAGACATTAGTGCGGCCGTATGTGGAGGTGATGTTTCAGCGAGAAACAGTGAGGAGCAGTATTGGAGATGGACCAAACCCCAGCTTTAATGAGGAACTGTCCCTAGATCTCAAGTAATATACCCTGTGGTTATCATTTGTAGTGAGTAATGGCAGAGATGTTCATGCAAGTGTTGGATTCTCGTTACAAACGCCACACCTTATACCTGATCATTTCTTTGTAAGAGTACCGGTACTCATGAAAGTTAGGTCTTGCATGTATTTCATTTATCTGTTTTATAAAGGAATTACATCTCAAGCTGTATCATGAATACATAGACTTTAAGACCTTATGTCCTGGTATAATACAGGAAGTGATTGATTACAGCACTGACTACCACATACATCATGGCTGTGGGGCCAACTCTGTGGTTCATAACTGTGTTATGTTATAGCAGTTGGTTTGGTTGTTGCTTGATGCTGCACTCAGCAATATTCCAGCTATATGGCGGTGATCTGTAAATTATTGAGTCTGGACCAGACAATCCAGTGATCAACAGCATGAATATCGATCTACACAATTGGGATATGATGACATGTGTCAACCAAGTCAGCGAGCCTGACCACGCGAACCCGTTAGTCGCCTCTTACGACAAGCATGGGTTACTGAAGACTAATTCTAACCCAGATCTTCACAGGTCGTTATGTTTCAGGAAGTGATTGATTACAGTACTGACTACAACATACAGCTAGCCTACCCATCATGGTTGTAGGGTCTACATTGTGTCTGTGTTGTTGTAGGGCTCCTAATGAAGACTTCAGCAGCAACAGTCTACAGCAGATAACAGACTGCCTCTACCTCAACTTGTTTGATGAGAATGTCATCGACATCCTGGAGGTAACAATGCCTTTCAGCTCTCATACCTTCACACAAGAATCACATTTGGGGAATGAAACTCTCCCTTTAATTTAAATACACATGATTATGGTGCTTTCAAGTATTTGTACAGAATCTTGCCTTAGTTATATTTTATGTCAGATCATATAACAGATTTTATGTTGGATTGTTCTCCACTCATGATGTCAGCTACCTGGTTGCCTTGAGCCAAACTCTAGTTTACATCATTACTTTTATTATACATTCATATTCAACAACATATTCTGTATGCTTTCCAATTATCATTCCCAACTCCCTTAGGAGTATACAGCCCATGCTGGTTAGGGGTGTGCTACGTTATTTAACATCCACCTAACATATTGGGTACCCATTCCCTTTGCTCCTATGGGCCACATTGGTGTGAGGTGACTATTACAAACTGCACTGTGAAGCATCTTTCATTCATTTCCATATGCATACTGGTTGTTGTATATGATGTCCAGTTGTGTTGTAGGATGATCGACAGAGGGAGAGCAACATACACCAGCGGATAGAGAAGAAATGGCTGGGATGTCTGAAGATACCCTTCTCCACGCTTTACCACAACGGCAAAGTGAGTTATCTGAGGGAGTCAGTTGGTCGTGTCACTTTCGTAAATGTCATGTTTTTGTTTTCTTTTGAATTAATTACCACTGAAAGGTCTTGAAGAGAAGAGACATTATAACATACAATGCAATCCTGTGTTAACAAACTCAAAGGAAGGACCACCTGCCTGATAAGGTGAGAATGGGCTCACTTTATATTAGGACGGTCAAGAGCTGACAAAAATAGGTGTTTGGTGTCATCATACCCCAGTGTGTTTGGTAGTTGTTCATTGTAACTCATGGGGATCTGGGTTACAAGAGCCACCTCCAACCTTCGCTTATCAGTAGACTTTAATGATCAAATGATGAGGCAGGGTGACGTGGTTGATACCCTAACAACATTGTTTGTTTCCACTATATCAGTCACTGGTTTGTCTGCTGATAGTCCATGATGATTGCATTGGTTATTTTCAGATTGATGGTACATTCCGTTTGAACACACCACCCGTGTTGCTAGGTTACACGTACGACTTGTCCCAGGGTCGAGGGCCTGATTCAGAAGTAGAGGAGAGCATTGGTCGAGGCGAGGGCAACACGTACCTCAGTCTCTTCATCACCATAGAGCCACCTCTTAACCCCCCAGAACCAATGAAGGAAAAGGTGCTTTGATTAATATAGATTTGTGGAAACTGTATGATAAGGGACAATGCATTATAATGTCTCTTTTAAATTGCTATAAAAGACTTCATTCAACCTAGGGGATGGGGAAATGCTGCAAGAGTAACTTGAAGTGTTAATATCACAGACACACTGTTTAACTTTTCATCACTTGTAAGAACAGAACAAATACTTAAATATGGATAAACATATTATTTCTTATACTTCTCGATATAACCCTGACTAAATGTATTACCCAAGAGGAAATATTCACACAGCTTCTTTGGCTTCTTGACAGATTAAGTTGTCCAATATTCAGTGTGATATGAAATGCTTAATGTAAGGACTTCCATGTGATTATCTGTGCACTCATGAAAGGGTGTGTCAAAGTTTCATCAAGATATATCTCACATGGGTACAATTTAAGAAATATGTTTATGAGACGCATTGTAAGTGATGCTTGAACAGGATATGATTTGACATTCTTCAAATTAGATACTGACTTTATACCATGGACCCATGTAGTTATGAGAAATATTAAGAACCATTCTGTGGTCAGTTTTCAACCAATGAGGACGAGAAGCTGATGCAGCATGCAGAGACCTGGCAGGAAGAGCTGAACAAGAAATACCCTCGTCGACAGTACAAGACCACGGTAGTCGATGTCAACGGGAAGTCGGTCTTCATCACTCGATACTTCAAGTCGCTCAAGCCGCCAGATGATATCACAGGCAAGGATCTTGGTCCAGAGAAGACAGCGGTATGTGTTAGGTATTAAGGAGCAGATTGAGTAGTCTCCCTTGGTTTGTAACCAGGCACTGATTGAAATTAGACATGAAAGTCATGGGTCATAACTAAATCTTAAATATCAAAGATTTGGGGGAGACTGGATTCAAATACCATAGCAGCAAAGCTCAAGGACCCTGTAACCAAAATCAATTTCTAACTCTTCAAAACCTTAGCATCAAAGGGACTCACATCTACACTGCATGTTGTGATGCCATGAGCATAAGCTCATGTCTTGTTGAAACTGCGTAAGCCATGTATGTGAAGGGTTTTAACATGTACTGCAGGAGCTGACGGCCAGGTTCGTGTCACTCATCCCCTCCGTATCCGATGCTGTGGTCTTCCCAGGTCTGTGTGACATCTGGAGCACCTCAGACGTAAGTCTAACCACTGATGATCACATAGCGAACTTGTCTTCATCTTCATGTGACTCAGATCACCAGTAGTATATCTGTTGTTTATAAGAAAGAACTGATCACTCAATAATGAGGTCACTGCGCTGTATTGGCACATCACACATCTGTCATTCATTACACATACATGTTTATAGAATGGAAGCTTTTTTCATGATACAGCACTGAACATTGAACAGATTCATATGATATATGTATCATATTGGTACTACTGGAGTTAGTATGTGGCATTCTTTTAGACATTCTTCTAATGTCAAGAATGTCTGTTTTATGTTACATGTATCTTCTGGTGGATGAAACAAATCAATCATTTATCAGGAGAATTTATCTTTTAGTTTGTGCAGAACTAGTTGCATTTGTCATGTATATTTGTCCATTTCGCCCACTTTCGTATTTTCGTATATACATCACTGTACTGGTTCACCATGTGGCCTTCCTCTTATGCCATCTTGCCATTGGTTTTATGTATCTTTGTATCATGTTTCCTGTTGTTCCTGAAGAAGCATTGTCTCCTCGATTGTTTCAGCAATTCCTGCAGATGTTGGCAGGAGATGAAGAAGAGCATGCCGTGTTGCTGACCAACTTTTTCCTGGGGCTTTCAAAGAAGGCGTATCTTCTTATTGGTGAGTATTTCACAGAAGCTCTCACTGAGTTACTCTTATTGTCTTACAACCGATGTAGCAGATATGTTGTGATGGGCATCTTCACCTGTAAACCTCTGCCATCAGTAACAACAGATAGATGTCTACCTGTTTCATATGCTATATTTAGGATTACACTTCCTCAGTAAAGTACCGAATCGTGTACTCTTGTTACATCTGTGGATGTCGAGGAGGCTGATTTGGTGAGATGACTGACTTTGTGTGCTGGCAATTAGGTGCCTGACTCTGAAAGTGTGGGTTTCGTTTCCTAGATGGGATTCAACCTAACAAAGTACTAGAATCTGTACTTTACTGAGAAAGTGTAATCCCAAATATAACATGCTACAATCAAACACTTTGTCAATGGCATTGTGTATTTGTATGCCTACCTGCATTTCATAAACCTGCTTAGTACTTATAGTGGGTAAAGACACTCAAACAGGCTTCTGAAATTTGTGAACTGGATCTGCAATGAATACAACCTCAAAAGTGATATGAGCAGTATCTCTCACCTAACTTGAAGCTTAGCAGTATAACTAAAGGGAGGCAACTCAAGCTCTCTGAACTGTTCTCTGAGTAGTAATATGATCTCTGTCACAGGTTCAGCCATCCCTGAAGGGCCGACAGCCTATGTGCTGACAGAGGAAGGAAGTGATTTCTGGATCTGGAATGCTGGGACAGGGGAACACTACGTCTACCGTGACAACTACTGCCCACTACAGTCAGTCAGCTGCGTAATGAATGGAGAAAACGTGAGTCCAACCATAAACACAATGACGTGCAATGTAGGGTACTAGTACTGAGGACGTTTTTAATGAATGGTTTTGATATCAAATTTTGTGTTCAATTTCTATCAAGAATGTTATTTAAATATTATCAAAGATGATGTTTATTCGGTCAGCCCAGTTAACTAAGGTGCCTCAATTTGCTGTTCAGCATTTGCAGTGATCATGTTTCTAGGTTTGCTAGTATCATGCTGGGTTTCATCTGGCACTTGCATCAGGTTTCCTCACTCACTCACTCACTCACTCACTCACTCACTCACTCACTCACTCACTCACTCACTCACTCACTCCTCACTCACTCTCACTCACTCACTCACTCACTCACTCACTCCTCCTCCTCCACTCACTCACTCACTCACTCACTCACTCACTCACTCACTCACTCACTCACTCACTCACTCACTCACTCACTCACTCACTCACTCACTCACTCACTCACTCACTCACTCACTCACTCACTCACACACACACTCACTCACTCACTCACTCACTCACTCACTCTCACTCACTCCTCACTCACTCACTCACTCACTCACTCTCACTCACTCACTCACTCACTCACTCACTCACTCACTCACTCACTCACTCACTCACTCACTCACTCACTCACTCACTCACTCACTGTGAACATACTCCATGACTACAGCTGTGACTCTGTTCCTCCACAGATCTGGGCCAACATCCACCAGTATGAGAAGCCGTCACAGCTCAACTTCAACCTCAGTGACACATCAACATGGCGTCCTTTCTTCGGGCGTGGATTCTCCAGTCCTGGTCTCAGCAGTATACAGGTATGGAGATGATTTCTTTAAATCTAGTTACTACAGCTCATAGTGAGTTTGTGCCACAGAATAGGCCAGCAGTTCTTGAAGCACATTGTGCAAGCCTGCTTTGAAGTGTACAGTGTAAGGTGTGGTAGCTTGTATTGTCAGTGTACCGAAATGACTATAATAGCTGCTCATGTTTTTGTCCCCCATGTGAGAGTTACAATTGGTCTACAGCACTATACAGCTTGACAAAAGAGGTGACTTAATTTGATTGTGTAGTCAGCCTCTGACTTTTCTGAAAGCCTGTCATAGATTCTACAAAATTCTAAATGTCTAAGATTTGCATCATTTTGGGCCTACTCTCATATAAGGCTGTGATTACTGAATTACCTGTTCAATGTGGTGTTAAGCCACTCATATCCCCCCTTTGTGATAAACAGCCAGAGGCACTGGTGTACACGGGAACCAACAAGAACTATGTGATGGACCTCCAGGAGAAGATTGAACAGATGTTGAAGAACAAGATGATGGAATGGAGAAGTCGCTACATCACACGGTGGAACCGCCACTGTACACAGATCATGAGAAAACTCCTGCCTGTGTAAGTCTCAACTTACTGTAACCCGAAATATACACAAGGGACAAACGATCTTGATCTTATACTCTTTACAAATTCATCAATGTCATGCATAGAGATTATTACAAGAGCAAGTTTGTCATACGACTTATACGAAACGAGTGTGTAATTTTGTATTGCCAATACAGATGCAATTACACAATTTTTGCACAGTGTTGCACACATGCGAGTGTAATAATTTCTTTATTATCCATTTTATTCATGTACATTTGTGCAGTAAAACACGATAAGCAAGTGTGACAGCCCTGTTCATTGACGTAACGTTCAATTGTTTAATGACGTCACAAACCATGATATACGGAAACAGTGGTTGCTAGGCAAAAGTGATATGTGCACTGCACATATGATATATATGACACTGGTTATGTTTCACCATATGGATAATAATGTAGTTTAGACATAAAATCTTAATTCATCCAGAAATTAAATGTCATGTCATAACTGGCGCTACACAAAATTCTGGTGCAACAGTATATCTTTCACTTTGTCTACAGCATCTGTCCAAGATTCTTAGATGATCCATGAAAGACTAACTATATCTCCTTTGTTTATTTTCTTATACTGTTTTCAAATTCATTAATGTTATAGTGTTGCTGGGACATAATCTTTCTATTCATCCAGAATATAAATCTGTCTCTGAATCAAGTCGATATTTGATAGTGCCTAAGCAAGTTGTTGATCCCTACTTTCAGTCTGGAGGAAAACTGTGGCAAGTCTATTGGCCAGCAGCACCTGGCAGAGCTGGAGAATTCTTTCAGCTCATATAAGGTGAGACGTTCTTACTCATCAGAAATCCTGCAAACAGGGTCTTTTCTGTCTCTGAGAGTTCATCAGGAAGCAGTGATCATACCAGTCATTGAGGATTAATGCTCATGCTGTTTGTCACTGGTTTGTGTGGTCTGATCTAATTATGGGCAGTGTATTGTTTACCCATGATTTGGGTTCCAGTTTACTCTCATGCTTGTGAGAGGAATGGATTAAGACTATGAACTGGCAATTGGAAAAGTATATTGTTGCAATTGCTATCAGCCACAGGTTTGTCGGACCAACTGAGACTGTCAACAGGCAGTCAACATATATTGCTCATATAGTGCTATGCAGGGAAGATAGATGTTTGATACATAAGTGAGCTGGGAGATTATATATTTGTAACTTCATCATTCATGGGACAAATGTGTTGAATGGCCCTCAGTTTACTTTGAAGAGTTCACAGGACCCCATAATGCATGATTAGGACCCTTCAAGTTAATTACTGGGGTGCCCTGGACCCTCACTTTTGTAATGCTGTGTCATCATTCCAACTTCCTCAAGCTTCCATATCCACTATTTCGTGCTTGTTTCAGGTATCTGGCTTCCCGATGAACATGCCTTTTGTGGATCTTGAAACCATTGTCGAATCTGTCTTCTCCACCGGAGTCCATGCCCAGGAAACCAGTGATGTAGAGTTTGCGCGCTGGCAGTCTACGTCCACCCGTACCCCAACTCTGTTCTGTCCATATGGGTGTACGTCGCATCCCTCATACGCAACGATAGTGCCATGTGTTAGTGACCATGTATATAGGAAAGACATTCCATGAACTGTGCCAGGACAGGAATACTGTTGCTGTGGGAGTATCGATGACGACGATGTTCTTGTGAAACAACTTGTGATATGTCCTGCTTGTTTGGAGTTCTGAATATGGCTAAATGATATACCAGGTACTGTATTCTCGGCACAGAGAAGACGGCAATGAAGAAGTTCATGAAATTGACATTGCAGCTAACATTTTCACATTGTTACCCAAATTTTCATTACCAAGCCTATTTTGTATAGCAAAAGGTTAAAAATTGTTGGTTTAATAGTAGAAAAATATATCAACGTCACATTGCATAAGCAAAAATACCATTTTATTTACCTGTATAATTCTCTTATGGAATTATTTGGTACATTTATTTTAGATGAAAAATGACAATGTTGGTATTACAATGTTGAAACATGTGCAGCATCAATGGGCGAGTTGCAAAAAGTGTTTGTTTTTAGACATGTTCATATATTATTTTCCATCGTCAACAATGGATGTCTATATTTTTTATCAGAATGTTGAAACAAGAGCTACACAAGATTCTGGTGCAACAGTATTCCTTTCACAGGAACTTTATTTGTCTACAGCATCCGTCCAAGATTCTTAGATGATCTCTTTTGTAATATATCAATACAAGCATGTCCATGTATGCTTGAATTATTTATATAAAAGACTGACAAAACTATATCTGGTTTGTTCTTACTGTGTACAGTAAACACCCTTGAGTACAATGAAATATAACATTCTTGTCATATGAGTGAGTACGGTTTTACGCCACTTTTAGAAGTATTCTAGCAATATCACAGTCAGGGACACCAGAAATGGGCTTTACATTGGGTGGGAATCGAACCCGGGTCTTCGGCATGACATGCAGATGCCACTTGTCATATGAGCTGATTGGAGTAGACAGTGAATGGACAACATCTGGTTGATTGTCACTAAGCCATGTTTATGATGCCAATCACTGGTTTGTGTGGAGCTGACACCAAGATTTACAGACTGCTACATGTTCACAATATCAATAGGCCACGACTAAAATGTGTTCCACATGAACCAATGACTAGACATTGTTGGGTGTTAGTATGCTTTTAGTAATCTTCCAGCAATATCACGACAGGGACCCCCAAAATGGGCTTCACACATCGTGCCCATGTGGGGAATCAACCTGGGTATTCAGCATGACGAGCGGACGCTTAAACCATCAGGCTACCCCACTTGTTGAATGTTGAGAATCCATCACCAAATGACAGATGGTTTGATGATGTGAATGGAAGTCTCTGAGACTTTGACCTTCATATTTCTTGTCATCCTTGATAATCTCCAGGGTATACGTTACGATCACTCTCCACTATACCCTGGATGCATCCACGGCTTGGCCCCATAATTATATTACCTCCATTTGCTGGTTCCACATTCTCACAGTAGCTAATCAGCTAAAAGCCACTGTTACATCCGAGCTTGCCAATGTCAACAAAGATAGCGGTCGCAGTCATGAAGGTTTGTTAGCAGTACCACTCAGATTTTGGGGGGAAATAATACAGACAAATTGACAGATCTAAAACTTTTAAAATATATATGAAAAAACACCTTGTACCTCAATTGTGTTGTCAAGTTTAAATGGTTAGATAATTTAAGAAGCGAAAGTGAGTTGTGATTGGTTCGTTCAACTTTCCCAGCGTAGACACCTGATTGGATAAAAATCCGGCCAAGGGAGGTAATATAATTATGGGGCCAAGCCGTGGATGAGTATCGAGGATGATTTCTTGTTTCTGGCAAAGTTTACAACACCTGTAATAGGCTCACCAGTATTTTTAAGACACTGAAGACATGCCAGGTCATCCTCATTCACAAATCCTGACATAACTCTATGGTCTGTTAAGCTTTCATATTGTTTCCTATTTGAACCTTCTACTTCAATTCCAAAACGTTGGAGCATGATCAGTAAGAACTAAGAAATATGACGAAACTGATAGAATTTGTTATTTACCTGAATGAGGGCATTTGGAGGCCTGAAAGACTAAACCAAGTGTTAACACTTACAATTGCATGACATTTTGCTCTCACTTGAGCAATGTGCATGTAACTCAGTGGGTTAGCTGTCATTCCAACAATCTGAAAATCCTTTAGTGTCAACATTAGTTTCTTATGACAGGTTACAAGAAACTGTTTACCATTCTTTGTGATAAATGGGTGGTGATGTATCCTAATGGTAAAAGCGTTCACTCGTCACGCAAAATGTCTGGGTTAAAGTCACCAGTTGAGTTAAATGTGTGAAGCACGTTTCTTGTGTCCCCCATCGTGAATATTTCTAAAGGCAACAAAAACCGTACTCAGTCACTCAAGGTGACATGTGACCTACTGCACAGATTGTCTTCATGAGAAGTGGCGGTGCTGAACTCATGGCTCCCCAGTAGAGCCGAAGACAAAAGGCGGTGCTTAACTCACTGCTCCCAACAACAGACAGACAAAAGTCGGCGCCTTCTTGATCAACTACCGAAGTGGATCATGCTCCACACAGGCTACAATAACCATATCAACAAACAAATCAATGCAAAATGGAAAATGTGTTTTATTTTTCACCATGACATAGTATATGTTCATTTGTAAAGTGCCAAGCAAAATACTCATTTTGTACCACAGTATAGTATGAATTTCCACATACCTCAACTACATATTGTTTAGCTCATTGCATATCTCTCGCCTCTTCCACATTGTACATTGGCTAAGTCCTGGTGAAACACATCACAAACACAAATCCTGGGTCGTTCTTACAGCAGGCATTGCAAGGATGCTAACAAAGTCGCAAAGACGGGGAACTGCCATGTTACAGTCTCTTCGAAACTTCAGTACATTCAAACATTCATTCACAAATACACATTTAATTTCACAGAACAGTGATTATGGAAATATAAATCTGTTTCTCAAACAAATTATACATTACAAAATTATCATTCAAAACTGTATTCTTTAACTCACTAAACAAAATATTGATCATTACTGTTGATCATTTTAATCCAATCCACAGACCCACTAACAGTTGGGTCTGTGAGGACATACCACTCAATAGAAGTTAAAGAACATTCAATTTATTCAACCGAGTAAAGTTAATAGTCACAATAACTTACTGTAGTCGTATGAAAAGATCAGGCCCCAAAAGATCGAAACAAACTAAGTCTGAGTTTTTACTTAAGTCACGAGTTTTTCCTCAAATTTGAGAAAACAAGAAAATGCATTTCCCAGAATAAACTGAAATTGATGTTGAACTCAAACTTTGTAGACAATTTGAGTTTGGTGGATAAATAACTTCAGTTGTTTGGGATTTTTTTTTATTTAAAAAGTGTAGTGGAGTTAAAACTTCGGCTGTTTCAAATTGTCAAACTCAGTTTGAAATTTGAGTAAAAATTTAAGTTTGTTTCGAGAAATCGGGGCCAGGTGTTGTTTAACATATTTTGAGTAGTATATACACAAAGAACTCATCAACATTAACAAAAAGATAGGTACAGAAGCTCACCTTTCCATTTATCAATAACTTTCAGAAGACATAATGTAGCCTTCTATATAAAACTTTAACCCACGAGACTGACCTCTCCTGATATAGTCAGTACTTGTAATAAGAGAAATCTGTCCGCTGACAGAAATTGCAATTGGATTCAACAACTTGAGATCCAAATACAAGAAAATAAACTGTAACTATTTATTTCAAACTTCAGTTATATCTTAATTTCATATATCAACATTACTTTGTGGTTTATGGCAGGCTGCCCTTGACATATGGCACCACCAACCTCTTGCTCCAACATCAAAACAGGAGATAATGTAGCACCATTCAACAAGAGCAATGCTAACTTATCTTGGGTTCAAGGATTCTCTTTGGCCAAAATCCAACCATAAATGTGGATCGTCTTAACTATAATTTGTATCTGGTGTCAACAAGCAGGGCAGTGTCATTTACACAAAAAGCTTCCCACTAAAAACAAGTATCTTTGTCAACGTGTCCCTCATATTATAGCAAAATATATTCTTACTTTGAATTGAAAAAATATTGTTTAAACAAGTGTAGTAAAACAGTTACAACACATAGCAGACCGGTTATTTTAGAGTGCAGTTTATTACACAACATTGTGGTAAAGAGAATGTGATACCATGTTATATAACACGGTACGCGTCAGGATATGAACATGATTGATTTATTCAGATACACACCACACCAATGCAAATCTGTTTACTGATGATATGGTAAGAGTTATTCTAAGACAATCCACATCAATATGCTCCATATATACAATGCAATTTCCCATTGAGCTTAATTATTCACCTACATGAAAAAGCTGGCATATGCAGCGTCAGTTTTGTATTGCAAGAAAGAGAAAAACTTCGTGAGAATTAACAGATGTAGCATTAACCTTGTTCTTGTTCCAGCTCAGCAACTGACTAATGTCATTCAACAAGCTAAACAAAACCTAGAATTATATCATATAAGTGCATCTTCAGATAAGTATGAGCCCTTGGTTACACGATCACAACTTTAAAATAATTTACAAAATGCATAAAAATATTCTTCTTCCAACTTTTTACAGACATACATATTGAACATTTTCACCAGTTGGATATATAGTTTATTATATAGCTTCATTATCTACCAGGATGACTAATTTCAAAGGAGGAGTTCTTCATCTCAGATGAGGTATGTACAGTACATGCATATGATATAAACAGGTACTGTACCGTTCACAGTTAGAACAGGATATCCTTACTGTGTTCTCCTTTTCACGTATTTCTTCCAAAGATTGTGGCTACGGGTAAGAATATTCAATTTAGTAAGTTACACAATGCTGATGCTTATAATCAAATTATTTTGTCTCGCAAATAACTGTAAAAAGGTTAAAGTTACCTCACACAGAAACAGACATGAAAGAAAAATATGTCCCGAGAAGGTACTTGCATACGAGCAGCATGTTGAAATGTATTGAATCGTTCACATCATGCAGACATTGTTGTCAAGAGCAGTAGACTTATTTATTATTTAAAAGGCGAAGCAAGGAACATATTTTCTAGTACTCATCAGAAAATTTACTGTCAGTCCTAAACTAGCAATTCTCAAATGTTATTGAAAGATGAGGAAAGAATACTTGATTGTCACAGAAAATAATGACAATTGAAATCAAGCAATCTGACGCTGGAATGATAACTCAAAATATTATCATCATGGCATGACCCCTTAATGTGTAAGGAAAGCTGGCAGGTCTCTGATGTTTGCACCTGGGTGCAACCCATGAGCACGGGTATAGTGGTGACAGATGTGGAAACATGACCAATCATGCTTGAATAAGAACTTACAAGCTTCTGCTCAAGGGATGCAAATATAAGCGCATCACCTTAGACTCCTGGGCCTAGATTTTCGAAGCTCTTTAAACGCTTAGATAATCGTAAGTGCCATACATTAACATTAACCTACGACTATCTTAGCGATAAGAGAGCTTTGAAAATCTAGGCCCTGGGACAGTCCATACCATTACACTACAATCTGACAATGCTAAAAGCAATGTTTCAGGATAGGTAGCTATAAAGTTTTTCAGCAGTTTTCTGAAAACTTTTCCAAGTCCTTCCAACTCTGCCATGTCTGTTTCTAACAAGTTCATGTTTAGCAGTCCACCAACTAATGATAGATCATAGAAGTTATAACAATTTGTCTTCAACATGAATATAAATCTTGCATCAGGCATCGTTTAGACAGAATATATTTGGATCAGAATTCACCATGCTGGCCATGTACTTCACCTGGGTTGAGACAGATGAGTTGGGTTTTACATCACTGTTAGCACTATTCCAGTAATATCATGGCAGGAGGATACCATGAATGGCCTTATCACACCATCCCCACATGGCTACCCCTACCCACTAGGAATTTTCCGAACATTTGAAGACTGACTGACGGAGTTTGGCTTTACGCCGCTTTTAGCAATATTCCAGCAACATCACGGCGGGGGACACCAGAAATGGTAAATGTTTTCAAACTTTACAACCATCACAATTCAGCCAAAACCTCATTGAAGGATACGAAATGATTTCTATGCCATTTTTTACCCATTGACTAATTCAGAGACAAAATTTGTACCAGTACAATATTTGTTGGAGGGAAGCTACACTTCTTAGACAGAGGGAAAACAAAATCTGATGCTTTTCTGAAGTGAGTCACAACTAACAATACAAATAATGTACCAAAATAGAGAATAGTAGTGAATATCTGAACAAGTGTTGAACAACAATGTAATCATGAGAATAAGTAGTTTGCACTCTCCATTATAAGCATGGTACCTGGCTGAATAGTTAGCATCATACTATTTTTAACAAATAAATAGTTACTGGAACTATGCTATCTTGATGAATTAACCCCGTAAGTACGGAGCCGCTATGAAACTACTGTATCCTATAAACATCTCTTATAAAAGCAAAATCTATTTCTATTCAGGCACTAGATCAGCAATGCTAGTTAAACTTATTGAAAGAAAAAAAAAAAAAAAAAATGCTGAGTAACGCACATTTTGCTTTAATATGGCATCTATGACAATTAGTTTTAAGATGATTTGCCTGGGAACATCAAGCTTGCTTCAATATATAATTTGAAAGCTAAAAGTAAGCTCAAGTGAATTTTAAACACAATATAAGTTCCAATTTATTCCACTAATGTGCATCTCAGATAAACCATAGCCTGTTAATATATGCAAAATATAATAGACACTACATCTTAAATTGAAACCTGCATTACTAGGTCAAGGTCATTAACTTCAAAACAACCTTCGTCAATGAAGTCATATAGAAAGGAAGGAAGCTACAATCTGACAACGAAAACTTTGTATTCTTAGATGTATGACAATCCATTACAGCAAACAGATAAAAGTGGAACAAAACAAATCTATGAATTTAGTAAAAGTGAGACAAAGAACTCCTTATGACAATACTCATAGGGTTTTCATGACAAATATTTTACAGATATACGTCTTAGTCACCATTTCATATTTGATCATTATGACTATCGCGGAATGGTATGAGCACTTGGGTTACCTCCCCTTTACAGATGACTAGATTCAATTCTTGGGTGTCGGCTTCTGGTCTCGTATCACAAAACAAGCCATTCATTCTGAGCAGCTCCATAACTATGACAGATATGTGGTCATGATGTCTCTCTCATATTTCATTACATGAATCCTGAAAGCTTAGCGCTTTTCTGGAGTTAACAGTTGCACATACAAAAACATGCTAGATGGCACTGGATTCTTTGGCAAGGGGTTATCATGTGGTAACATGCAACAAAAGGTTACGGTAACCATGGGCACCATTTTGTGATGTCTTACAGATGACTCTCAACAAATGATATTTAAATGATTCCTTTAATCCCTCAATACATGTCTGTAAATGACATTCACACCAGCAATAGTCTTCCAGGTAAAGGTTTTTTTCAATTGAGAATCACAACTTGTCTTCTCGGATGTATGCAGAACAAAATTAAACACCAACAATTAACACTTTTTAGCTGTCAGTATGAGAAAGGCAAATTCCAACAAGTAAGTGAAATGCTACTAATAATTCCCTTATCACATATCCACGATCAAAACATCGACGTCAGCAAATTCTGCTGCAAGTAAAGAGAACATGGTTGTATCACCAAGTTCGCAGACACTATCAACATGCTGACATCAATACATTTCCTCCTTGGCAAACATGCTGAATTCAAATACTTGATATCAAGGATCGCTATCAAGAAGAGCAGTTATCAGGGTTACATGGCTATAGTGGCATCGTAGAAAGGTACGGTATTGAAGAGCATTGAAGTTTGAGCATATATACCTGTTGTCACCACAATAGAACCAGTGCTGATGTAGTATTGTCACAGACACTATATTTAATGTATAGTATAGATGATATACCTCACAAAACACTGACAATGTTATCAATAGCTGGAATGAGAAAAATGTAATAATACAACCCCATTAACTGTACAGGAGTACCTACTAGAGTAAGTTATAGAGCTAGTATAACCTTTCAGGAAGACATTCACACCTAGTGGATATGGTAACATGCCACAGCACGTTTACTTCATAGAGAATTAACAGCAAACACTATGGATCATCAATGATTGAAAATATAACGCATCTATCTCGCAGCTACTGCCCTGATGACAAATGAAACCCGTGGTTTTGGTAATTACTAAGCACTCAGTATGCTAAGAGAAAGACATATGGTTGAAATTTTAAAAAGTTTACAGTGTGGAAAATGAAATCAATGTTCAAAAGTACCATCAACAGCTTCGTGAAGAATCCCGGACCCAGAATTTGTCTTTGTTATGCTGCCAGGCAGAGACAAGGAAAGATTGTTCTTTCATGCAAAGAAAACGTAATACTTGTGATACAGTAGTATGGTTCAATTACTATGCATCTGACAAAAATAAAATTATGACAATTTGCTGAAAAGAAAGGCATCCTGTTTCATCTTCTGAGAATAAAACCTGCTGCACAAAATTTATGGTCTTGAATCAATGGTGTAATGGTGGCAATGAGACATCCGTGATGTGAATCTCGCATCGACTGTGGACCAAGCTTCTTGCTCGCATGATCCAAGAAGACCTAACACAATGGGCAACTGTTGGCATGAGATGACGTCGACAATGTGAAATCACAAGTCCATTGTTTTATCATACAATATATAAATACCTCTCCATAGTTTTTAACATGGTAATTGTCTTTGCAAACAGGGTAACAAATCAAGACCCCAAAACTTCCTCCCTTGAAGCTCTCAAGGGAAAAAAGAGAAAAACTAAAAAATAAATTCAAAAATTTCTTCAGAATCGATATTATCAAATACCAGTTTCGTTTTTCTGTAAATACCACATAAAACGCTCAAACTAGCTTTGCGAATCATCCATCAGAACAGTTGCTCCTGGAAACTGACTGCAAACATGGACACACTGCTCATGGTTCTTCTCCAATCAGCAGAGACAGGTGCAAGACAGCGAGAAAGCGGCGGCACACATCATCACTGCAGTGACAACAACATCAGTAGCCTGTGTTACGAATCATCCTCCGTCTCCGAATCGGATGATGAGAGTGTTTCATTGAGCTCCTGGGTATTGGCTAGTTGGTATATTGGGATGTGCTTCGGACTCCATGTTTTTGGAAGAGTCCGGGCCAGGCCATTGCGAGGGGTTTTCTTAATCTGCAAAATTAACCAAGTCGATAAAAAGGAGAGATAAGAGAAAGAACAAAATACAACGACAAGCATTACATGAAGTGTAGCAAGGCAAGGTTTGTCAAAATGGGGTTGAACTGTTGTGTACTAATCTACCCATGTATTGATATGTCCACTTACCATATCAACAGATCTACCAAGGCTTACGAATCTGTCTTCCCATGTTGTGGTATAGGAACATACCATGCCTATAGTTACATCAATGTCTACTAATCTGTCTCCCCATACGGTGCTCCACAGTTCAACTGATATCTACTCAGGGATTTACAGGACGCGAATTCCTGAGTCCTATACACATATAAATTGACAATGGACCCAACAATATTATTATTAGTGCATCCACAGGGACGCAGAAAAAGTCCAAATACTTTTTGTAAAAGTTCCAATCAAGTAACAATAAGACTAGCTGGGTTATGGTATCACTTGCAATTTAATTTATGTAACAATGCGGTGATCACAATACACAATACAATAACAGTATTAATATTAATGTTTAAGTATCTGGGACCCCCCATTTTGTTGTCCAGGAGCCCTGAAAATTACAGTACAACCAGAAATTATTGAGAATTTAAAGACTGTAATTTTTAAAAAACATTTCACTCATTACTCGCATATTAAATGTGAATACTGTAAACGTACTTATTTTCGCGTGGTGCAATTTTCGCGGAATTGACAGTTTAGACTACATCGCGCGGTCAATTATTCGCGCAATCAGTAATTGCCGGAACTGCCAGCTGTCTCTGTGGCCGCCACTAATAGCAGTGAAAACAAACAGAGTGGCTTAACCTTACTCACAGGAAATCCCTATCTGTGCGATATACTAGTACACAGTAATCCGTTTACTCACGGAAGAGATGAAAAACACATCAGTCTTATGTTCCGAATTCTGACGATCTGACGAATTAACTTCTACTGTATATGAAGCTCTTTGTGATTTCAAACAAGCCGGGTTGTTGTGAATGAGATGATTGAGCGTTAAGTGACTATTCGCTTCATGATGTACTGGTAAATAAAATCTTAATGAATAAATAAAATACTGCTGTATTATTTCTTTCCGAGTCGTTCATGGTAATCTGTTTTGTATCAAACCATCTGTCATGTGACCAATTTCCATGGCGGCCAAAACACACATTGCTGTTTTCGCTAATTCGGCGATGGGATTTGACTCATTATTTAATTATGTTTTGGGAAATACATTACAGCGACAGTTAAGTATGATTCTTTATGCTACTATCAGTCGTCATTTTAAGATTCCCGTAGATTTCTGTCTTCAAACTTGATGTGTTATGGTAACAACTCAGGGCGGCGTGGCTAGACTGAATGAATGACAGGTTTATTCGCGATATATAAATTTTCGCGCTAAAATGTTTTCCGCGAAAAGCGAGAAAATAAAACCTGCGCGAAATATAATACGTTTCCAGTATTAGCAGAACATAACTCCAGATTCAAAGACAGGTGAACTGTTAGTATTTTGTCAAGTCACCATGGGCAGCAATGCAGGCTTCAATGCGGCGGGGCATACTACGGATCAAAGAAGTTAGAAAGTCGGACCACCTCTTCTTTCATTTCAGCAATATTTGTCAGATTTTTCTTATTGACACTTTCCTTCATAAGTCCCCAAACATTTTCTATTGGATTTGGGTCAGGGCTATAGCTTGGCCAATCTAATAATGTCATATTTTGGGTCCGAAACCAGGCCTGTGAATGCTTTCAACGATGTTTTGGGTCGTTGTCCTGCTGGAAAATCCCAAAATTTCCATAGAACACGTGAGCAGATGGAAGTAAATGTCCCTCGAGAATATCTGTGTACCGCTCACTGTTCATATTCCCTTCAAATACACAAAGGGGCGTTGCCTCTAACACAGATATGCCACCCCACACGTTAAATTTCGGACTGTACTTTGGGAGCTGATACAAAGGATTTTCAGTTTGTTTGGTCCAGAATTTCAGTGTATTAGGAAACAGCCACACAGAACTTTCATCTGAGAAAATCACATTGTCCTAGTTAAAATTTCTATGCTGTAAGCACCTGTTCAACCTTCGCTCCTTTTGTTCAGGTTTCATGATCGGTGATGGAATTCCTCGACTTTTCTGCCAACCCATTGCATGCAGCTCAGTTCTAATTGTCTCCTTACAGACAGCCACAGTTCCTCTATCAATCATATCCAGCCTTAAGTTTTCTAAACTCCTTCCTTTGTTTTTAGAAACAACAATACCAAGCCGCCTCCTGTCACCGACAGTCAATTTTCTGGGCCTACCTGCGCCTCCCTGGTGCTCAATGCCATATCCATTTGCAATATTTTTCAAAACACGATAAACAGTGGACATAGGGATGCCTGTTCTACTTGAAATCACTTTAGCTGATCTGATGTCCAAGTTATAATACTCTAAAATCAACTTCCTCTTCTCTAAATCATCCAAACTGAGGATCACTGAAAATGTCGTCTGCTAGCAAGTAAACAAAGGGGGGATAATTCTTCACAAACTAATGAATAAGGATAAACGGAGTTGTCTCTCTTGAATGAAACCAAGCACTTGATAGCTGGTCAAGGTTGTTTATTCTAGAAATCCAATTAAACATATTCCTAAAATTCTCAATAATTTCTGGTCATACTAGGGACCCTAGGATCCCAGGGACCCTCAAATACAGGACTCCAGATAAATCCCTGTCTACTAATCGATCTAACAATGATGTCATGTATGTCAACGTACCATGTCTGTAAGTTTCTGGAACTCCTTCATGTCATCTTCCGTGATGACGTATTCCTCCTCATCCTGCTCATTCCATCCCATCTCACGCAGCAGCCTGCAGAACAAATACATCACTTAAGCCATGTGAGTATTTTGTATAATGGGAAAAAACACCCTAAGATAGGTTTTTCTTTGTGCAGGGGTAGAAATAACTTTAAAATTGCTAGTGTACTCCCGGTACAGTGGCACATGTAAAATCACTTGCCCTGATCATTTTTCCACTATACCGACTGTTTTCTTGTTGATTTTTAAAAATAAACAACATTATTAAGATTGGAAAGTCAGCTGGACAACGGTACAGTGTGATATACAAATTTGCTTGCCCGACAGAAAAAAACACTGGACTCGGATGTCGGGCAATGGGTTATTTCCACCCCTGTTGTGCATAATCAAGTAAAGCATAAACAAATTCAAGTAACACCTTTCTGGTTTAATGCTGCACTAATAGCAGGCTGTAATATCCAGTGATTGACATCATGAGCAACAATTCATGTTGTGTGGGTATTATGACAAAATCAACCAAGGAACTGGGTCTGACAACTTGATCTGTCGACACCCAAGTGTTGTAAGTGCGCCTTAGGTTGTTGCGGGTGTTAGTATGTATGTTTGGTTTTTGTGGAAACCTTCAACATTGTTCATCAATCAGTTACGCACAAACCTGTCAACTCTAACGTTTATGCTGTAAGTCTCATGTTCTTTCAGTGAAAATCACGTTCTCACTGCCAGTATACTAAATATCATATTATTCGTAAAAGTGCTTTCTAAACATCACTTTATGATGTTTTCACCTCAAATAACGTTTGGAAACACAGTAAAAAATTCCTCCACAGACACACACACACCCCTCTTCTTAGGACACATTTGGGATCAATGTCTACATAGAAATAGCTGGTTGAATTAAGCTAAATGAATAAAAACAGAAGTTTGAACTTCTTTCACAAATTTAGTCCCTTCTTATACTATCACAGTACATATATCCGTGTTTAAGTGAGACACTACCTCTGTTCAGCTTCCAGGGAGCTGGAGAGGATGTTGCGGCCTGGCTCTGTGGACACTTGCAGTTCATCCATTCCATTCACCAGCTGATCACTCGAGGATTTGCCTGCAGACTGCAATAGAAACAAGGCAAGACTGATACAAAAACAACAACAGTTAAATACTCTTACTGCTAATCATATAAACATGTATATATATAAAAAACAACAAGAAAACAAATACTAGTGTCAGTGCCACACTCAAGACTTTCATCTATATCATGGGTTCCTGCAAATAATCAAGTCAGGACCAGACAATCAAGTGATTGATATTGTGCACTATACACAATTCGGTTACGATGACATGTATGAACAAAGTATATCCAGAAACCCATATCACATTAGAAGCCCCTCAGTGTTTTATGGGTGGAGGAGGGTTGTTAAAATTACCTCACATATCAGATACCTATTTCATGCTGTTGAACAGAGGTTCCTATAGCATTTTGATCTAGGTACCAAACTATTAATTACTTATGTTCAACATTAGGGTCACAAAATTTCAACCACTAATAAACAGGAGGTACTGCGCATGTGTTTAAACCTGGATTGCCAAAGTGGCAAACCTTGCTGGAGAGTGTAGCAATGTAAGTAAATCATACCCCTATATATTTGAAGATAGATCGTGTGAGAGTGCGTGTTTTAGCAATATTCCAGCAATATCACAGCAGGGGACACCAGAAATGGGCTTCACACACTGTACCCATGTAGGGAAGCGAACCCAGGTATTCGGCATGATGAGCAAATGCTTTAACCACTGGGCTACCCCACTGTCATTAGAGTGAAAAAGTATGGTTTTATGTTCCTTAAATAACATTCCAGCAATATTACAAAGGAGGGACACCAGAAAAGAGCTTCAAATATCATACCCACGTGGGAAATTGAACACAGGTCTTCAGCATGATAAGCAAATGTTTTAACCAGTAGGCTACCCCAAAGTTCCCACCATGTTACTGCAGGAAGCAAACAGTTACTATTTTAGGATAACATTTGATGTTGACAACTACATACATCCCCATTTTCCTGTATTTCATGGCCAGCAATGCCATTTTCTTGTGGGGGCTTGTCCGAACGCAGAGTCTTGAGAAAGTTGCTCTTTTTGTCACCCAGGTTCTTGGGCTGTGTGACAAATCGAGTGTTGAGAAGATCTGCAGGCGGTGTGGGTGATTGACGGGACCCCTGAAATTGTAGACCAAAGTAAGCAAACATGCCATCTGACAGGTATTTAGCCGATTCAGGGTATAAGCTAAACTCAAATTTTACTTGAACACTTAATTGCTAGGATACAAATAGTTAATTTCATAATCGACCAGCATGAAACACTAATATCCCTTGCTAATGGTATGTTTTACAAAGTGCATGAATCAAGACTATGACTACAAAAGCCTCCTGGTTCCAAAGTAGATTTTGTAGTCATGGAAACTGGGTTAAAAAATAAACAATTAATAATAACTCCTAATCAGCTTAAGGCACTAGTTCAGGGCAAGCATGTATCATTAACAAATTTGGCTTTGCAAGAGTACACAGTGTATGCTGGAGACAGGAAAAAAATGTAATTTTTAAAGTAAAATTGATATTTTATACTTATCCTGACTCATGATCTTTTGCTTATCTCCTTCTATGCGAATGTTAGTGGAACACTTGAATCCCTTGTAGTTCCCTAAAGCGGACGGAAAAGTACACTCACCCACGAGTTGCCTCCCTTTTCCCGCGCAATAAGCCCATGCACCTGGGTTTGCTGGGAAACCTGAAGTGTCTTTTGCGGGGAGGTTGGGAGGGCTTGACCTCATGAGTCAGGATAAGTATAAAGTATCAAGTTTTCTTAAAAAATTACATATTTTTCCTTATCCTGACTCATGATGTTTTGCTTACAGAATCTGACGGATTGGTGGTGGGTCAAGCCACTTCGTGGATTCATCAGCTGTCCTTAGATACGTCCTGTATCCCCCCATGGGAACTGCGTAACGGCACTTCCTAGATCCTATTCTTCCAACTTCCGTTACAAACTCGGGGGGGGGAACACAATCTTGTCTTACTTCTCCCTCAGACAAGTGAATCTTCTAGATTCATGTGGATTTTAGATATACTAGTATCTTCTTTTTACTAGTTATCTATAACAACCCATAGATTATGATAAGATCGTTATCATAAATAAGTTGCGACCCCTTAATGTACAGGTAAGATCGTTACCCATACAGTCTTAATCACTCATGCTAGTCTAGTCTAGACTGCGCATGGACTTTCAAACTAAAACTTCTTCATAGTAAAAGTTATCAACAAGTCAACGTGATAAAGGGTGAGATTTTCAACTCAGCGCCTTTGTGGGACCGATAGTTGTAGTGCTACAAGTGGCTCAAACTGATGAATGCCGGAGACGTTGTCAGAGGTGATGTCTCTGAGGTAGAGGTTGGCAAACACCGTGTCCGACTTCCAAAAGCAGCCTTCCTTATAGCTGATATCTAACAGCTTCCGTGCAGAGTGAGTGTGGACCTCTGACTTTGTGTGGGTTGGAAGCTCTTGGAGGTTCTAATCCTGCTGCTTTATCGGCTCACATCCAAAATTAAATTGTTGTCTTTGAGACTTCTACTGTTGTCTCTGCTGACAAAGGGGATGAAAAGGCGCATGAATTTTCTTCTCCTTGTTTTAGTCTTTTGAAGATATATCTTCAGGGCTCTGACAGGACACAAGGATAAGTCCTGGGTGTCCTCTGTTCCGAGGATCGTAGATAGCGCTGGGACGTGGAACTGTTTGTCCGGTTGGCCAAGTAACTGATTCTTTGCAGTGAAGTCCCATCTAAGTCCAAGATGTACTGCAGCACAGTTTCCCGTGTCGAATCGACTTCGTCCAAATTCTAGCGCATATGAGTGGCTGGAAGATAGTCTACCAGGTTTGTAGAGATCACTCATAAGATGTTGTAAAACCATGTTCAGATCCCAGACTGGTGCTCTGAATTTCTTCTGCTGGTCTTCCAGCTTGAAGGAGCATAGTAGAGCAAGTAGTTCTGGCACTTTCGTTAGGCTGATGCTCTCAGATGACATAAATAATCTGCTACATGAGGATGCAAGGCCTTAACAGCTGAGAATCCTTTCTGTGTAGCAAACTTGTCAAAACGTTTCCATTTATCGTTGTAGAGGTTCCTAGTTGAACGGCTTACGGCCATCGTGACTGCTTTAGCTGCTCTCGTGGAATAACTTCTTTTCTTCAAGCAGTGCTTAATATGGTCCACACGTGAAGTCGGAATCCTGTTGGATTGCCGTGGCACTGTGGTGTGTGTGGATGGATCAGTAGATTCGGCCAGTCTGGTAAGTGCATTGTTGGTTCTCCTATGAGCTGTATTAGGTCTGCAAACCAGGTTCACGCTGGCCAGTAGGGCGAGACCAAAAGCACACATAGTACTCTGGTCTGTGCTATTTTGTGCAGTACCAGGACCGGTGGCAGAAACGCATATGCGATTAGTACTTCCCATGGGATTGACAGTGCATCGAGAACTCAGGCTTGAGAATCCGGTACTGGTGAGACATCGTTGTCACTTGGTGACTGAAACGTGTCGCAATTAAATCTATGAGAAGACGACCTTGGTCTGCTATCAGTAGTTGGAATGCCTCCAGGTGTATCATCCACTCTGTGGGTAAAAGATGGCGTGGTCTGGATAGGACGTCGGTAGAAACACGTTCATTGCTCCTGGTATGTGATATGCCTTAAGCCACAGGCTGACGTTGTCTGCTAAGCTGAATAGCTAGAACGTCAGTTCTATTAGAGGTGCTGACCTTGTTGAGCCTTGTAGATTTATGTAGAAGGCTACTGTCGAGTTGTCTGTGTGAATCATGAGAACTGATTCATTAGTAGCTGAGCCCAAAGTTGAAATGGGTTTATGACCGCCTTGAATTCCAGCTGATTAATGTGTAATCGTCTCTCCTGTTGTGACCAACTCCCTACTGCCGTGTCCTTGTTGCAATGCGCTCCTCATCCTTGTGGTGATGCATCCACGAAGAGATGAAGGTTGCATGCCGGCCCATGTAGCGTCTGGTGAACACGCCTGGATGCTCAACCATTGGCATAACTGCGTCAGTAGTTCAAACATAAACTGCAGCTGTCGTCTGAGTTGTTCTGCTTGTTGATGTGTCTAGAGTGCATTGTCTAGGCAGAATGCACTGCAAAGTCTCCGCTGATGCAACAGCGGGTTAGGTTACACATGTAAATAGTCCCGGGGCCGAGGAAATTCCAAAGGGAAAATACCCTTCATTTCTGCAACAGGCAAGCAAGGGACGTAACTCTATCTTGACTTCGCGGCGACTCACAGAGACGATCGCAAAATGGGTATCACCGCCATTTCTTTCTTCGTATGTGCTTCTCATCCTAGGAGATAGGCATCAGCGATGACAAGAACCTTGTCAAGAATGGCAATTTGCAGTGATGATACATCATTCTGCCCCTTATATACGCAGACGATCTGTGTTGATCAGCATACATCGACGCGTTCCCTATTTATAGCAAGATTGGTTCCAGTGTAGTATCGAAGGGGACAGGTACTCATACAGGCTTTCATCAGCGAAAACTTCCAAGATAAACATCGTTTATCCTGCTGTCAAGGCTAGACATCTATTAGATTCCCAAGTTGATAACGGGCCGTAGTTGTATGCTGTTTTCAAGGCTGCAGATGAAGTATTCCCCCGTACAACGGGTTTGTTTACAAGTCAGTAAACTTTATGGAACACGTTTTTATGGATAACAACTTCTTTATTTAGTGAGTGCGACGTTTCGATACAGATTCTTGTACCGTTGTCAAGCAAGAGTGATACATGAAGTGGAGGAGCTGCATATATATACTGTACATAACAATGAAACAACATACATTGTAATTGACAAGTCAGTAAACTTGCTGGCGCCTGATCTGTCAGTAAGAGGCGTTGTCTGTCCTGGACCAATCAGTTTCCAAGCATGACGTCACCGGTGTTGTAGAGAGTTGGCCTCCATAAAATCTGGTGCAATAGTTGGTTGAGTAAAAGCGCGCATAATTCTACGCCGCTCATATAAACCTCTTGAATAAGGGTTGCTCCAAGTGTAAAATACTGTTCAGTGATATTAATCACGTATTCCCATTGAAGATAATATAAGGCAGCATGACGAAGGAGGCTGTCGAGACGCATGTCTGTATGGATCTTGAAGAAATACCGATGTTGAATCTATTTTTTATTTTTTTTATAATTTCTTTATTTTTGTTGCATTTGTACACAGTTGCACATGTATATAGATTGTCTATATAAACAAAACGTGACAAGATGACCAGACTTTAATAAATTGGTTAAGATGTCCGTACATTTTTGCTGTGTATTTCATAAAGAAATAAAAGCATGTGAGTTCTTCCTGGATCATTTAAAAATTCATTGTTTTTTCATATGTTTTATTATTAAAGATAAATTGTTTGCATACAATTATTAAAAGATTTATTTGTCCAAAAATTGGTAGCAGCAATCCAAGAAGTACATCTTTCTTGTTTAGTTTAATGGACAAATCGGCTTTCTGACCGACCAATTTTTCAAATTGTGTCCAGATGGAACTCACGTGTTTGCAATACCAGAACAGATGATCAACTGTTTCGCTTTGATTATTACAATAACCACATAAATTGCTGTTTGCGTATCCCATTTTAATGAGTAATGAATTTGTTGGTAAGATATGATGAAGAGTTTGATATTGGAACCATTGCTGTTTAGGATTTGCAGACATTAGTTGGAACCATATTATATTTTTGTCTATCGGGTTCCAGTATTGTTTCTCCAAATATCAATTCCCATTTTGAAAAGTGTTGATTATGTATACACTGAGTTGTATAAGAGTTTCATAGTATTATCGATTCCCTTTTACCGTTTAAAGTAGATGTATGATATTAAATGGTATAATAGGATTTTCAAGATGTTTTAAAATTTGGAAAACCCCTTCCACGACAATGTTTTGACAGAAGCTAACACGCTGTTTAACTCTAGAAAATGGACATTAATGTCATAACGTTGCCCTTCCATGCATAATATCAGATATCTTAAGTGTAATTGTATTGGGAGAATGGTCAGATTTGAAACTTGGATCGATTTCAGCTTTTACCAAAGACGGTAATATGTTATGTGATACCAAGAAAAAGTCTAGTCTTCCTTGTTTTAGGGGATTTGCTTGCCTCCATGTAT